ATTGTTATATTTTGATTAACTTATGTTTCATATATCTTTTGTAAGTCTTGTTTACCGATTTATTACTATCACATATAAACTCATTGATATTTTTTGGTATAATTGAACACAAAATACAAAAAATATCAACAAAATAAATAATTTTCTGAATACCACTACTTTATATATATATATATAAATATATTGTAGTGTATTTTCATTATGTATTTCATTCAATAATCAATTTATTGGTTTCTCACTATACAAATCTCATTTGTATAATAATAGTAATAATAATAAAATTTGTGATTACTTTGTTTTTTAATATTTTTTTTATAAATAAAATGATGTGTCTGTAAGATATTTTTAAATATTAATAATTAAATAATAGTGATATACTCTTAAAAGATAGTAATATTCATTTATTAAAATATAACTTAATTATGATAGTGAATACATATTATTTGTGATAACTATTGACCAGAAATAATAAATGATACACTCTATTATAATACTAGTATCTACTTATCGATTCCTTCAATAATATTAATAATAATAGCAATAATATTATATAAAGATTAAGTAGTGTTTACTGTATAACTGTTATGTTTTACTGATCTTAAGTGAGTATCAATCGTCCAAAAGTGTGTTTTAAAACGTGTTTAAACGTCTTCTCGAGGAAAATGTCGTCGAGTGAGAGCCCGGAGACTGAAGGTATGATTCCCCGAACGTTCAGTACATCTGCCCTTAGAATCAAAAATAGGTATTCATTTTGGGAAAGACTTCACTCTACGCCCAGAAAAGGTGGCTCTAATTTTCAGGGGTAGGCATTATATACTACTTTATATATATATATATATATCTATTTTTTTATTCAATTATCAAATACAATATATTTTCATTTTTGATTAAATCATACGACATGTCATGTTATTCAATCAATTATATGCTATTTTCCAATAGAAAAATGCTTACTTTTTTAATTGCTTTCATTAACTATACAGATATTAGTAAATAAATATCATAACCATTACTATTTATCACATTTTAGTTCAATAATTTTACTAATTTTATTACATTTAAAGAAAATAATTTAATCTAAAAAATTAGAAATATTAATTATAAACATTAAGATTTTATTTAAAATTATTTATTTATTTGAGATTGCTTTTATTTAAGTAAAATATTATTTTGTCTATAATTTTAATTTAACTATCAATTTGTTATATTCATTTATATTTGAAGTAAAGCAATCAGATAATTACAATATTTTTTTTTAAAACTGTAATTATTATGACTTGAGATTTGTTAGTATTTTTATTTCTAAGAAATTTATTACTAATAGTAGCCTTTGGATGTTGTAGTTATGGTAAAGCCTTTGAGATTATCATTGATGCCATTGTATTGTAAAAAGAGTGCGATTCTGAACAACAGTTAATGATCGATAAGTCTTAAAGCAATAGCAATACAATGTATTTAATATTAAAAGAAGTTTTATATTATATACACATTTTACAGTATATATAGCTAAACATTAGCAAAATTTTTGTAGTATTTATGTCCATAAAACAACATTTTTTTCTCTGTTAGTTGATTTACGCAAACTTTAATAAATAGTTTAATAATAATGCAATTTGTCTTACAATTGGCATAAACATTGACATCATTTTTATTTATTTTTTTAAATGATAAAATTTATGCATTATGTTTGTGACGTTAATCATACTAATATTTTTGATTAAATTTTATATATGTTAAATATATATAATAATGTAATTATGTTTGCTTTGTTTTCAAAGCAATTTTATTTAATTTTGATTCTCATGAACTAAAAAAATCTTTTTAAAATAATTAAATTCAAAAATTGTAATAAATATTTTCGCAATTTTTTTTGAATTATTTTAAATATAAAAATTACTAAAAGCAATATTTTTATATCATAATCATATTATTTATCTTAAAAAATGCTTTGAATATGTCTACCAGCCCTGCAAAATGTCAAACAAAATATTAACATTTATCAACTATTCCTTTGTATCGATTGATTGAAGTTGAAAGTCACACACACACACACACACACACACACACACACACACACACACACACACACACACACACACACACACACACACACACACACACACACACACACACACACACATACACACAAATACACATTCACTCACTTACTAACTCAATACTTGCAAATCTATTGAGATTTCTTTAATTGAATTTACATTAAATGTTAGGAATAAAGTATAGAATTGGCTATATTTTGAAAGCATTTTTCTTTCATTAGTTTAATCATAGCTTCAAATAAGAGACAATCCATATATTTTAGACCTTTGACTTTATGTTAACTACAGTATTATTGTTAATAATTTACACTTTAATGCTAATTGTATTACATTTCTAAAAAATGATTTTTATTATTAACAAAAAATAAAACAAAAAATAATTGTTGTTTTATACGATTTGATGTTTATTTTAACACATGATTTGATCGATAAGTTGACTAAATATTAAGGATAAAAAACTAATTGAATCAATTGCTTAGAGAATCGGTGATACATTATATTAAAGTGTTTCGTTTCAATTTATAAATATATTTATAATATGATTGAATATTTATTGTAATGTTTAATATATTTTATATGATGTGTGTCTCACAAATTTTATCATTTATTGATTAACTCTCATAAATTATTATATATTGTATATTCGTTAATTATCAATTATCGTAAATAAAATAATGATTATAACAATATTTATTAACTTCAAAAATTATTATATAATGTATTATAATTATTCACTAATTAATTATTTCGAGTGTTTATATAAATAATGATTAGTAAAATTTATAATATATTCTATTTATATATAAAATAGGTATTAATTCTATTTTATTCAGTTTTTTAATTAATGACATAATTTTTAAATAATCTACAGTATAGTTAACATTACGTAAATTTAAGATTATAACTGATAGTCATTATTAATTACAATTAATATTATACAATATGTACAGGTAATGAATTATATGTTCAATATTTATATGTAAATTAAAATGCCAAACTAAATATTGTTAGTGGATTCAAACTATTCATATAATAAAAAACATATTAAAAATCATTATTAAATAAATAATTGGATATATTAATTATATATCTATTAGATTATATATATATATATGCTTTATACAGTATTAGATTATGTTATAATAATTTGTCATTATTCACTGTTAAATGTCAAATGTGTTTATAACTATCATTTTGTTATAAAAATCATTTGTTATATAAATAAAAAATGTTTGAGCAGTCAATTGACTTATTGAGCGTAAATGTTAGAGATGTAAAAGCAAACTATTATTTCGTTTTAAGTTAATTTAGTTAACGGACTTTAATTACTATCTATTTATACGTTTAAATAAGTCATTTCTATTTAATTCCTTTACATCTTAAGCCAAGTTTTATCGCTCTCTCTCTCTCTCTCTCTCTCTCTCTCTCTCTCTCTCTCTCTTGAAATACAAAAGTCAAAAGTTAAATAAAAACTTATAGGAATTTTATTTTAAACTGTTGTAATTTAATGATAATGTTATTATAAAATTTAAATTTATTATCATATTTTAAGCTAGATTTTTAAATAAAGTTAAAAATCTATAGTGTAATAATGTTTGCATGAATTTTAAGTTTGATTTTAATAAACTAAGATTTAATTATTACACTTAAATATCTATTGAGTAGATTCTACTCTATATATTATTTATAATTAATATTAATAAATATTTATAATAATTTGTGATATTTTTGTTGGTATAATGTCTTACACTTTATTAGTAAAATTAGTATTATTTTTTTACACAAATACTTTATTATAAATACTATTATATATCTTAGATTTACATTTTTCAATTTGGTTAAACTTATCTGTTTTGCAATTTGATTTTTCTTTTTTGAAAATAAAGATTTATGAAATATTTTACACAATTTTCTCATATATATTATTCTCATAATTTAGTTTCAATGAAAACATTTATATTTATAATCATAGCTATCACATACAATAATAATAAAATCTTAAATAAATTAAATTACTATTGATTTAATTAAACGAAAACAATGTTGAATTTGTTTAAAACAATTTTAATTAATGCATAATTTGAAGAATTTTATGATTATATGATAATATTTATTATAAGTTCAGACAAACTCAAAGTTAATTAATTACAGACATATTAATTATATGAGTTTTTTAACATTAAAATAAATTAAAAGTAACTTATATTATATTGTAATCCAATAATATAATCCTTTGAAATTCGTATACTATATAAAACATTTTATAATAAATACTTCACAATATTTTTTTTGTTTTAATATTTAAAATTATATTTTATTTATACTGTACAATATTGTTAACATTGGATTATATAATAATAGGAATTATTTAATAATATTAGTTTATATTTATATATAGTATTTGTTTATTTTTATGTAAACATTTGACACAAAACTCAGTCAACAGACAGACAGCTGTGAATATTTTTAAGAATTCTTCACTAAAATTATCGATATTTTAATCGCAAACATTGTCTCTCAGTTTATATAATACAATAAAGTTTTATATAATTTAGATTTTAATTTTTTAAAACACATTAGATTATAAGCTCTTTAAATATATTAATATATATTATTTATATTATGAGAGCTACAATTTATATTTATTGTCTATATCATGTTATTTACAAATATAATATACAGTATATAATAATTTTACTCATATAAAGTAGTATTATGTGAATTAAATGTTAGTTTGTTTAAACTATAATCTTGCAAATGCATTTCAATGGTAATTAATTTTTTTTAGTTATTTATTTTAAATAAATAAATTATTGCAAATATACGATAGCAGTTGTTATAACTTAATAATTTACATTCACTTGTGATATAATTGTAATGTGAATTAATAATATAATAATTGTAATATTATATGATTATTGATAAAATTGGATTAAATTGCAGACACGGCGAGGATCTAATAGTAACACCATTTGCCCAAATCCTGGCCAGTTTGCGAAATGTCCGAAACAATTATATCCACATAACTAACGTTCCCTGTCCTGTCAACCGGTAAGTTAACTACAATTATTTTATTACTTTTGGCACAAATGTCTTAATTATTTAACTCATAATTAGACCTAAAGAGAATAGACGTCCCAGTTATACATCACTTCAGCAACAATTGCAACAATCAAAGCAACAACCCTTAACTGAAGATGCAGTCAATAAACTAGCAGTCGATACACTGGAAGAGCTGGACTGGTGTTTGGATCAATTGGAAACTATTCAATCGCACCGTTCGGTCGGTGATATGGCAACCTCTAAGTTTAAAAGAATGCTTAATAAAGAATTAAGTCATTTCTCTGAAACCAAATCCGGATCACAAATATCTGAATGGGTTTTCCGCACTTTTCTCGGTATTAAACAATTTATTACATTAATACAAAATAATTGATATATTATTAATGATATGTACTCTTTGTTTAAACATAGATAAACAAGAAGACTTAGATTTACCATTTCTTAAATTTGATGACGGGTTAGGACAGCAATCACAACCAGGATATGTTGTGGCCACTGCTAAAAATATACTCCCAGGACCTATGATTAAGGGTGATCTGATGACCAAAAAAGCCGGTCAATCCATGTCCCAAATAACTGGTGTGAAAAAACCATTAAGTCATACAAATAGTTTAACTAAATTACCAAAACATGGAGTGGAAACACCCTTTGAGACAGAACTCGACAGACTTTATGAAGATATTGACAAATGGGGTTTAGATGTGTTTAATGTCGCCGAATACTCTAATAAACATCCATTGACTTCAATTATGTACACTATTTTAAAAGTATATATCATTTATTTTATTGTTTTTTAATAAATGATTACATAATAATTTAATTGATAGGCTCGTGATTTAATAAAGACATTCAACATTCCTTCAAAAAAGTTCATAAACTTTATGATGGTTTTGGAGGAACACTACCTCAACGTTCCCTATCATAACAGTCTTCATGCGGCTGATGTCGTTCAGTCAGTTCATGTCCTTCTCCTGTCGCCAGCACTTGACGTAAGTCAACTAAAATTTTTTTTTTTGACAATCATTAGCTAAAAAAACTTAATGTTTAATCTAATGATTACTTTGAAATCAATACAATTAGTCATTTAATAATGAATTAATGTATTTTCTATTAAATCATGTAAAGTCAAATTTTTACATTAAACAGTATTAGTTATAAAATGTTAATAAAGTATTGATATTAACATAATATTTAATTTATAAAAATTTTAGATAATATATTCGGTCTGTAATACCGAATTTAAATCATAATTTAATTATTAATTTTAATATTATTTTTTTAATAGTCAGTGTTTACAGATCTAGAGATATTGACGGCACTGTTTTCAGCGGCCATTCACGATGTAGACCATCCGGGAGTGACAAATCAATATTTAATAAATACGACCTCAGAATTGGCTCTCATGTATAACGACGAGTCAGTACTCGAGAACCATTCATTAGCGGTGGCCTTCAAACTGCTTCAGTCTGAAGAAACCGATATCTTTGTGAATCTCAACAAAAAACAGAGACAAACATTAAGGAAAATGGCTATTGATATGGTGTTGGCCACCGATATGTCAAAACACATGAGCTTATTAGCTGATCTCAAGACAATGGTGGAGACAAAGAAAGTGGCCGGAAGTGGTGTACTTTTACTCGACAATTACACCGAAAGAATACAAGTGCTTCAAAATATGTTGCATTGCGCAGACTTAAGCAATCCTACTAAACGTCTGGATATTTACCAGCGATGGTGTAGTCTTGTTATGGAAGAGTTCTTCCAACAGGGAGCTAAAGAAAAGTCTATGGGATTAGACATCAGTCCAATGTGTGACAGATATAATGCTACTATCGAAAAGTCACAGGTATTCAAACTTTATATACTATTTTTAATTTATATTTATATTATATTATACATTAATTATACATTATTATACATTATTATACATTATTATACATTATTATACATTATTATACATTATTCAGGGTTAAGTAAGGGGGGGGGGGGGTAGGGGGGGGTAAGGCCAAAATACCCCCCCTAAGATCGAGAAATTGGGATTTTACCCCCCCCCAGACTTTTTGACCAAATTGAAAAAATTGTCGCTTAAAAACGAGGAGAAATCTCCCCCCCCCCCCCCCTAAAATTTCGGCGCCGAAGGCGCCGAAAATTTTTTTGAAATTTATAAAAATTTTAATTTTAGTTGATACTATTTTAGTAAGTGTTTTTATGTTTTTAATATTTATAAAAATCTAATTATTGATTAAAAATAGTTAAAATAACGTTAAAAGTCTTCAAAAAATAACATTATTTTAATTAAAATAAACTAAAAAATTAAAAATTACCTATTTGTTGAAAAGAGTAATCATATTACAATTTAAATATAAGTTTAAGAAGTTAATAAAACAATAAATACTTATGTTTTTATTAATAATTTTTAAATTTTAAATAAAAAATTTAAAAATATTTTCAATTTTGTACTTAATATAATTAAACTTTAACGAAATTTGAGTTAAATAAGTAGTATTCAGTCAGTATTTGTATAAAAATAAAAATATATAACAAACTATAAACATTAAGTATTGTTTAAAAAATTAATTATGTTAAAAGTTAAAAATTATTAAAATACTAAAAATAACTCATAGTGTATCATTAATGCTTTTATCAACTATTTTTAAATCTTAAATACATTATTTTATTTTTTTTGTTAAAATTTAAGTTTTTATTAATTTAAAAAAAATTTTTTTAAAAATTTATTTTTTATTAAAATTTAAATTTTTGTTAATTTTTAAGTTTTTTAAGTTTTTTTTTATATTTTTGGAAATTTTACCTATTTTCCCGGGAATTTATACGGGAACTTGTGGGAATTTTATTGAATTTACATGGGAATATTCGGGAACTTAAGGAATTTTTAGGGAATTTTCTCTAGACCCCCCCCCTTGATTTTGGATTTTTGAAAAAATTGCCGTTTAAAAATGCAATAAAAATCTTACCCCACCCAATACCCCCCCCAAGATTTTTTGAGAATTTTGTAAATTTTACCCCGGTCTACCCCCCCTAAAATCCAAAACCTTGCTTAACCCTGACATTATTATACATTATTAATTATTATACATGTCATAATTATGTTTTATAATAATTGTTTTGATTCAATTAACTATAGAATCGTATAAAAGGGCAAAACTTATTTAACTTCACATAAACTAAAATATTAAACAATGAAAGTTTTTAAATATAATTATTGTTAAATAAACATTTCATACTAAAAGAACATACAATATAAAGAATTATCATATTTTGTCTACAATTCAATTGAATTTTTTAAATTATAATTATATTTCTTACTAAATAAAAAACACAGTATTTGTTAATCATTAGTTCGCTTTCATCAAATCGATAGTTTAATTCATTCATTTTATAATATATGATAATTCAGACAATTTATATTAAATAATAATACATTTAACATTTAGTATCTAGTATTTAATAAAATTTTTAATATACTTTTTATTATAAAAATAATTTATTGACTTAATATAATGTTAATAAAAAATAAGAAACAAAATACACTTTATATTATAAACTATTTTTTAAAGAATATATTGACTTAATTATAATTAAAATTTTAAGTAAAAATTTAATTTAATTACTAAATTTAAAATGATATTTAATAAATACTGTTATTTGCTATATTGATATTTTTAATATATTGTACTTGTTATAATAACTATATCATATTTTTTATATAAATAATATTGATTGTGTATTTTATTTAATCAATTTGAAATATTTTCTATTACAGGTTGGATTCATTGACTATATTGGTATGTATTGAACTATTTTGTTAACATTTTCTAATCTTTTATAAACTTGAATTAATAGAAGTATTGAATTGAAAATTATTGAATTTTTATAATGTCTGTCAAATAAACGTATGGTAAAATTCAAACATATATTTTAGGGTAAATTATCACTAATATGTATTAACAATATCATTTGAATACAAAATTTATTTATCACCTAAATGTGATATTTTAAAAGGTTATGTCTCAGTCAAAAACAAATAATATAATATATTTAGAGATTAATTATTGTTTATATACTAAATTATAAATAATATTAAAATCTAATTATTATTAAGAGTTAAGGAAAAATATTCTTAATAAAAGAAGATATTTTTAAATAAGTGTTATTGAAATTATTATATTATAGAATATTGATAATAATATAATAATAATAATAATAATAAATATACAAATTATAAAAATGGTTCAAACTTTTATCTTAAACCGTTAAAATTGATATTTCTTGTTTTATATATTATAATTAATAATTAGTCTATAATCGTATAACTTATAATCGATATAATAACTTGTTTATGATATAAAATTTATGTTTAAAAATATAATTTTATAAATAACTAACTATTTTAAAGATATTTGAATTTTACATTGATGCTTTGTTATTTAATTATTTTTATATAAGTAGTTACAGTATTTTTGATGAATATTTTAATTTTTTTAAATATTCCGTATAAATTATAACTCAAATAATATACTGTATTTACTATATAGTATATACAGTATTAATTAAAAGCTATTTTTAAAGAGGTGTTTCTAAACAGACTTTGTTTGATTTATAATTTATTATTAATACATTATAACAATTACAACACTAATATCAATACTGACTAAAAATTCAAGTTAATTGTGAAAATCAATTTGTTGTGTAATTTACTATTAATTGCATATTTGAATGAATAGTTCATCCGTTATGGGAAACGTGGGGAGATTTGGTACATCCAGACGCTCAAGAGATCTTAGATACACTTGAAGACAACCGCGATTGGTATCACTCACAGATACCTCTCAGTCCAACGACTCAAGACGCAGACAAAACACCCGAAGAGGGCGGACCCGTCAGAGACTTAGCGGCCGCCGCAGAAAAAATCAAATTTCAAATTACTTTAGAGGAACCCGAAGATGAAGAAGATTATGAAGAGTCCAGCGATCAGTTAGGATAAAGAAACGTCTATTCATCACATTTTTAGGAATAAAATCATTAATTTTCACAAAATTCCATATATTTATATGGATTGGCCGCTAATATATATAGAATAGTATTGACTTTTTATTTAAATAGACAAATACTGAGTGCAATGAAATGATATAATTTTAAAAATTGAAATTATTGTTAAATTATTTCAAATATATATTATAAATAATATAGTTAAATTTGATATAATTTATAAATTATATAAATATTTTAAATGATTCATTTTTTTGTTTGCATATATTAAAATACTGGATGCCATTTATGTCATAAAATGAAATATGTAAAAATGTTTGCGATAAAAATAATCTTTAAATTAAATAATAATGAAATCATCGGCAAAACATTATAAACAATGTTTTATAACAAAAAAATGTAATTATTTCAAACTAGTCATATAGATATATTTTTTGTTTATTGATATTAATTATATGGTATATTTTGTATATCATATAATATGCAAAATAAATGGATAATAAAAAAAATAATAAATAATTTTAAGCTTTATATTAAAGTCTAATGAAAATTACTTGCAAATGATTTTTAAAAATAAATAATGCAATAAATGAAAAGATTTAACAAAAATTAGAAAATAAATTTGTATTGAATGGTACTATGGTTTAGATGCACAGTCATAAAACATCATTACATTTCGTTAAATATTTAATGTTGTTAATTAACTAAATGTAATTAAATTAATAATTGTAATTAAATGCCAATTAGTTTATTTATTTAGTTGAACTACAAGTGGAAATTTCATCTTTAATGATAATCCCTGAAAATAACAATTAAACAATTGATTAATCGGTTTTTAATTATTAAACAAATATAAAATGAATAATATTGTATATTAATAAATTCAATGTGTGTAGTGATGCCATAAAATGCATTGATTTTACATATCAATTTAAATGATTGTAAAAATTATATTACTGTTAATAAATACATTATTTAAAGTGCCAACACTACCAACACTATATATAAATATATACATGTATTTATCAGATTTTATAGATAGTGTCGATTTTAACAATAATTTCAAATTTGGTTTTATATAAATTTGCAAATAATTAATTTTTAATTATTAATGTTAACCTACTTAATTTAGTTTTAAAATAATATTAAAAATTTATTAAAAATCGTTGTTGAATTAAATAATAATAGTATAGTTTATTTAAATATTTTAGAATTCAATTTACCACCAAATAACTCATTTTTAAATTTATTTTAATTGTTTGATAAACTATTTTAAATCACTTTTATATCTTAAAAAGCAAACAATTCAAATAATAAAACTATACATTAGTATTGTAATTGTTAATTGAAATAACTTGTTGAAAATTTTGAAACATTATAAAATCATTTATATAAGTGCCTGAAAAATAACAAATGTTTTTGGTTTATTTAAATGTGTAAAAATTGATGTAAATATTTGGTTTATTAAAAGTTATCATAAAATAAATCAATTGTAATAATTATTGTTATTATTTTATTTTTGCATTTCAGAAAATAAGTTTCTTCGCATATTAATATAGAAAATATTATTTTTTAAAAGTTAAATATATTAGAAATAATTTAGAAATTACTTAAATATTTATCAAAACACTGATTGTCATTCATAATTATCGTGGTTCATTTTTATAATTACAGTACTATATATATACTGGTACAGTATATATATAAACAACAGCAAAAAATATATTAAACATTCAACTGAGTCATACATTGTGTCAAATAAATTAATTTAAAATTATTTAAGACTGCTTTTAAAAATTTGGTTAATAAGAGATTTTTAATGATAATCAATTAAGACTTATAATTAACGATATTAACAAAAACAACAAATAAATTACATTTTTAAAATTACACAAAATATTGGGTGAGGTATAAATTATTATTGCAGTTTTAAATTTTTAAAAAATAATTTCAACATCGAGGGGGAGGAAGTAAAAATTTTGATAATCTTAAAAGTATATTTAGTTTTGAATGATAAATAAAATTGTTGTTTTTATTTTTTAAATAAATAAATAATTTATTTTTAATTATTTTTTGCACATTTTAGAGGTAAATAAAATGAAATATTATTACTTTATCTTTAATTACCTCCCATTGTTTAACTCTAATCTAAAAATATATTGCATTTATTGCATCTAAAAATCTAAAATTGCATTTAAATATTTTTAATATTATATTTTAAATGTTTTATTCTATAAAGTACCATATATTGTACATTCAATATATATATTTAATACAATTATATAAACTCTATAATTAAATAATTATTTTGCTGTTTTAAGTAATTTGAATTTATAACTTAAAGGTATGATCATTTTTGTTTAGTTTTGATAAAAAAATAAATGGTGTTAACTTAAAGTTAACTTAAACATAATTTATAATTTTTATTTATTTTTATTTTTAACAAAATAATATGTAAATAAAATTAACAAAATAAATGTCTTATGTTATATTTATATAATTATTTATAATAAACTGTATGAATATATATTATATATAGAATATTTATAAACTCAAATAAATTTAAATACAAAATAATATTTTACAATATAATAATTTTTTTTGAAAAGACTGTAAATGTCATCATTTGTGATTCAAAAGAGTCTCTTCTTCTTCATCAATGTCTTCGTCGGCCATTTTGATTCTGTCGATATCACTCTTAAGACCATTGGTTTTGATTTGGTTTTGTTTCAACATTTGGACATTTTCTGTGGTTTTCTGTGACTCGAGAAGTCGCGAATAATTTCCATTTAAGATAACTTCTGGCGTCTGTTCTTTCATTGATTTAACTTTTTTTGACTTTTTTGTTTTACAGAGTATTAATGAACAACAGCAGTGGTAGATAATAACCACTACCAGTGCTATACTTATGGACATTATGCCCGTTAATCTTAAAAGCACACGAAAGCCATCCTCTAAATAAGTATATCCTTCAGTATAATCTATGTCAACATCATTGAGCCAATACCACCAATTGCTATACTGAGGCCATGATAATAGCCAAACACCTCCGATGACAGCTCCCAGTGCTCGACCGCCACCAAAATGTATTAAGTTTAAAGTGTACTGAAGTATTATATGTGACGAACATTCCTGATATATAGTTCCCGTAGCGTATGTACTGGCGTTTGGACTTCTTTTAATGAGATGATGACAATAGGATGTAATACCAATCCAAGCCAAAGGAAGAGTAAATGCTTCCATCATTTCAAAAGGTATGAGAAGCCATTTAGGGTACAACAAAAAGGATACACCACCAAAACGAAGACTATAAAATACAAAGGCTAGTATTATAAGGTTAGCCCTTCCGACTCCATTGATCAATGATTTAGCAATGAATGTGAAGGGAGCGGCCGCACCAAAAGTGGCCGTAAATGTTAATCCTATCCATAGTTTGTTTGTTTTCATATTTATATAAAATGGATGCAAAAATGTCTCCAATAAACCCCATTGACAGCCGAGGATTAGTATAAGAGGAAAAAATAATAAAAGCCGACATATAGCCGACCCATTAGTATGTTGTCTGGGATATGACTCATCTGTTGGTACTATTGGTGCTGTTTTACCGATTTGTTGCGATATTGACTTAGATAACAAATTGATAGGCGTTAGTGGCATCATTAATACTAGAAATGCTGTAATCACTACCAGACCATCAAATATAATAATAGATGGGGCATAGTTAGGACTGTCTATTGTAGAAAAATAGTCAATAAGTTGTCCTGTAATCGGTGGCCATGCAATCATTGGTATTACTAGTGCCCAAACTTTTGAAAATCCACCATAAATTGAATCAAAATCGTTAGTCATTGTAACTGAAAGCGCATCCAATAGAGTATAAGCAGTGAATAGTGAAAAGTCACCCAAAGATCTGATAGTTAAATATGCGTAAAATGTTTGTTTTGGATCTCCTGTTTCTATAAGACATGGTGTCGGAGGTCTCAATTGTACATCTTTATCACGAGTGGACAGTCGATGTCGTAAATTTATATGACAATAGACATTACAATTGGGAACATATGGTTTGCACTGTACATTATGGTAAAGTTTTTGGTTAAATAGTAATGGAGGTGCCGGTTGGTATGTACAGGTGGGTTCATTATGAAATACACGATCAATAATATCATCTTTAGTACTCTCGATGACTGGCCATCTATCAAATCTGGAGTCAAACTGAATCACATCGTATGTCTCAGATGTCTGTCCATCGGGTCCTTCTGTTCTTCGTGATGCCTGAGTATCAGCACTCATACCATCCCTACTGAGTGCTATATTTTTAGATAAATAATTAATTATTAAATATTAAATGAATAATCAAATAATGCTATTTTATACTTAGACATAAAGATCCATCGTTAGGAGTTCCCATAAAGCAGACATTGATTGGATTCCATGAAGAGTTATATGAACCACTAAATGGACATTCATAGGAACAGCTTGTGAACTGAAAGTTTGAGAAATTAGTGGCCGGTCTCTTTGGATATGTATGACACTGTCCCTCCCAATTAGGGCACTGCTCTATACGTAAAATACTTTGCGTGCAATCATAATAAATCTTTGGTTGTCTTTCAGTTATAATAACTTTTGGGACAAATAATAGTCCCGTATATGAGATAAATGATAATAACAAACAAAACACAAGAATTGATTTATATTTGTTATATTTATAAGCAATTGGTCCCAAACATAGCGGTCCAATCATACTTATAAGCGCTACAATCGATGTAATCCATGCCGATTGAACTTTTGTGATACCAATTTCACGCATATGAGCGCTCAGGTATGGTACCAAACATGCCAGTGCTGTTAATATAAGTAATTAATATTAGCATATATATTGGGCTAATATACTGTATAATAATAATAATATATATATACATATTGTATAACATATATTATATATATATTTTTTTTTATATATATATATTTTTATATATATTTATTTTATATATTACAAATATTTAATAAATATATCTTTCAATTATTACAGTATTTAGGAAGTAATGTATTGAAAAATAATGAAATGATGTGATGTTTATTTTTAAGTATTAAATTTAATATAATATTTTTGTCTTTAAAAAATAATTGTATTAGTATTTAAGGTATTGTATTAATGTTATTACATTAAATTACATTATATATCGGCTTAAAGAAATGAGTTTTAGGTCAAACTTAAATCAATTGAAAGTAAATTATAAATTTTATAATTATGATATAAAAACGTTGAATAAAAACTATAAGAATTATAAGATCTAATACTTTAATTGTTTTTTACAATAAATATTTAATAATTTCTAAAACTAAATATTAAAATAACTTTAGCATATTATCAATATTTTTTATTAAAGAAATTGTTTTACTTATTTAATTAAAACAAGAAATATAATTAAAATTTCATTAAACAATTTTACAAAACTATAATTGAAAATTTATTCATTTGAATGAATTGTTAATTATTTTAATTATTTAATTTTTAAACATAACAAATATAAATGTAAAAGGATACCGACAATTCTGGTTTCAAAAAACATTTAAAATAGAGAAATTAAATTTCTAAATTATAAAATTAAATAATCATTATATTAATTCAAAAATAAATTTTATCAAAATTGAAAATTGTTTATAATAAATATGAAAATTTAAATCAATAAAATATATTAATATTTTTTCAATTATCATTTCAATCACTCCTCTCAGTTGGAGTTTTCTAATACTTAAAATAAGTTTTTTAGTTAAAGGAAAGTAAGTAAATGTTATTTATAACTAAATGTAATTATATTATTAAAATGATAGACAATAAGGAAGTGTATGTAATAATGGTATGAAATGGTTGGTCTCAGACCTGAATAGAAGAAACAGTTGACAACATTCAGACCGTTTCGTTTGCGTTCAATAGCTTTCAATGACATTATAGAAGAAAACTTATTGTTTCCAATCGATGACTGTTTGACACCGTTTGGGTCCAACTTTTATTGTCGAAGTTGATGGTCAACTGTTGTTCAATTTGTTGGTTATTACTAAATGCAGTCTTTAACCTGCGATATCCACTTGTTTGCCACCCATTTGTTGGTAAAACCGTAAAAGTAAGACAACAAAAGATATGTTTGGTTTGAGAAATAAAGATCACGACTAATATGTAGAGAGTGTTGAATAGCACAACACATATGTAATATTGTCTAATTCACGACCAGAGGCAGGTGCAGGTGCTGGTGCTGGTGCTGGTGATCTCCACTGGCATTGCTTACCAAATGATGGCTATTATGGCATAAATTCAATACTAAAACACACGCAAACACTAACACTATTACACAATTGCCTTTGAAATGTTATCTAACAAAATAACTCCAATAATTGTATTATTTTATTACTTATATCATAGTATTTTCCATGCATTCGGTCCACTAATTGGAAATATCCGGCTATAAAAACAATGACAACAAATATATTCAATTTATTTTTTAATAAAACTATTTTATTTACTTTCATCATTGCTATCAAAACATATTTTTATATAATAAACATTATATTATATTAAAATTTTCAGATATAGTTTTGCAAATAGATTTTATGAATATCTCATCGTATCTACAAAAATATAATAATATAAATACTAGATTATTGAGACAACTATTAACATTAGCTAAGAAAAACTTGTATTACTTGTATGAGTAATATTCAATAATTCAAACAAAAGAGTTTTATTATTGTTGTTTTAAATTGAATGCTAAATGATGTAATGTTATAATAATAATAATAATAATTAAAAATATAGTTTCAGAAATAAAAATGTTAATGTTTAATTTTTTTAAAACATTATTTTCAATTATAAATTTAATTTAAACTTTGATATATCTGATTAATCTAATATATTTTTTAAATGTAAGTTATACAATTAAATAATTAAAATTTTATATTGCTAAACTTATTTATAGAATATGAATCTGTATTAAAGTGTTAATTTAAAAATATTTAATTTAATAAATTAGTTCAGAAACCTTGATCACACATTTCCGCTAAAATTTTGCAGATAAATATTTACTCATATCTATCAGTTTTATAATTTATTTAATTTATTGTATATTTAATGACTATTTAATTTATTAATAATGGATAAACATCCTTTCAATTGATGTATTATTATATACTATACAATCAATAAATAATTTTATTACATATAAAGTATTATATAATACAGTACTAACTAAACAAGTCTGAGTGCAAAATTCAATAAAATATAACTTAAAATTTATAGAAAAAACTTGTTTAGTTCATCAAAAAAGGTTGTCTATTATTGATTACCCAACCATAACAAAACTCAGATCCATTACTCGACCCTAACCCTAACCCTTACACCAACCCCAACCCCAACCCTAACCCTAACCCTAACCCTAACCCTAACCCTAACCCCAACTCTAACCCTAACCCTAACCCTAACCCTAACCCGATCATACTTTCATTTACAGACTTAAAATTGTTACTATAATATTGTAAATTTTCACTAAATAAATTTCTTGATAACTCACATCAAAATTAATACTTTTATTTCTATAAATAATTTTTTCTTTAAAAGATGCAATTGTCAGATGGATAGACAGATAAAGTTGAAACTAATTTGCTGTGTATAGAGGTTATAAATTTATAAACACTTATTATATATCATACAATATAATATCAGCTATATAATTAACAAATTTTAAATTTTATTTTATCATTTATGATCTTTTTTCTCATAGTTTTCAATTGTAAATTCAGTACAGTGTAAACAATGCAAACTTATTGATTAAATCTTAGTAACATTTTTTTTGAATGCATTCAATTGCTTTACTAACTTTAAAAGTCAATCAAAGTGTGTTTATAATAGTTATTAAACAAAAATATTTTCATATTTATAATCCCACACATGACTCAGTTATTTTTTAAATAAAATATTACCGATTATTACATCATTTTATTATAACATAATGACAATGCAGTCTTTTTTGTTATTTCTTAATAAAATGTTGTTATACAGCATAAAACAAATCATATTATTCTGTATTACATAAAAATACTTAAATTTTTGAACATAACTTTATGTATACTTATACTGAACAGTATGTTAATTAACGTTTGACAATAATCAATGTTTTTTATGAGTTAATTTTTTAAAGTTTACTATTTTTACTGTTTTATAGCAGTATTAACATAGACTAACAAAGAAAATAAGTTTTAATGTGAACATAAAATGCAAATAAAATTTTATGTATTTAGTTATATATATTAATAGTTCCTATGTTACATAAATAATAATAATTACTATTATACAACATTTTCTAATATATTTAAACAACATATATTTTATTATATAGCAGATTATAAGATTAAATCTCTCTCTCTCTCTCTCTCTCTCTCTCTCTCTCTCTCTCTCTCTCTTTATTTATTTTTCTCAAATAATTCAAAATATTATATAGTTATAATCCCGAATATTAAATATTACTTTAAAGTCTATAATCAAACTTTTAATTAATACTTTATCACAAAAACATTTTTTATTTTTGATAAAAATTCAATAAAAGTGTTAATTGAATGAAAAATGTTTATAGATTTTTACAAACAAATGTTGAAAACTCCGACGAGAGGTCATCTCAGGTTAGAGTTTGTAATTATAGTTATGTTTTATATACAGTGAAAGCAAGTATATTAGGAAACCGTGAGCTCAGCTAAAAATTATAGACATCTAAATTTATAAACTGACAACAATTTTAATAGTAGTTAATTAACTATATGTGTATTATAATTATTTTGAGCTTTGTTGACTAATATTCAAATATTGAATTATAATTAATATACAAGTTTAATCAATTCAAAAATAAAAACTAATAATTATATTTTACTCATTGATTCCTAACATACAGTATTTACTAATAAAATATAATTAACTTTAATATAACTTCACACACACTGTTAAACATTATTTAATATATAAATTATTTTTTCAATAAACTATTATCATGATTATAAATAATTGTTTTGAAATTATTTGTTGTTTTCTATTTTAAAACAAAAAATATTTAACCATTTTTTTTAAAGATGAAATGAATATTTATTAATAATGATATATATATTATTGAGATTAAACATATTAATTTTATTCACTGATTTATATATAAAGTCTATGTTACCTGTATATAAATTTTGACAGTATAACACTCGAGTAAATAAATAATTTTTATAAAATAGCTAAAAGTTGTTATTAAGGTGAAAAACTACGTACAATATAAATATAACAATAACTATCATATTATATATCAAATTATATCAAAAAATATTATTGCATTGAATATAATTCTATGTTTATAACAATAATAACAATTACCTTGAATTCAGTTGTGATGAGAAATACAATAAAACTTGAAACGAATGAATGCATTGACAGATACTGTATATTTAGCACACAGTGTTTGGACCACAAATTGTACTGAATTTACAAACTTATGATACAAACAATTGATGTGTTTGTTAGTCACTTATACACTCTTTGTATGAAATTATTGAGTCGAAAGAATCGCTTTTTCAAACACAGTATAAAATGACTTTTTTAATGATTAATAAAAACAAATGAATAAAACAAAACAAAACAAAGTAATAATTATATGCTTTTAGTTGCTATTTGAATGTTAAAAAACAGACAACACTATACAGTATTTATATATATATATATATATTATATTTAATATATGCTGTATATTGAATATACAAAATTATGATATGACAATGTTTTCATATGGAGAGTTCATATGGTTTGTTATGAATATTATGATAGGGTATGGTTGATATAGTGTGTGTGTGTGTGTGTGTGTGTGTGTGTGTGTGTGTGTGTGAGAGAGAGAGAGAGAGAGAGAGAGAGAGAGAGAGAGAGAGAGAGAGAGAGAGAGAGAGGGATGACATAAGACAACCAGTTGATGGACCACATGCTCCACAACTACATAATACATACATAGTTGTGATTGTAAGCCAATACACACCAGTTGTGGGGGAAATGCACTCAACTCATTGAATTGAATGGTGCGAACAATCGGCAGATATACCGCACCCACTTGACTGCCAACTGCCCCAAACCATTGCCATACTATGGTATATAATATAATGATATATACAGCATATACTACAATATATTGTGTACCCACTATACCCTCTGCCTGTCTTTCAATTACTTTACTTTTCAAAGCATATCCTCTTTCCGTATATGAGATTTCAAAAGTTTATTTTCAATAATAATTAAAAACAAAGTTTTATTATATTATGGAACCTAAAAGTGTATATAATTTAAATATTTTAGTTCCTATTTTATTGAACGACATATGTTCACAATTTTATTCGTTATAAATATTTTCTCTTTTATTATTAATAATAAAACTTATTTATTGTTTATTGCTTTATTTTTATACATCATTTAATCGTTACATTAATACATTTAAACATTATATACAGTAATACGTGATTTAATTTTATTTATTTAAAAGATTCAATAAATATTTTAACATAAAAATATTCCTTAATCTCATTAAATCTTTATATTTGTTTACATAGGGTTTTATGTGGGAAACATGTTATAAATTTTCTAAATATTTGGCATTGAAATAGAAATAAAAATTAATGAATATTGTCTGTAAAATATAAAATTACTAAAAACAATTGGTTTATTTATTTCACTGATGACACAAACAGTAGCTGTTTTTATACATATTATATTGAATTTATGAATTAATGAATATATGTTTATTGAAAACACACACTTATGTGCAGTATATTCAACAAACTTTGTTTCGTATAAGGAATCTGTCTGTATATGTGTCTGTATATGTGTCTGATTGTCGCGTTTAAAAAATCACTTAAAATATTGTGATTCGGATAGATCGTCAAAAAATTGAATAATAGTAATGTCATATTTCTTAAGGAACAAGGTCAAAATAGTCAAAATAGTTAAAGTGGTCAAAATGGCCGACAAATATTTTTTTAAATGTTTAATTAATGAACTTAATAATAATTGTATAAATAAGTGTATGTGTGGGTAAATGTGTAATAGAGTGAATGGGAAATTTGTATAATTAATAAAACAATTACCGTATTTCCTTACTTAATTCCCCTTATAAAGTTCATAAAAATATGAAAAATAACATTTTCATACGAAACTCGTATTGTTTACCACCCTGGTAAATTAAACGAAGTTGTGGGGAAAAGGAAAAATGGGGGAATGGGGAACTGTAATGTATATTTAACAGTAATCTATTAAAATTTAGGTATATTTAGATAACTATTTTAGATACTGTAACAGTATCTAACAATGAATAAAAATTGTATACTTTTACAGTATTTTTACATATTATAAATCGGTAAATAGATAGCATATTCAAAGGGTTCGGAACTATTTGAGACTCTAAATACAAGGGGTGGTAAAACTTGAAAATGTATAAAAACAGGGGGTGGGAAATTAAAATTTAAAGTCACAAAATATATTTTTCTTATGGTAAAAAACTTGCATTATTTACCATGACTAACATACAGTATCTCCATACTGGGAATTAAGCAACATTTAACGGTAGAAATACTTTCTAGAAGTTTGTTCTTGTAATGCTATTTATTATTCTCAATTGGTTTATGTTTTGATAGCCTCTTGATCTCATTAGACAAAAATGCATTAATAAATTATATTTTTTATATTAAATAATGTAAATATTTATATATATATATATATATATCAAAATAAATGCATCAAAATTTATTTTATCAGATTATATCTAAAGAGAGTTATTAATAACATTATTTTTTGTTGTTTTACACAAACTTATAAAATATAATAAATGTTTTAAAATGTTAAATATTAGTTGCATTTATTTTTATTTATTGAATTAAACTATTTAAAAAATATTTGTATAAAAATACAGAATTGAAATGTCTAACAATGTTTATAACTTTTAATTTTATTAGTATTTAAAAATAAATATAAAGCTTCAATGATTAATTTATATTTTTTATCTAAAATATGTTTTTTATTAGAGTTTATATAGTATACTCAACAACAATAAGATTTTAATAAAAAACGCTATTATAAAAAATATTTCACAATAATACATAGAAATGAATACCATTATTGACAATAAAAATTAAGTAATTAAAAACTGTATAACAGTAGTATCATGATTTGACATTAACATTATGATTTGAATTAATGTGATAACTAACAATATAGTTTAAATATTTATGAATAAATACTGTACATAAAATATTACAAACATTATATAAACTTTAAATTAAAAATATATGTATAATATTATTATGTTAAAAGAAAAACAAATTATTAAGTATAACAAATAAGCTTTTTAAACTAATTTTTTCAATATTTTACAGTATTTATACAGTATTATCTAATTTTTAATAAATATAGTAATATGTTTTATGCAAAATGTCATGTAAATTGTAAAAAATTATACATAATTTACAACAGTTTTTTCAAAAATATAATTTTCAAAGAATATGCCGACACAAACAAAAACTAAAATAATACAAAAATATTGAAAAAGCGTTATTTACTTAATTTTAGCAAAAGTTCATTAGAAAGTCAGGACTGTTATGTTATGGGGTTGTTATGCAAAAAAAAAGATTACACAAAATATTTCTCGTTTAAAGTGTACTCTAATCTGATATTTCAAATGCAATGACCTCTCATTTCTTTGTTATTTTCAAATATTAAAACTCCTTATATAACATATAATACAAGCATTTATATAATTTATAAATGATTGCATGAAAAACTCAATAACTGAATGTTAACATCACTTGATGTGAAGTGAAATTCAATGATTAATTTCTAATATTTATATCGGAATATGTAGAGTATATATATATATATATAAAGTTTAATATTAATATATGAAAAATATTATGTTTTTAGTAATCATATACAATAGTAAAATCTTTTGATATAGCTTTTATAGTAAACATAAATTTATATAATAATGTATGAATAAATTGAGTATATAATGCGTTAAATTGAAAATAAATGAAAATAGTAATACATTTATATCATTATAGCCCTCAAAGCGGAACAAGTGGTCAATTGACGACTCAAACGACTTTATTTTACTATTCAAACAGTTTTATTGTATTTATATACTGTATAAAAGTGAATAATTATTAAACAATTACTTTCAAAATAAGATACAAATATCCATTTTGCGAATCATAATTTGTAATACAATTAATAATAACAATAAATATATACAATTGTATTATTTCTATTTTGTTTATGATTTTCAATATATTAAAAATATTTTTTATAGCTATACTGTAACTAAATTGCTATACAGTATATTTATCTACTCTATTTAAAATACATTATCAAATATTTATAATTGAGATATAAGACAAAAGTAAAGATATTTATATAAATGATCAATTGTGGAGCCACTCATACCCACTATATTTTGGATATACAATTTGAATATATAATAAAAGTTAAAATGGTTTTTAAACATAATTTTGTCATTGTTAACTATAACCCCAAAAATTGCTGGTTTGTTATATAATAACTTTCAAAATAATTACTTTTTGTGAATTTTTATTATGTATTTCTATATTATAAATGATATACAACATAATAATAATGTTTGACCAGAAAAATATTTCGTGGAAACAGTCATCAGGAGTCGTGATTTGCAATTATTGACGGACCGGTGGGTCGTATAATATGTTAAAGACTAAAACAAAACACCACTCATTTACATAACAGTCGTTCAACTTTTCAATGTATAGAAACAAAAATTTTAAGAAAGAAAATATATATATATATTTTATAAACTATAAGTCAAGTAATTATTATATGAGCAGTTATGGGTAAACTTTTAGTTAATTATAAACTGGTAAAATAGTACACAAAATTAATTGATAATTACATAAAAGTGATGTAGAAATAAAGTTTTTATTTTATCATATAAATAATATTAAATAATATATTGAAAAATAAAACATGCATAAAAATAGTTCTAATAAATAAAATCTCTTAATTAAAGTAAAAATGATATTTTTACAATTAAATTATTAAATTAATTATTTAAAATCAAACAACATATAAAAATAAATATTTGTATAAAATTAATAACAGTATTTTATTTCAGTATTTCACATGTGTTTTATGCAAAATATTATATAATTTGTTTTATTTATTCAAGAATATAAAAGTGGAGATAAATAGTACAGTATATATATATATATATATATATATATATATTATCAGGGTTAAGTAAGGTATTGGATTTTAGGGGGTATAGGGTGGGTGTACATTTTTAGTGCATTTATAAACGACAATTTTTTCAAAATTTAAAATTCAAAGGAAAGATCCTTAAATTCCTAAATATTCCCATGTAAGGAAATTTCCAGGTAATTAGAAAATGTATAAATTCACTAATTTTCTGGAATGTTTTTTTAAATTATTAAAATCTATTAAATTTTGACGAAACTTTAAAAAATAAGAAATAATTCTTTATTTAAAATGTAAAATTTAAAAATAATTAATAAAAATATTAATGTTTACAATATAAATTGTTTAATATACATGTATAAATGTATGAAATAAATTATGTTTATATTAATAATTTTTTGTGTAGTTGTAAATTAGTTAGGGTAGTTGTGTTTTAAACTTATTGCTACACTACCGGTACATAATTGTTTAAAACTATTTACAGTATAATAATTATGCACAAGTCTACTGTATTTGTAAATAAATTAGTGATAATATTAATTACCATTATCTATATTTAAAAATATGATTATAATAATTGCTGAATATTTTTTATCAATTAATTTTCTGTGATTTTACCTGTTATTATATAATTAAAATAAATTGAGTTTATTTTCAATTTTTTATATTATGATGTAACTCATTAGTGATGAGTACTGCATAGTATAACTAAATAATATAATAATAATTTATTATTAAATTCACATTACTTTATATTTTATTAAGACATTCAATAATTATTTATTAATGTTTATTATAGAGAAAATGACATCTTTGATGAAAATACAAGAGACAAATGTAAATCAATACAACCAATAATATTATATACAATACATAGCATTAGACAATTGAATATTACAGATACTAGGGTTAGGGTTTGTAATGATTGCCTGCTGACTCAATTTATTAATTTGAAATTTATTTTTCAATATTTCAATGAAGTTTTATTCAAAATATTTAAGTTTTGGTACTATTTATTGTAATAATATAAATTATATTTTCCCTCCTAACGAGTTAGTGAACCAAAATAAAGTATTTTCCATATTTTCAGGAAAAATTAGAGGGATTATATTAGGGAACTTTCCTCATTACAAACTCAAACCCTAATAGATACTGTACATAAAAATTTTGCCAAAACTTTCATTTTTGCACAATATTATAATCTAGTCTTTAATATCATCTAATGTTTATTAATGACATAATTTTGTTTACTTTTAATTTTATTCATATTTTATTCATATTACTATTCAATCTAATTATAACACTTTGCATTTTGGTTAAATGACTACAGTGTGTTACAATATATGATTATATTTTATAATCAATTTTTTAATAATTTAAATATAATTTAATATAGAAATAAAACAATAAAAATGTAAATGTATGGTAAAATAATGTATAAAGTTTAGTATTGTACTTGAAATTAATATTCCTGTATCTATTAAAATGTGAGTAAATAATTATTGTAAAAAACATGATTTTATACTTTTGATACTTTTACTGAATTTGATTAAATATTATTTAGCATTTTGTATAATTATTATACAATTATTGTAATTAATAGATTACAACACTATTTAATAGAGTCTTAATTCTGTATTTGTCTATTAATTAAAAATTTTCTACACTTATAATACTAGAGTCAATCAATATTAGAAAACTGTGAGTTTTAATTATCAGAGCAATTTCAGGTCAAGTTCTAACTATTGTTTTATATAATAAATAATTTAATTTTAATACAGTATACGATATTCATTATGAAATAAATTAATTAATAAAATTACAAAATAATTACAAACCAGTTAAGAATGCTAGAAAGCATTTTCAGAAAAAAACTTGAATATCATTTAAAATCATTAGTTTGTATAATTATAGCGGCTATATAGTATAATACATATAATATTATAATGTCAAAATATACTCAACTTTAGTCATCTAGAGGATCAAATGACTCAGTATGACAAAATATGCTTGACTATAGTTATGTGAGGTATCAAATGATTCAGTATGCCAAAATAAACTCAACTATAGTCATGTAGGGTATCAAATGACTCAGTATGACAAAATAAACAACTATAGTGATACTTTTAAAATAATAAAATTAATTTTGATCATTATAAATTATTTTTCATGCTCTATACAATTCTAAACGTTAAAAATTACCTAATTTTTTTTAATATTTTTGCAGCCATCTTTTGAAAAAATAAATAATAATGCTCATTTATTATATATTATTTTTGATACTCTATATAATTCTAAACGTTAAAATTTTCACCTAAATTTTTTACTTTGACCGCCATTTTCTCTATGTTCCCGAAGATATATCAAAATTTTGATGCATACTTATTCAAATCTATACTTAAAAAAATTTTCTTAAATTTTTTTACTTTGGCCGCCATTTTCTCTATATACCCGAAGAGATATCATAATTTTAATGCAACTTTTCAATACATTATTAGTAGTCCTCTAACCGAATCTGAAGTCAGAATTTCAAAATTCGCAAAAAATATGCTACAGACACACACACAGACACACACACAGACACACACACAGACACACACACAGACACACACACAGACACACACACAGACACACACACAGACACACACACAGACACACACACAGACACACACACAGACACACACACAGACACACACACAGACACACACACAGACACACACACAGACACACACACAGACACACACACAGACACACACACAGACACACACACAGACACACACACAGACACACACACAGACACACACACAGACACACACACAGACACACACACAGACACACACACAGACACACACACAGACACACACAAAAAGCCATTATAGATTTCAGTAAACAAAACTTTTCAAGTTTTTTTTTGAAAATATTTCTTATATATGAATTTAAACTTTAAAAACTTACAATTTATCAAATTAAATCTAAATACTTATTTTTCACATATATTTACAGTATATTTAACTATATTGTAAACGAGTAGATAATTAAGTATTAATTAAATCATTAATTTACTATTATTAGTATCTCTCGAATAATTTATACGAAAACATGTATTTTTAAAATAATTAGATGTAATATTTAAAAAATAAATAAATTTACTAATAGTTATTGTTTAAAAATTTATTTAATTATTAAATACTAATTAATACTAAGTTTAATAAAATGAAATACAAAGGAGTGGTGACATCTGTTCCTTAAGAACTTATAACAGGTTTTCGATAACAGGTTTTAGTTTAAATTAGTGATGCATTAGTTAACCAATAAAAAAGTTGAAATTATATAAAAATCATTATTAAGCAAAAAAGCCCTTAGGGTTTATATATCAGCCATGAAATTAATATACCCTGAAGTCTATGCAATGATAATACTATTAATCAGAAAACATGAATTCCTTATTTAAAGGTATTAAACAAAAATTCATTAAACAATTTATAATTTTTTGATAATATTCACAAATCTTTTATAATTATTTTATATTAGCAAATAATCAATGTTTGAAGCAATCAATAGAAATATTGTGGAAAACTAATCAATCATTAATAAAACGGAATAATTGGTCGACGACTAAGACTATTATTAATAATGAATTGGAAAATATAAGAAATTCTGGAGTTTGGAAGTCTGAACGGGTCATCACTTCCAAACAGGACTCGCATATCAATGTCGATGGAAAGACTCAACAAGTTATCAATTTTTGTGCCAACAATTACCTCGGATTATCAGTTAGTCAATGAAATGTCAATAATAAACATAATATTTAAATTTGTGATTATATAATATAAGAGTCATCCGGAAGTTATTAAAGCCGCTAAAGAAGCTCTCGATAAATACGGTTCGGGTTTGAGTTCTGTAAGATTTATTTGCGGCACTCAAGACATACACAAACAACTTGAATCCAAAATCGCCGCTTTTCATGGCAGAGAAGATGCTATTCTATACGCCAGTTGTTTTGATGCAAACGCTGGACTTTTTGAAGCACTTCTTAGTGCCGAAGATGCCATCATTTCGGATGAATTAAATCACGCGTCAATTATTGATGGCATTCGTCTGTCAAAAGCTCAGAGATTTCGATACAAACACCGAAATATGGATGACTTGGAAAATATATTAAAAAATAGTCAATCGTTTAGAATTAGACTCATTGCAACTGATGGTGTCTTCAGTATGGATGGAAATGTGTCTCCACTCGACCACATCTGTCGTTTAGCCAAACAATATGACGCTATAGTGTTTGTAGACGAAGCCCATTGCACCGGCTTTTTCGGTAAGACAGGTCGTGGAAGTGAACAATATTTCAATATTCAAGGAAAAGTAGATATAATAAACTCAACGCTGGGTAAAGCATTGGGAGGCGCCGCTGGAGGCTATACTACGGGGAGTAAAGAACTTATTGATTTGTTACGACAGCGATCGCGGCCTTATTTGTTTTCAAATTCATTGCCGCCACCCGTAGTGGCCGCCGCCTCAAAGGTGTTTGATTTGTTGACTCAAAGCTCGGCGTTGACTGAAATTGTCGAAAGAAACACATTTGCCTTCAGAAGTGAAATGAAAAGTTTTGGATTCAATATTTTGGTAATAATGACTATAATTTTGAATTATTATAAAATTATTAAAAATTATTAATATTTCATTCTTAAGGGAGACAATCATCCCATTTGTCCAGTTTTTATCGGTGATGCCCGACTCGCATCAACTTTTGCAGACCTAATGCTCGGTAATTACAATTAATTTTATTTTTTAAAACTGAATTTAAATAAAGAATACTATTGTGTTTCAAGAAAATGGTATTTATGTCATTGGATTCAGTTATCCAGTGGTTCCTAAAGGAAAGGCAAGAATTCGGGTTCAGATATCAGCCGCACATTCGGATAAAGACATCAAACAGACAGTCGAAGCCTTCGTCAAAGTCGGCAGAAAATTAAATGTAATTCAATAATACAATCAATCAATACTTTACAATCTATATATCCAATTAATTATATTACAACTTATATAATAGATATATCATATTAATAGTGTGTACATAACTATAATTATATCACAAATTATGAATATATTGTCAATACATTTATTAATGTTATTAAATAACCTTTAAAATAGTTGACATTTAGTTTACCAAATTAATTAATTGATTGAAAGTTATGATCGCAAACGTGAGTTTAAATTTTAAAAATTTTATTCAACTTAATTTGTAATATAAAAATATAATATAAAAACGTTTTATCAAATTAGTCAATAAACAAATCAATATAAAAAAATTAATTAATTAATTAAGAGATTACCTAATAATAGATGAAAATAAATTACAAAATCATTTTTGTTTGATTTAAAATTAAAATTAATTACTAAATTTAATACTAATTATAATTAATTGGAAAAATAAACTAAAATTAGTTAAACCTAATAATCATATCGTTATTGGCTTTTCTTTGGTGACTCTTTGGCGGCACTCTTGCCTTCCTTACTGTTTGACCACCACTTTCTAAGATCACCGAAACGTCTGTTAACCCATTCTTCGTGGTCTTTGTTTGACCATCGGGTGCCATACGAGTCGTGTTTGACAGACGTCTTGGTGGAAGTCATGCCGTCTAAGATTGAATGCATTGAAGACATATTTTTGACAGACATATGCCAACCAAATACTTGCGGATATCTCTTAAGCAAAGTATTAATACGAAGTGACATAATTGTTGATAACTATGTGATATAATATATTTGTCAAACGTATGGATCAGTTGTCTTGAGGTATATATTGAACACACAATTGACTAATAATACTAAAGTAATGGAAATGTTATATCAAATGTCAAACATTCAAACTTTCCATTGATTATTGAAATGTCATTCAATACACACTTGAATTAAGTTATAAATAAATGTTAAATAAAAAACCCTTTCTATGACTAAAACATTAGAAATAAATAGTATTTTGTGTTTTCATATAATCTCTAATTTATGTTATTATATATTTGTATGTGTTATCAACACGTGGCGATAATTCAATGTAATAAAGAGCGCATGCGTTAGATATTAGTTGGCAATCGATTAAAGCATTGAATGATTAAATAATTTGAAGCATTGCTTACATTTGATTCATATATTATATGATATATTGTTTTGAATGACATTTGAAGACTAATAATGAATAACTCATTTGAGTCGATATCCATTCTCGAGAAGAAATTATCACAACTGGAGGATAGATATCAACAGTTAGTGACAAACGAGTCATCACATACTCAATCCAAAGACATGGACTCAATCCGTTAGTTTGAATATATTTATTTAACATATGTTTTACATGTTTTATCCAAACTTTTATCCAAACATTAGCCGAATTGGCAGAACTAAGGACTGAAAACACGAAACTAAAGTATAGGATAACTATTCTAAAGAAATGTATTTCTCATGAAAAACAATTGCAAACAAACGGTTTGTTTGAATCACTTTATTTGATACCAAATATTTTAAAAGTATTTCATTTATTAACTTTAGTTGACTGTAATAAACAATTGAATTCAAGTGCACCACAATCTGCTGTCATCGCAAGCATGTCTCAAACAGATGCCATGAATAGTGTATTGCAATCAATTAAAGAGCTGTTTCGAGTGGCCATTCAAACAGCTTTTCCGAAACTAACTAATCCGCCACTTTTGGTCACTCGTTCAGATCACGCCGATTATCAGTGTAACAGTGCCTTACAGTTAAGCAAATATATTGACGACAAAAAGATGAATCCCCGAGATGTGGCCAATGCGTTGATAACACATTTGCCGTCTAATCCAATTATCGGTAACTTAATGGTTGCCGGACCCGGATTTATCAACATTACTCTTAACAAAGAGTTTGTTTCAAAATCCATTCTTAATATTGTTATCAAAAAAGTTAAAGTTAGGCCTTTAGAATGCAATCCAAATGAGAATCGAGTTGTTGTTGATTATTCTTCACCTAATATCGCCAAAGAGATGCACGTCGGACATCTTCGGTCTACAATTATCGGCGATGCCGTGTCTAGAGTTCTCGAGTTTATCGGTAAAGATGTGCTCCGAATCAATCACGTCGGCGATTGGGGCACTCAGTTTGGTATGCTTTTAGCACATCTTATTGAAAAATATCCCGACTATAAATCAAGTCCGCCACCGATTGCCGATTTGCAAGCTTTTTATAAGGAAGCGAAGAAACGTTTCGATGAAGATCCAGAATTCAAAGCACGAGCTTATAACACAACAGTTAGGTTACAGTCAAAAGAAGCTGAAATGATAACTGCGTGGACACAGATTTGCGAAATATCGCGTAAAGAGTTTCGAGAAATTTACAAAATACTTGATGTCAGTCCTCATCTTCAAGAGAGAGGAGAATCATACTATCACGAGATGATGATTGATGTCGTCAAAGAATTGGATCAAAAGGGATTACTAAAGGAAGAAGAAGGCAGTAAAGTAATGTTTTCTACTGATCCATCGGCACCTCCTTTAAGAATAGTTAAATCTGATGGAGGATTCACTTATGATACATCAGATATGGCAACTCTTAGGCAAAGAATTTTTGACGAGAAAGCCTCGCGAATTATATATTGTGTTGACGCCGGACAGAGTCAACACTTTCAATTGATATTCAATTGTGCGGCAATTGCCGACTATTTTGATCCAAATAAAATCAGATGCGATCACTTGTCCTTTGGTGTCGTTCTTGGTTTGTATTGATTCGTTTGTTTTATTTATTTAATTGGCGCTAATTTATGTATTGTTCGTTAGGTGAAGATAAGAAAAAGTTTAAAACCCGATCGGGTGATACCGTGAGACTAAAGGATTTAATAGATGAAGGACTAGAAAGAGCTTTAAATAAACTTAAAGAAAAAGAAAGGCATAAAGTTTTAACTCCACAAGAGTTAAAGGCAGCTCAAGAAGCGATAGCCATTGGATGCATTAAATACGCTGATTTAAGTCACGACCGAAATCATGAGTATGTGTTTAGCTTTGACCGAATGCTCGACGATAGGGGCAATACAGCCGTCTATTTGTTATATGCATTAACAAGAATCCGATCCATTATAAGAAATGCAAATCTCAATGAAAGCATTCAAGAGTTGGCCCAAAAAGAGACGACTTTGAATTTAGACCATCAGAGAGAATATAAATTAGCAAAATTCATACTTAGATTCGCTGAAGTGATTCTTCAAATCTCGGATGACCTCTATTTGCATACTCTTTGCAATTATTTATTTGAATTATCGGTCGTCTTCAGTGAGTTTTATGATCAGTGCTATTGCATTGAGAAGACAGTGGAAGATGGCGTTGAAAAAACTAGAGTTAATATAAACCGTATTATCCTTTGCGAGGCCACCGCACGAGTCATCGAAACAGGTCTTTCATTACTCGGAATTAAATCAGTCGACAAAATGTGAATTAATTAATGTTTTAATACCTTTTTATCATTTATTATACAATAAAACTTATTGTGAATAAAGTTATTTACAATTAAACTAATTTAATGAAATGAAATCGCATTTAATATAATCAGTGATTAGTTTAATCCCAAATACTTTTAGCTTTGGCTGCCTTTCGTTTGTTTCGTTTCTTTTGATTTTTGGTTAGCTTTAGATTCATTACTTTGTTGTCATCCGATTGTTTTGTGGTGTTATTGTCATTAATATCGTAATCAGTATTGTTATCATTACTCCATTCATCTTCAGTAATCTCTTGAGAATTGTGTGCACTGATTGATCCAAATTGTTGATTATTTAATTGATTTGGTTTATCATCAAAGATAACACCAGTAGCTGTATATCCCTTCCATTGGTTGTCGTAAATCTCTTGATCTCTCATATGTTGTCTTCCGTCGGGACACGACTTGATATGTGCAGCGAAGTCATGTCTATCCATACGATGTGATACATTGTATATACAGACGGAGTAGTTGTTGAGATTGACTTTCTTCTCGCATTCAATCGTATGTTTGATGATATTTCTTGTGGCGATCTTGTGGTTGACATTAAATGGACATACAGTCCATTCATCCTTAAATCGAGTAAATGTTGCCATCAATGACTTGAAAATGGATCAAATCATCAAATGACTTAACAATGGATCAGATCATCAAACGACTTGACAATTGATCAGATCATCAAATGACTTAATAATGGATCAGATCATCAAACGACTTGAATTAGTATCTAATCAACAAATCAACGGATATTTGATGACAATTATTGTGTCAAACGTTGCATCACTTGATATGCGTTCACATTATGGACACAAATAACGAATTGAATAATATCTTGAATTTGTGAACAAATGTGTTAACAATTTGTTTGATGTTTAAGACATAATTGATGGACACAGACATTGTTGGTACACAAGACTCGTGCGGAAACAAGACATCAGAATTAAGATCCAAATGATGTCTACATTTGGTTTGCGTTCAATATCTTCATTCAGACCATTAATTAATAGGACATCAAATTTACTGTTAAGAAGGCATATATTAAGTCAATGCAAACGTCTTAAGAGTGGTTCCCACACGTGTCAGCTTAACGGCGACCAAATCAGTCAAACATTATTATCACATCCTCTAACAGGTTTAACAATTAGACAATTAATTCGTTTGAAGAAATATTGTTAACAGAATTGAATTAATAGGTTTTCCGAAGACGACATTTGCCACAATCACTAATGAAGACAATGAGACGAAAGTGACGACATTGGGAAACGGCTTTCGCGTGGCCTCACAGAATAAATTCGGTCAGTTCTGTACCGTCGGTATAGTCATAGATTCAGGTTCTCGTTATGAGGTCTCGCATATGTCAGGTATTTCCCATTTCTTGGAGAAATTAGCCTTCAATTCAACGGCTGATCTTAAAAATAAAGATCAAGTTATGAGAAATTTAGAAAAATTTGGCGGTATTTGCGACTGTCAATCATCCAGAGATACACTGATCTACGCCACGTCTATTGACTCGCGAGGACTTGAATTTGTTATTCATTTGTTGTCTGAAGTTGTCTTAAGACCTCAAATTACTGACGAAGAGATTGCATTAGCAAAACAAATGATTGAATTTGAATTAGAGGACTTGGATATGAAGCCCGATCCCGAACCTATACTTTTTGAACTCATTCATTCTGCCGCATACAGAGGCAATACATTAGGATTACCAAAATTTTGTAACAAAGAGTCGCTACCACTCATTGATCGAAAAGTTTTATTTGATTACATTAAGACATATCACATACCATCTCGAATGGTGTTAGCAGGTGTTGGCATTGAACATGAAAAACTGGTCGAATTGGCCGAAAAGTATTTTGTTGACATTAAGCCTATTTGGACACAAGACTCAACTCTTGTATCTAATAAGATCTATAATATTGATGAATCTATTTCTCAATATACGGGTGGACTCGTTTCAGTTGAGAAGGATTTATCAAATGTTAGTTTAGGTCCGACACCGATACCAGAATTGGTTCACTTTGTATTAGGTTTTGAAAGTTTTAGTCATCAGGACGAAGAAGATTTTATACCAGTTTGTGTACTTAATATGCTTATGGGTGGCGGCGGGTCATTCTCAGCGGGCGGTCCGGGCAAAGGCATGTACACTCGTTTGTATACAAATGTCTTAAATAAACACCATTGGATGTATTCGGCCACCGCTTATAATCACGCCTACAACGATTCGGGACTTTTTTGCATCCATGCGTCAGCCAATCCACAGCAACTTCGGGAAATGATAAATGTGATTATCGGTGAAACCATTAATATGACCCGAGGCACGAATCCCGTGGAACTCGATAGAGCCAAATCTCAAATCAAAGCCATGCTTTTAATGAATCTGGAAATGAGACCCGTTATGTTTGAAGACATTGCACGCCAAGTGTTAGCCGCCGGCAATCGAAAGACTGCCCAATATTTTATCGATCAAATCGATAGAATTACTGATGAAGACATCAGAAGAGTTGCAACAAAGATGTTACGAAGTCGAGTATCAGTTGCCGCCTTAGGTAATGTTAAACAATTGCCATCACTTGAAGACATCGAGACTGCACTCAATAGTAAAGACGGACGAATACCTCAGAGGTTTACTCTTTTTAGGTAATAATTGATTGACTAATTGATTGATTTTAGATTAGTATAACATAAACAAAACCTTTGGGTTGTGTTCTTCATATTTTATTCAACAAACAATAAAATCTTTTAAATAATATTTATCATAGTTTTTATTAAAATTAATTTCGATTAATACTTGTTTTTTGTAATTTCTTAATTTATAATCTATTAAATTTAAATACAAATATTAGTCCAATTCTTTTATTTTTATATTAACTTTTTTGAATTTTAATTATGAAATATTGTTTATCAATAATATTGACTAAAAATTGTTATTTACAGTATGTCTTCGTTCAGCAAAATTAAAAGTCTATTTGTTTAGCGATTAAGTAAATCTTAAGAAATTTAATGAATTAAAGTCTATTAAATGCTATTTAATTTAATATGAAATGAATTATTACTGCATTTGAAAGCCATGTCCTCATTCATCCCAATTGTTTGAATCATTAGATTTTAAATGAAAGATAAGTATTATTGAGAATATAATGAATATTATTCAAAAGTATTAATTCATATTTTTATTTATAATAATTGTAAGTCAAGTAAATAAATGGAATTATAATAATTATATGTTAAGCATTTTATTTTTATTTTACAATACATAAAATGGTTTATAAAAAACACAACTTTACAAATTGTGAAAACATAAAAAACTTTGTGAAAATAATTTTAACTATAATTTTATTGACCTTAAAGTGATACTCAACTAAATGTGTTGAAAAAAAGTTATTGATTTTTGGAAATTTGTTTTCATAACAACAACTTTTTTAAATCAAACTGAAACACTTTTTTTCTTATTTCTATCATTTTGTTGGTTTGTTGTGTTAGTTATTAAGTTGAGACTACAAACAGTATTGTGTAAAGAATGGGCGGTCGATACCGAATAGACTAGAAATAGGAGAAGCAATATAGCATAACAATGATATAGAAATGATTAACCGGTACTTAATAGTACCTCTTATTGTATATGACTTTAGTTGACTTCTATATCTATAGAGTCAATGAAATAACATTTTTTTTATATATATGTATATTAATAGTATTATTTAATTTTTTATAAATAAATCTCTAAAACAATACTATAATATATAAGATATGTTGGTTATGGGGTCAGTTATTTTCGGACTTTTTTTGTTCACAAGTGTTAGATAATTATTATCGATTTGACACAACTTTTGTTTTATTGCTTATCATTTGTATCGACAAACATGTTGTGATGGTCTCGTGTGTGGACACAACTGTATTTATAATTAAGACATTGTTTCACACAATTCTTATATATCTGTTCTTTGCTTTTGGTCCCATCCTTCTGGACATTGAGCCAACAAAATATAAGTCAGTTCCACACCTTTACTATATTTTAAATGGTTTTAATATACGTTTTATACAAATTGATAGTTTAACACTACCGCAAACATTTGACGGTCCTCTCACTGCTAATAACAAGCTTTCACAGGCGGATCACTTGTTTGTCAATGAAATTATAGGTCCCGAGTCGTTGGCCGTATGGAAAGGTATGTTATTATAAACTATAGATTGCAATCTTATAATATGCTTCATAAAACATTACATATTGATTGTTACAAAGATAACAGATATATTCAGATAATAGACAAAAAATATTCTCTTATTTTGTATTATTTTAAGTTTTAAAAAACAATTTAAATAGTTTTTAAGCATAACTATGAAATAAAGTTGACTTAAATCAACAAAACAGGTGATGTATATACTGGTGTATCCGACGGCCGTATAATTCGTATTCGTAAAGATCACTACAAAACTATCGCACAATTTGGTGATCCACTGAAATGTGTGAATCCATGGGAAATGGAGAGATGTGGTCGACCACTCGGTTATTACTTTATTGTTTAATTTTAAAATGCAATTATTAAATGATATGTGTCTTACTATTAAAGGTATGAGATTTGATTCAAAGGGGCTTTTATATGTTGCCGATGCTTACTATGGCATTCATACGGTAAATGTTACGTCAGGTAAAGTGAAACGGATATTGACATCTAAAAGACCTATAGATAATATAAGACCACTATTTGTGGACGACCTGGTCATCAGTGAAGAGGAACAGGCGATCTACTTCACTGATGCCAGTAATAAATGGGATCTCAAAAATGGTAATTATTTATATGATATAAATATTGTATTGATTTAATTGTTGTATTCCAACTTTGCCTCTTATTTTTTAATATACTATTTTTGAATTACCAGTAATTTATATACTGTATAATCTTTAGTATTATTGAATAAAATGATCATTAAAATGAGTATAATATCAATTAAGATATAATAGTAATAAAAATCATCCATGTAAAAATTCAAATAACTTTCAAACGGTTAGATGAGTTTCCAATGTTTTAATTCCGTAAATACAATATAAATATTAAAATTTTTGGAAAATTAATTTTAAAATAAACAATATTTATTTCTGATTTATATGAATTAATCCAATATTTTTAAAGATTTGTACACATATTTATAAATCACACAACAAACAATTTATAATATACGATTGTAAATTAATGTTTTATTCAGTATTTTAAAAAATAATAGATTTGAAATAAAATTAGGTAAAATTATGCAAAAATAAACTATTACTTAGAAAATTGTTTCATTGAAATACATTGAAAATATATTAAGTATAAAATGTATCATTAGATTGTTTTTTTTTTTTTGGAGAATTAAGATATATTTAATTGATTGGAGAGATATATATAAATGTTGATCTTTTTTGGATATTTTATAATTTTTATAGTTTTTTATACGGTTGGCGAACACGATGAGACCGGAAGAGTAATCAGATTTGATTTAAAGTCTAAGAATTCAACTGTTATTATGAAATCATTGGGGTTTCCAAATGGTATTGAATTGAGTGACGACAGGACAACCCTTTATGTCTGTGAGTTTAATAACAGAAGAATTATGAAACACTTTGTGGACGGAGACAGAAGGGGACAAACAGATGTCTTTGCTCTTAATCTTCCCGGAGAACCAGATAAGTCAGTGATATGTTTGACATACAGTAATTATTGATGATTTTATCCTTTTATAAATCATTAAATTGATTATTATATTTAAAAAAAGTATACGACGAAGCAGTGATCCTTTTCGTGAGACCTATTGGGTTGCACTTGCAATGGGAAGAAATGAGAAGAACCCTTCCTTTGCAATGGATATGTTGAGCAATTGGCCGAAAACACGTAAAGCATTGCTTAGAGTCATGCATACCGTGGGGACAGTTGTTGAATACTTTGGTAAATTGATTTATTTTCGACCTTTGATTGAATTGGGATTTAAGACAAAAAGCGGTTCAATTATATTTCATACAATCACTAATTATGGAATGGCTGTTGAGTTGGATACCGACGGAAATATCATACAATCTTTACACTCACCCGATGGCAGAACAACACTTTTGTCAGAAGTCAGGGAAGTGGTTGTTGGCGATCAAAAGGTGTTGTATTTGGGATCGTATGGTAACAACTATATCGGAAAAGTTAGTTTAGGACAACTGACAAAAATCAATCGCCCGCTTCTGACACACGAAAAGAAAAAATTTATTGATTTGCAAAAGAAAAATTTTGCTAAAAGATCGACTGATCCTAAACCTTATAAACCATACAAAGCATTTGATCTGCAAAATCCTGATTTTGGTCAACACCAGCAACAGCAACAACAATACGACCAATCAGACTATCGATTTGATCCCGATTTCCAAAAGGCTATGAAAATGCGTCAAATGTCTAAAAATAAATCAAAATCTAAGGTTAAATCTAAATCTAAATCTAAGACTAAAGCTAAAGCTAACTCTAAGACTAAATCTACATCTAAATCAAAAACTACAAAAACTATTACTAAATCAAAAACATAAACTAAATAAAACAATTACCGGTAATAATAATAATTTGTTATATAAAGACATTTATATCTATTAAATATTATTGAATAAATTAACTTCAATTTTATTATTAAATAATTATTAATTCTACAGTACAGATAAGTTAATATCAAATTATTAAATATTTTATAAAATATATTGATTTTAATGCACTTAAAAGATAATTAGAAATTATCAATATTTAAATTAAAATTTCCAGTATTGAATGTTAGCACTTAAAATTTATATCAAAATTTAAATATTTAAATATTATTGATTATTTTTTTAAACGATCACGTGTACTGTATTACTTTGCAAATAACATTATGAACATTAAATTTGTTTTAAATTAAAACTTAATGCTTAATAATTTGTAATTTTATAATTGATTATAATTGATAATAGTTGCTATAATTAATTAGGAAAAGTTGAGAAAAATTAAAAGTAAGTTGTTTGACAACAAATAATAAATTGTAATTTAGATATACAATAGTTATATTTATTAATAATTATTTTATCAAATTATTAATATTTATACTAATGACCGCAAATTGTATAAATGTTTTCAAGGCAATGATGTATAAATACTAAAGATTTATTTCATTAAATTTTAGACAATTAATGTAATTATTAAATATTACATTTATATCTTATCGTTTGTATCGTATATTTTTCCTTAAAAATTAATTATTAAAAACATTTACACACTTTAAATATATTGTTAATATCGCTGAATGATTGTCACTATAAACAAGTAGTCTTGACATCACTTTTTATATTTTCATTAATTTTTAATAATATTAAACTTAATAAATTTGAAAATCTAAAAATGTCTTTTCAAATTAAAGATTTGTTTTCAATATTATTTAAAACACTCGTTGATATACTAGTTTTGGCAGTAATTTCAGCTGTAATTTTGGCATTACTTCCATTTAATATCTTTAGCGACTTTCCAATTGATCCAAAGAGTCGTGACGTGAAATTTGCCGATAAATTAGACAATTGGAACAACCATTTGGTAGATAGGGCTCAGCACCTGTTAAATGGTGTGATTGTTGGCCCGGAATCGTTGGCTGAAAAGAATGCTTTCTTATATACAGGTTTGGCTGACGGAAGACTTGTTGAGATCAATAAAGAAACACTAAAAACAAGAGACGTCGCAAACTTTGGATCAATCATTTCTAGTAAGGGTTTGAAAATGTTTTTAAATAATATTATTTATTATAAATATATGAAACTTTGAAAACTAGAAGACAATAAAGGGTCAGATTTTGGTCGAATTCTTGGCGTTCGCTTTCATACCGATGGATACCTTTATGTGTTGGATGTCGTTAACGGATTATTTCGCATAAATGTTACCACAGATCATAAAGAAATAATTGACTTCAAAAATGACAAAATCACCAAATATTACGATGATTTGGTATTTGATCCAAAACTGAATGTGATTTATATATCAGTGATTACAACAAAATGGCCATTGAATCGCATTTTATTTGGTTTACTTGATAGCGACTATACTGGATATATATTTGCATATAATTTTGACACCAAATCAAGTATTATCTTATATAAAGGATTTCAATTTTCAAATGGTCTTCAAATAAGTTCTGATAAAAAGAGTCTTCTTGTGGCTGAATCTAATGGTTATCGTATATTAAAGATCTCATTACAATCCATACATAAATCTATTAAAGAAAATAAATTATTGAAAGACAATGATATTCAAGTATTTGCTGAACTTCCCGGAGAACCCGACAATATAAGACTTGATCCAAATGGTGATGTATTAGTTGGTATGTATTCGGTGCGAACTAATGGTAAACTTTTAAGTGATCATCTGTCCAATTGGCCAATCATTCGTCGGGCAATCGGACGGATAGTTTATGCTCTATACGTTGCCATCGATTTTATTAATAGTAAAACAATTGCAAGTAAAGGATTGGAAGCAATTGCCAATGATTTATATACAGGAAATGTATTTAAAGATTATTTGCCCACAACTGGAGCTGTCATTAAATTGGACGCAAAAAGTGGTCAAATTAAACAAATTTATGGTTCAAATAATTTTAATTGTATTACTGAAGCAATTATTAGCAATGAAGGAGATCTTTATTTTGGATCAGCTATTAATCATTTCTTAGGGAAAATTCTAAAGAAAGATCTATAAATATTTTATACTCTTTTAAATGATTTCACAATTAAATTCAAATAATTTATTTTTTTAATAGACAATAAAATTGAATATTTTTAATTAAATTAATTTCTAACTCAAACTAAAATATAATATTGTATTGTAAAATGTTTTAACATAATATATCTCTACTATAAATGGTTAATATTTGAGATGACAAAGATATTATGCTAATTTAAAATTATTATTCATTGTATTATATATAAAATTTTAAAACTTTTTAAGGAGAAACTTAAATTAATTAGTTTAACTATATATAAATGACAAAAATTATCCTGGTATACATTTTGTGTATTATTAGCATATTATTGTACAGTATATTAGATATACTGGTATAATACAGTATATAAATTTATATTATGAATTAATGCAATATACAAAAATATGCTAATAATACACAAAAAGTATACCAGGATAATTTTTGTCATTTAATTTTTAAGTTAATTTTATAATTAAATATTTAAACTTATTTAATAAAAACTATTATTTTATTAAAAAAGTGGTTTTATTTAGATTTAAGGAAATATTTGTCATGAAATACAACAGAGAGTCCAATGAATAGAATATGTGTTTTCATTGAATAATTCAATTGAATATCCAATGAATGCATTGAATTGAAGGTCAAAACAATACTTTCAAAAAGTATTGACTATTTGTAGTGATTTTACCGCTGATGACCACAACATTAGACAATATTAGACACCAATTAAGTTATTGACACTAATAACTAGTGATTGACATCTTTGACATATATTTGACTATAGTTTGTGTTTTGATGACATCATCACTGATGCCATGGCTTTTCAAATGAAGAACTTATTCTCAATTTTATTCAAAACAATTGTTGATATCCTTATATTGACGGTAGTGTTGGCCACAGTTATAGCAATACTTCCCAATCACTTGTTTATAAATTTACCGATTGATCCAATCGCTTACGACACTGACTTTATTGCCGATTCTTTGGACAATTGGAACAATCTGTTGGCTCAAAGAAGTCTGAGATTACTTGAAGGACATATTGTTGGTCCCGAAGCTTTTGCCGAAACTGACCAACACTTATATACGGGTCTCGCCGACGGACGACTTGTTGAGATACATAAATCTTCGCTAAAGATAAGAGATGTCACAACATTTGGTAAAAGCAAAGATTGTGGTAAACATTGTTTTTGTTTTTTATTTGATTATCACTTTAATTGATTAATTGTTTATTTGGTTTAATAATAGTTGAGAACGAATACCGAAAGATGACTGAATGCGGTCGACCTCTGGGTCTAAGATTTTCAAACGACGGTTCTCTTTATGTCATCGATGCTTTTGCCGGTTTGTTTCGGGTCAATGTGACCACTGATGTCAAAGAGTTAATTGATTTTAAAAATGATGAAATAATTGGTATTTTTAATGATTTGGTATTTGATCGCAACCTAAATGTGGTTTACATATCGGTGTCGTCAACTAAATGGCATTTGGATAGAGTTCCTTATAGTATACTTGATTACGAAGACACTGGTTATGTGTTTGCTTACGATTTCGACAAAAAGGTCTCTCAAGTATTAAGAAAAGGATTTAGATTTAGTAATGGCATTGAAATATCAAAGGATAACAAATATCTATTAATTGCTGAAACCGATACCTTTACTATTCATAAGATTCAGATGAAAAACATTCACAATGCACTCAAAGACAACAAACAGATTGTCGACAATGAGATGGAAGTGTTTGCCAAACATTTACCCGCAGAACCCGATAATATCCGAATTGACAGAAATGGTGACGTATGGATGGGTGCGTTTCTCGTCAGAACTGATGGTAAATCACTTAGAGATCATTTGTCTGACTGGCCTTTTGTACGCAAAACTGTTTGTCGAGTTATGTATTTAGCATCACTTGTCGTCGATTTTATCAATACTAACGTCACTCCAAATCCAATGTTGCAAATGTTGGCGTTTGACTTATACTCGGGTCATATCGCATATAAATTTATGCCCAAAAATGGTGGTGTAATCAAATTAGATGCAAACACCGGCAAAATAAAACAAATATTAGGATCCAATCAATTCAATGGTATATCTGAAGTCCTAGTGGACAGTGAGGGTGATCTATATTTTGGTTCATTTAGGAATCAATTTATTGGTAAAATAGAGAGAGGAGACTATTAACAACCAATTGGTCTCAAACCACTAAATTAATTGTTTGTCCATTACTTCTAAATATCTTTGACTAATATATTACATGACATCAAATATTTTTAATAAATGAGTTTATTTTTATAAATAATTTACTTTTTATAATATTTACGATAATATATATACATATTTAATAATAATATACAATACAATCAAATTATTTAAGTATTGATTATACAGTAATTAAATAAATTATACATTTTATAAATCAATCAATTATTGAAATATTTTGTGTAAATTTGAATTGAGTGTCCAATTGATGACAATGTGTTTTACGGTAAATACTTTTTGGCCAACAGATGTGCCTTTTTGTCAAAGATGTTGGATCTGATGTGAGTGTGATGTTCATAGAGTGGATTCATTGCAAACTTAGTATACAAGTCATACAATTCAACAAATAGTGATTTGATGTTATTGTCATCAATTCTTGGCGATGAATGAAGTAATAGGAATCTAACGGATTGATTGTTGGCCACAAAAGCCGTGACAAACCATTCATTGAATTTGTCGACACATTTGAGATACATATTGTTTGATGTCATCACATACTCATCCACTAAATCTAGTGATGCCTGAGCTATGAATTGAGTCAAATACCGGTGATCTGAGCTCTTGTCGCCTCCAGTTTTGGTCGAATACTCCAACTCATAGATCGGGTTATCCGACTGACCAACGATTACCAGATAATAACTAAAACCTGATGTCGATGTCATCGATAACAGCAAATGTCAACCAATTATTATATATAACTAAATGACTATTTGTTTAACAATTTAATTCAATTATTAAAGAGTATATTATATTATATTTTTATATTAAATACTTTACATTACTTTAGATGTTATTAATACTCATATTTTTATTGATTATTCTGACATCTATTGTGTTATTCATTCATATAATTGTCAAATAAAATATTACAATAAATTGTATACAATATTAAGTTAATTAGTATTATATTTGTTATAATTTATAGTAAAAGTCTTTACAATTTAGTGCTAAAATGGATTAATTTATTGATTAATTTATTAAAAGCAAAACAACTATTTTTATGACTATTTAGGAAAATCAAAGTTTTGTTAATTTTTACATCAATTTTCATTTAATATACAGTACTGTACTGTACAGTGAATTATTAGATATTTATTTGACAAAATGTGTATACTTTTTATATTTTAAAATTTAAAATCGATTGTTTGATATCAAAGTGACATAAGTGGTACATATTTTTGGTTTTATATTTGAAATAATAAACTTTTTCAATACTCGAGTAAAACTCAATAAATTATAGAGGTTTTTGATCAACAATTTTGTTAATATTTCATAGTTTTATTAATTTTATTTTGTATTATGTAATCGTATTTTTATATATTTATATAATTTTAGGTTTTTATGTTAATATAAAGTGTCTGTCATTAGAAGCTATTTTTATAATTTAAACATAAAACTAATTTTCTTAATTAATAAATTATTTGAAACTTTCAAACAAAAACTTATTGAAAAATTCAGTAAATATAAAAAATGGTTATAAGTATTGATTTTTTGATTAAATTTTGTCGAAATTGGACTTTATTTTCAAATTTATATTTTATTATTTTATTTATTGTATAAAATTTATTTTCATAATATATTGTCTGAAATTTTATTAATATATTATGTTTGACATTAATTTTTTATTTTTCAAAAACTAAAAAAACATACATATATTTGCAATTATATTGAATAATAAATTCAATATAAATTTGATGATATACTGTAATATTTTAGTTATTTAATTTAGTTATATTTTATAGTCAATACATTTTTATTAGTTTTCTATTTTATTCACATTCATTGCAACAGTTTATGTAAAAAATATATAAATATTATAATATAAAATATCTGTAAACATATATAATTATAATTACGTTAAACTTTATATGATTATTGCATTTTTTTGTTAATTCATATTAATTTTAAATGTTGGTTTGCAAATACTTTCACAACAAATATGACTTTAATTTATAGTTTTATGATATAAATAATAATAATATAAATGAGATTGAATTGCATTCAGAAGTGGTCGACTAAAACCGATACAAATTTATTGTCTAATTTGGGACCAGATATGCCATCATTAGTATCCAACAATACATTTTGCCACTCAGACGGTTCACCTGTTATATGTGAATATAAAATAATTAGCAAACAATACATTTTATCTTAATATAAATTTATATATATTATAATTATAACAACCATTATTAGTATCACTTGATTTCAAAGCAAAAGCCCAACCGTCGGGATTAACTGACGCGCAATGAGGAAGTCGTAACTAAATATAAAATATATTTAATAACAAAATTATTATAAATTAAATAAATAGTAGCATTTGTATACAGACCTCAACCGGTACATCAAATTTAAGTCCATGCGGTCCACACATCACTATAGGACTCATTAAAGTTTCGCCTTTTTCCGAGTCCAATGGCGGAACCATTTTGTCATCCTTACAGACTTTGAAATAAATTTCTTGTTGACGTCCTTTGGGTATCGCACCGGGAGGTATAATAACACTAACTCCAGTTTCATCTGATGTGAGTATTCCTCCATCATTAGTGAACAATCCTTTTGCAGTCGCGATAATCGTGTGATGACTGCTGTCTACTGAAGATGTGATGGATTTATCGCTAGAGAGCAGAAATATAGAGATATAGAGTATAGAGAGGACAGCCAATTACCACAACATTTATTTACAAAAGTCAACCAAAAGCCAACCTAACCCTTAAATTAACCCAAAATCTGAATTTTTCGTCTTTTTATAAAACAATAAAGAAATCGTTACTACTTTTATACATTCATTAAATATATGAGGTTTTATTTTAGAGACAATTAGTTAAGTGAAAAGATTTAACAGAATTTAAGACAATTAGTAAAAGTTATGATAACAAGAAAATGCAATTCAATGAAAATAATAGGTTTATTAATTAATAAGTAATTGTGAATTAAATGAAATAAATCATATTTTGGCAAATAAATATTTAATAAATATTGAAATTATGTTTACATATGCATATGCAATTTGATTAATAATATTATTATTTGATAATAATTATTTATTACATAATTTATTACATTTGATTGATCATATAAATAATTGTTTAACCCGACCTAATTGAATTTTTATTGATAATAATAGATTTTAAATTAATGTTGACATCAAAATTATAGTATTATCATCAATAAAGCTTTTATATTACATAAAATGAAAAATTAATGAGTACTTTTTAACAATTTTAAATTGTTAATTAATTTGATTGTTACTTAAAATAAAATAAAATATTCAAATAAATTCATTATTCAGATAACATATTTCTGTATACTTTATACTGAATAAAAGTATTTAAGTAATCAATATATAGTTATAATATGAGCATTGAATAAGTAAACAAATACAGATAAATCAATTGCACAAATATCAGATTTAGTAGTAAAATGATAATAATTTTATATATATAACAAATTAATTGCACAATTAAGCTATTTTTATATATATGTATAATTTATATAATTAATAAAATATTTATTTATTGTTTGAATATAAGAATTTTGTTATTAATTGAGTCATATTATACATATTCTACGATAACTATAATATTAGTAAATTTTAAACATTTTTCATGATTTTATACAAAAAATTAAAAATGGTTTTGAGTTTTTTAAAAATAATGATTTTAGTTAACAATATTTGTAGCAGAATATTGCTAATTAAAAAAAATAATTTTAATATCTAAATATTATGTAAATAAATTTATATTGATAATACCCGATATTATAAAGCTAAATATTTATTTAATAAGAATTATTTGTTGTAAATTTATTCATAAATGTAAATGATTACTATAGTAATAAATATTAATATTAAAAAATAACTCAATAATATAAATAATATAAATATGAATAATAATAATAATAATATGCCGAAAAACAATTGAGTATTTATGATGAACAATACGAAATAATTTATTTTAATTTCTATATAAATATAACAATTAAAATAAGTTATTATTAGTTCATCAATCACTCTAATAGTAACATTAATTACCATATGATTTGTCGAAATAAGTTAACTTCGATTGAATTCAATTGAAACACAAATATTAACAAGTTTTCCAAAAACTTTAATAATTACATTATATTATAAATCCTAAAACCCTTATTAAAATATCTATTCAATATTGAGTCATAAATTCAATTTATATATAAAAATTAGTTTTAATAATACTGTATATTTTTAAGCTAATAAATAACTAAATAAATAATAAATACAAAAAAATTTTGAAGGTTCAGCAACAGACATATCCTTACTTGTGATCGCTATTAACCAAAGGAGGGGGTGGGGGTGGGAGGCCGTGATGTCCAAAACTTTGAAGATTAGTTGATCGCATTGGTGTTGTTTCAATGGGTTTGCGATACAATTCAAAAGCACTTCCGCGATGTTCACGATTTTGCTGTAAATCCAAAATACTTGGCGGCGGTTGTATTACATGAGAGGACTGTGTTGGTATTGGAGGGGGTGGCGGTTGTGTTGTAAATGTTGAGGTACGCGAATGCTTTGGCGGATACGGGACGTTGAGATACGGCCCGTTTGTGGCATAATTGTCTTTGATTGGCGAAGAATTAATCTTTGCAAATGAGTTATAGACCGGACGCTTATCATAATTGCTTTTAGCTGTCATATAACCACTACTACTGTCAGTATCAGAATATGGACCCCTAATTAATAATTATTTTGTTAATAATTTTAAATAAAACTGAAGAAAAAAGACTTACTTTCTTATAGGAGATCCAAAAGAAGATTGTTCTGCATATATATTATTATTAATTTCTCCATTGACTCCATTTAAAGGCTGTGGTTGTGGTCTCATGTTTGCTGTTTGATAATCCTTTGATGGCATTGTTGAATAATAAGCTGGCGGTCCGTTAGATAGATCAGGATTAGGTTGAGTCGTGCGCTTTGTTTGTTGATATACCGGTGAATAACCAAAACCATTGTTTTGCAATCCATTTGTTGACATTTGATTTAATTCTGTCATATCATTATCAGTACTATTAGCCCAAGATCTCGATGGATAATGAGATGGTTTAGGTGGCGGCACAGGTCTACCATCGGATGGCAATCGAGATCTAAAAATAATAAAATAAGATATTATAATATAATATATAAAATAAAATAACATACGTATACTTATTAGTCGGTTTTGGTGGCGGTGATGGTGGTACTGGTCTACTCTGGATGGCATCAATTTGATATTTATTTGGAGGAGACATTGGTTTAATAGAGCGCTCAGGACTCTGTGGCTTCATTGAAGTGCTTGGATGTGGTTGTGCTGTACTTCTTGTAAATCTATAGGGATCGTGAGCCGGTCGTCCATTAGATGAAGTGGTATTATAATTCTGTTTGTTATCAAGAGTTCCCGTAGGACTACCGTATTTGTTATACGAGTCACTGCTATATGAAGAACTATCACCAAAGGCGCCGTTGATATGTTGTTTGCCGTTAGTTATTGTCGTTCTCTCTAATGAATCGCATTTTTGTGAGGAAGGCATCGCTGAAGATGTGTTTATGTAGTCGGAAGCAGTATATGACTCTCTATCTCGTCTACCAAACAGCCTTTCGTGAGCACTCCTAAACCTCGAAGGCTTATTATTGCGGTCTATTCTGGGAGGAGGTTCTGGTCCTGTCTTTGTACCATATATATTATCATTTGGTGGAACCGGTGCTGCAGGATAACGTTCCCCAGCTTTTAATGTATTATAAGCTGAAGATGAATCCTTTGGAGATCCAAAATATTCTTTTTCGGTATTAGTTATGGCAGTGGAGTTATGTGAAGAAATTGCATTTTGTGCACCCGATGTCTTAGATTTGGCTTCGATGGTCAATGCTTTAGACAGTTCCTACATTTATAGTAATAATCATTATAATTAAAGTTATATTAAAGAAATAGTATTTTTGAAATATAATATGCAAATGAAATACTAATAAAAATGAAATGATATATAGTATGCAATGATTCATACCTTTCGCAAAAGTATGTGAAGCGGAAGCTATTAAAACAAATGAATGAATGGATGAATGAATGAATGATTCAATGATTTATGAGATAATGACAAACTAATCAATGATTACCTGTTTGTTTGGCGGACGTAAACTATATGGCGGCGGATAACCAAAGCTGTTCATTGCAACTGGATTTTCATCTGCTGTGGCAATACTCGGATCACTCGACGCTTTTACCAATCGATGAGCATTTTCTTCTTCTTCATCAAGTCGTAACTCATTGGCTAAGTCGAGATCACTTTCTGGCGATGAGGCATAACTCAGTCGTGATATCATCGGAAACAAAAAGTCATCGCCAATGGGTTCTTCAGGTTTAGACTCTGACACCCAAATGCTTTGTTGTTGCTGTTTATCAACGGTTTCGCGTAACTTCTTATACCACATGTCAGCACTGGTAAGAGTTACGGATGCGGTAAATATATGAGACCAAAGTTTCTCCAGTTTGACGGCCTGTTCGTAGAGTTTACGAGAGCTTTTGTGAACAGATTTTGAGAGACGGGAACGCATTTCTTTAATAACTGATTTATTTTCTGCTCTCATGAATATAACAATCGGATAAAACTGAGCGTAATTGAGACGATCCACAGCACTGGGAGTTATGTCAAGTAATGCATGCTTTCCTTTATCGACAATATCTCGAATAGCACTGAGTTTGACAATTCCGTTAAGTTTTGAAGCTTTGGGAACGTCTTCTAACTGATTGTCGAGCTGTGGGAACGCATATTTGTCCGGATAGTCTTTCATCAGCTTTTCTCGCGCCACATCTGCCAGTGGACCAAACAATACAACTGGTCTTATAAAACCCGGATGTTTAAGAGTTACTCTTTCATAAGCTGAGAATTTAGACATATTATCGCCAAACACCACATCTTCCCAGTGATCTTTACTCAATGATTTAGACCGTCGAGCACTTCTTCTTTTGAAAAAACTACCCCTTCTTTCTGATGTATTTGTGTCAGTCTTTTTAGACTTTTCTGTGCATTGCTCTGCAGACAATTCTTCAGCTCTGTTTCTATTAGGAACGGATCCTTTTTGGATTTCTTGGTTATTACGTCCCAATCTAAAGACAAGCCACGAACCAACAACACCATTGAAGAGTGTGTCGACCACATGAAATACCTCTCCGACATGAAACGATAGTTCACCCTTTCCTTCGCTGTCATAATTGAAGTGCACTCTTATATAAAACGAGTCTCCCTTTTGATTGGCAACAATTTCATCGTATTCTTCTTTGCGATTCTGAACCACTAAATCAATCTGTTCCTGAAGACTTAATAAAAACAATACTGCATCCTCTCTTGTCACTCCTCTCATGTCTTTATTATTTGCTTTAAGCATTTTATCTCCTGATTGCAAGCCTTGCAAAGAGGCCGGACTTCCCGGTTGTACAGCCGTAACAAAAATGCCGACTTCATTACCACCAGTAAGTCTAATGCCTACACTTCCTTCTTTATGAAAAGATATAAAACGTGGATCAGAAATAACTGTTTGTTGTTTCCTACGAGTCAAAGGATCGTCATCATAATGATTAGGTCGAGGTAGAGGAGGTCGTGGTGGCGCTTCAGTATCATTTGGCAAAGAAGCGTTTCGGGAATGGCTTGTCATTAATGGAGTCGAAGGCTGATCCAATTGTTGTAATGATATGTCTGAAATTGGACCACGATTTCTTCCAGAGGGTCCACCAATTGAACGATCTATCGATAATAAATTGTTTTTATCATCAGAGTTGTGTCCATAATCTCCTAAAATTAAATATTTATTTTATTAAATAAATATATAATTAGATAACTTTGTTATAAATACAATTTTAATTTATAAAAATATGTAAATTAAAAAATAAATGGTTACCTCTTGTAGGCGGTTGGACGTAAACATTCTGATTATGAGTTCCCCAATTAGATGATCGATTGGCGTTATTAATATTATCGTACGTGTCTTTGATTGCCATTGCATTATCATATAGATTAGCTGTTGACCATCTGGACTGTCCGTTAGGATAACCATTGATATTGCTATCGCTCTGTCTGTTATTACTAACATTTGGTTCTCGACTTATAACTAAATTTAACTTTTCTTTGCTGTTTTCAATTAACTTTTTTGCTTCTTTTAAACTCAAGTTTTCAGTACTCGAAGTGTTTATCTGTTGAAATAATGAGTTTTTGATGAAAATGATAAAAAATAGATGCGTTTGAGCCTTACTTTGATGATGACATCTCCCTCTTTAATTGACGAATCTTTGTCAATAAGACTTCTGTTTGTTATCTCTTTGATAAAGAATTTACAGCCGAGAACTATACCAAAGTCTGTAATATTGAAAAAAGTGTCGTAAATATATTGAAGTATAGTTTGTGTTATCATTTTATCATTAATACCATCTTTTTTGTTGCTTTTAGTGAGCGTTACTTTAACTAAATCACTGTTTGGTAATAAAGTCCTCCGTTTGATCAATAGGTTGACAGTATTGCCGCACTCACGCAATACATTCACAGCAGTGGTATAATCGACATTCTCTAAGGACACACCGTTAGCACTCATCACCCGATCATTGATTCTGTTTTTTTAAACAATTTTCATAAATATTGTCATTATTTTACTAACAAATTATTGTTTAATCTTTCAATAACTTACTGTAGTTTTCCTTCAGCCGGACCCGCTTTGAGTACATCTGATATAGCGATGGCTGGATCGCCATTAATAAAGTGCGGGTTATCGCGACCGCCACTAACGGCTATACCAAAGCCATATCCGGGAACTCGAGTAAGAGTTACATTTTGAAACTCCCACCCAACCCGTTCGCCCCCCTTTTAAATAAATTAGTTATAATTTTAAATTAGTTTTTTTTAAATCATAAATTATATTTTAGTGTGACTTTTGTTACAATATATTAGTTATAATTTTGTTAAAAGTTTGTTGGATATCATATGTGGTATACTGGATGCAAATTATCGTACAGTATTGTAATATTTTGTATATAATTATAAGATTTTTTGTTTTTATAAATTTAAAATCACATAAAAAATATGACACAATTTTTTAAGTATTTAAAGGGATTGGCTTTAAATTGAAAATCTGATTATTTTAATAAAATACATATATTATGAATGAATTTATTTTATAAATTTAGAGTAAAATCTATTAATCAATAATATAATTAATGAGTTTAAAAGTTACAGATATTTGAAAACTCTTTGATAATCATTAAGTCAAACCTTATATTTCTTGGACAATGACCTGTCCCTTGAATGCGATCTTTTACTTTTTGATCCATTTTTATCCTTACTTTTAGTTTTAGTTTTTGAAATATTTTTGTTTTTTAGCTCAGATTTTTTGGTTTTACTTTTAGTAGTTTTCTTAGATTTTTCATTAGTACTTAACGGACTCATTCTGTTATCACCGGATCTATTCATACGTTTTTTGACATAATTTCTTTGCACTAAACCAGTTGAATAAGTCAAAGGACTGGTTGCTAAAGAATAATTGTGACCCAAACTGTTATATCTTTGGAAAGCCATTCGGGATGAACTGCGCACAGGTGTTGGCGGATGAAAAAGTGGTGAATTATAAGAATATGTTGGACTACGAGTCGGTGACATTGAACGCGATTTATGCGCTAAGTTTTGGTGTACATCTAGTATCCAATTTGCAACTTCTATATCTCTTGGCATATCTGATCCGCTCAAGTCATCGACTGATAGGACCTGTGATCGCAAATCACTGGAGAGCTTATTCCGGCGCTCTTTAGAAGTCCTGTTCCTATTATTCACGACTTTTCGTGCCTTTCTTTGCTTCTTAACTTTCTTGTGACTCACAAACAACTTTCTACTCATATATCTCAACATTACTATCATATAATTGGCAACAAAATAACTCAAACAACAAATACAATTTGAAAACTTTGAATGCAAACAATATTTATGATTTCATTCAAATCTACATCAATAGTATCATACAAATCATACAATTTGACTGTAAAACAATACTCTTGTAAATAATAATGTCAATAAATAGAGTTGACAAATTATAGGAATTGCCTTTAATGTTTTAGTAGGTATTAAATACCTAAATAGTATGTATTTTGTATATTGTTGTAGAAAATGTAAAAAAGAAAACTACTTAATATAAAATATATATAATCTTCAATATTCAAGAAAATAAAAATAATTAATTACAAATTATAGTTATAGTCCACTTAAAATAGTTATCCGGTAATTATAATTACATTGCATACAAACATCTGCAATATTTCAAAAATATTTGAAAATAGGGAGGAATCAGATTTTAATATTAATCGATTACAAGGGGACTGTTATATTAAACCTATTTTTGTTTTTATTTCAATTTTTATTTATGCTTTTACTCTAATTTTTTTTATTAAAAATTGTTTTTTATATATTTTCCATAAAGTATTAAATACAGTAATATACACATTATTACAATAGTGTTTCAAAATCAACTTATAAATATTTATATCGCCTAGTTTTTCATAATTTTTCTATATGTCCAAAATTAAAAATATTTATATGTTTATATTTTTGTATAAAATGTTTTTATTGTTTTTTCATAGCTTTATAATCAAATGAACATTTTTATTAAAACTTATCAAAAGTAATGTCAAAATATCTCAAAAATTTGCAAAAATAATCCATAATTAATTTTTTTAAATAATTTAAATTAACATAAAAACATTTATAGATGAAACTTTGATAACACTGTCTAAAACTTAATACTAAATTAAAAATAATAAGTGAGAAAAATAAAAACTAATATATTATTATTATTATTATAAAAACCGACTAATAATATAAATAAAAAGTTTTTAATTTGTGGCACAAGTAGTGTAACACAAGAAAAGAATTTGAATTATTTGTAATTAACTGAGACTTCAAACAAACATTAAGTGCATTCTCGCAAAGCTTTTGACTTTTTATTAGTTTTATTGCTTTTTATACCACATATTGATATCCATTAATATACTGTATATTGAGTATTACGCTATACTGGCTTTATATTGAGCTTAAAGTTTAATTATTTATAACAAATTTAGGTGATCAACAAAATTGTTTGTTATTCAACACAATTTCAAATCAATTTGTATTTTATATAATATAATTTCTACTACAATTTATAGTGGTGATAGCATAGTAAACATATTATATATATGATATCAAGTACTACTAGTATATGATTTAAAGGAAAGCAATTTATGGAAAGTTTAACAAAAACATAGGAAAGCCATTGACTGTATAACTCAATGTATTGCTTACCAAATCAATGGTTTTTTGTTGAGGAGAGAAACTTGAGATGTATTTCTGGAGTAACTTATTTCGAGTCATATTTTGGGACACTATATATGTTTGTATATAACATACGGTAAACAATAGTGATATAACAAGTGTCACACAAATTGGTTATCCATAATAATTGGTAATAAAAGTTATGACATATGTATGACTTACCCCAACTTTATTTAATGTGTAAGTCATTCACGTGTCTCTCTCTTTAAACAAATTTTAACGACAAAAATATTTAAAACCGATCGACAATATTGGCACTAAAGTTGCTAAACAAGCGTTACATGTATTGGCCATTACAGGCATTAAAGGCACAAACACTGGCTTAAAGCCGTTGTAAGCTTTGGTAGGTATTGAAGGCACATATAGACAAACATACATATAGTGAGAGTCCAAGAGTTGACCCAAACTCTCAAACTCTAACATAAGAAAGTGCTGTGTCTTTGGTTTGTTAACAAAGAACTTTAAATTTTACTTATAGTTGCTATAGTACCACAAGATATACATCCAATACCATCCATACTGGTGCTGCTCCTCAAGCATCCAGTCATGTAGTCAATGGTAGGCACTGGTAGGCAATGCACATACACTCAGTGGGGCTGTTAGGCCCTGTAGGGACTATCAGAGAGGCGATGGGCGAACCAACCGGTTCTTAGATATCTGTCTAACAGTAAGACATACAAGTGCTGCCTGCCTTTGACCTTGTTGTCTGCCATACCATACCATTCCTATACATACTATACTAAAGCACAGATATATTGACTCTTTTGGCTGAAGAGAACCCCTAATATGTGGTAATAATAGATTGGTCTCAAAAATATTTCTCATTTTTCTCTCTGTTTAACTAATGCTTAGAGAAACACACCTCTGGTTCTGAAGAGATCAACAAAAATCAATGCATTTATGCCTTCGATATAACTTTATGTCAAACACTTCAAACAACTTTCAATTTCTTTCAAATCAATGTTTTGTAAATCGTTAGCAAAAAGTTTTTTTAGACTACATTTTTCTCATCTCTTAAACAAATTTCAAACCTAAAAGACAAATGACTTATATATTAGATTTTTACACGAAGTCAATGAATGCATCCATTGGTCTTTACATTCAACTTCAATATAAACTTATAAAAACATAGGTTTTAAACAATTTACAAATACTACATGTTTTATATAAGTTATTAATACAGTATTAATAATACAATGTACTGCTATATACCGGTGCATAAAACTTATTAGCTTTAGATATCAATAATTTCAAATCTCTCCCTCTTTTTCTACTCACTCAACAAAAACCATAACTTAAGTCAACTAACTATTCAAGCATTGCTTTCAAGTATTAAAAATATTGTTTCAAATACCAGAACTGACTCTAAAGTCAAGACTTACCCACTTTGCGACTCCAGATATATAAACATATAATAAAGTATAGTATAATATCATTCATATAATAGTACTGTATATAAAAGTAATTTTTTATTCAATAAATACCTCTAGAATTATATTAATATTTTTCTTATAAGTTATAATTGTTGTAATATAAAGTATATTTATATAAAATCATTCTGTATTTATAATAGTATATATTATTATATATATGTAGTACATATTATGTACAGTATATACCGTACTATATAAATATACTGTATTATTGTATATACATTGTAACAAAATTATATGAATATCACTTGTTTTATACGGTAAGTAATAATAGCTAAAAATTAAAAGATAACTAAAAAATTTGATGGGTGCTATTAAATATTTAATTATATTTAGTTATATTACGTACATTTTTTTACATACCATTAAATTATAATAAATACTATGGTTAGATTAATTTATTTTATACATATTTATAGTTAATTATTACAATCCCAATAAACTACTTATACAGTACACAATATGTATAGAATATTTTAAAATTTAATTTAATCAAAAAAAATGTTCCGACACCGGGAATCGAACCCGGGCCTGCTGGGTGAGAGCCAGCTATCCTAACCACTAGACCATGCCGGATTATATTAGTTATGTATCAATTTATAATATTTATAATCATAAAATTACTTTTTAATAAATTCAGTTTTAAATAAGTTTTTAAAATAATTTTAATAAATAAAATTGATTTTTAATGTATAAATTATTAAAACAATAATACATAACTAAATGTAATAACTAATATTAATAGTACTCTATAGAGTATAGTATAGACTCTATAGAGTACTATTAATATTAATACTATAGAGTATAGTCTACACGTTTGTAGTGTTAATTTACAATACATTGCGTTAAATACAGTACTGTATGTACAGTACTATGTAATACATAGTATGTATAACACACTACTGTTTAAAACAGTAATACAATAATACAGTATATGTTTTGATTGCATCCAATCTAAGCTATAATTGTGGTCAACATTGAAGACATATAATGACTGACTATCAGGACGTCTTTGGCAGTGATGTCGACTCCAACTCATCCGACGATGACTCCAGTAATGACAGCCAAAGAAGTAACAATCAGGTGAATCAAGTGACTAATGAGACAAATGTAGACAATGATGATAAAGAAGAAGATTCACACGACTCGTCAAATAGCGATTCAAATGATGAACAAAACGATGATAAAGAAGATGACAAAAATGATAATGAAGACCATGAAGACCAAGAAGACCAAAATCACGATTCAAATCATGACTCAAATGCTGACTCGGATCAAGAATCCAACGACGAGTCCGCTGACAAAAATAAAGAGAAAATAAACGACAAATCAGTTGAAGACTCTGATCAGGAGTCCAATGAAGAATTAGGTATATCTTAGTATTGATTTACTATATTATAAGATTAAGAAATTATTATATATTTATATTTAGATCACATCCCTAAAACTCCCGGTCAGGCTTATCATGAAGAGGATAAAGACGAGGATATAGACGAGGATATAGACGAAGATAGAGACGAGAATAGAGAGGATGATAAAGACAATGATAGAGACGACGATAGAGATGACGATAGAGATGACGATAGAGACGACGATAGAGACGACGATAGAGAAGATGATAGAGATGATGATAGAGACAATGATAGAGATGATGATAGAGAAGACAAAAATGAAGGAGAAAGGTATGATAAAGAGGGAGATGAAGATCAACCACAAGAAGAAGAACCAATTCCTGAGACAAGAATTGAAGTGGAAATTCCGCGAATTGTAGCCGATTTGGGCAAAGAAGTGCATTTTGTGAAACTACCAAACTTTCTAAGCATTGACACACATCCATATGATCCTCAATGGTATGAGGACGAGATTGATGAAGACGAAAATCTTGATGACGAAGGTAGAGCACGACTCAAACTTAAAGTCGAAAATACGATTCGTTGGCGAAATGTTGTCGACAAAGAAACGAGTGAATTGAAGAAAGAAAGTAATGCACGAGTGGTTCGCTGGTCTGATGGCAGCTATTCTTTACATTTGGGTGACGAGATCTTTGACATTCATAAATTACACCTTTTGGCCGGTGATAATAACCATCTATTCATACGTCAAGGAACTGGACTTCAAGGACAGACAGTGTTCAGAACAAAGTTAACGTTCAGACCGTATTCGACGGAAAGCTTTACTCACAGAAAACTTACGCTTTCTTTAGCTGACAGAAGTCAGAAAACACAGAAGATTAGAGTTTTGCCAAATGTTGGTAAAGATCCTGAAGCCCATCGAACAGAAATGATTAAGAAAGAAGAGGATCGACTTAAGGCTTCCATTAGACGTGAAAATAAACAAAGACGTGCCCGAGAAAGGACACTAACTAGAGGCCCAAACGCTTCTTATTTGGAACCGGATGGCGATGAAGACGAAGAAGAAGGAGGCATTTCTATCTCTCGAATTAAAAGTCAGTTCAAAAGGGGATCATTTTCTAGATATGATGACACAGAACCCATGTCTGAAGAGGAATCCAAACCAAACAATGATAGCGATGATGACGATAGCGATAATCCGTTTGATAGAAAGAAAACCGAAAAGAGAAAAGCTATTCATATTGAAGAAAGTGATGAAGACTAGAGATATGTCAATCATTTTGTTTAAATTTATGTCAATTATTATGACAATAAATACATGTATATTCTCATCTATTGTGTATATTTTGTCTATTAATTAAATTTTAAATAAATTCAAAAATTATTATTTTATTTAATCATAAGTTTTGTTGATATTACCGGTACTTGTATTTACTGTACATTTGAGTCGAAAATTGACTACTTTTTTATAAAACTTAAATTGATAGTAAAAAATCACAATAAATAACTACAGTATCTCTTAATGTTACTCAAATAAAAGTGAATCCCAATTAAGTCATATAATAAATATATATAATTTTTAGTTACATTACATTACATTAGTTAATTAAATTTAGTTTACGATAAATAATTAAAATAACAAATCTATAAATTTATAGTAATAATATTATGATATTTAATTACTATTAATAAAAAATAAAGCCCTAAATTAAAATTAGTTAGCTATCATTTGTTTTTTAAATTATTTTTAAAACTAAATTATTTTTAAAACTAAATTATTTTTAAAACTAAATTATTACTAAACTTGAGAAAAATAAGTTTTTTAAATTACCGGTAAATCAAAATTGAATACACGATTGCCATCTATTGTATTGTCAATTGTATTGAATTGATATTTAAATACATATTTGTAAGCAATGCAACTGCTAATGAAAATTTGGTACTTTTTGAATACTATAAACTGATAGCGTATGTAATATAATAAAGAAATAAGTATTTGATATGAATTGTATGAATGTATGTTAAAGCCATGTGTTGTACACTAAACATTTTCAGAACAAACTCGGTACTTTTTTATTTATGTTACTTATGTTTTTTGTGCTACATTTGGTAATTATAAAAGATACCATATTGTCATGTGTTGTTTAAAAAAATGCGACATCATTTATGTAATTATATAATTATTTAATAGAGATATAGTTACACAAAAAACATATGTAATATACATAAAAAGGGCCCGAGTTTTCGATAGCTCATAATCCGTGTATCGGAAACAGAGTTTGAGTCCATTTTGACGGATGTGTTGTTAAGCATTGCATTCAACAGTCGACTACACGTAAGTTAATTGAAGTTAATTGAAGTTAATTGCAATTAACTATCATTTCAGACATTATTTAAGATTAAATATATCATCAGTTGTTGTCTAACATTATTGTCCACTACTTTATTACCATTTAGTGAGTGAAGATGTCATCGAAAGTGACAAAAGACACTTTGTATGAATGCGTCAATGGATTGTTGGACGCATCCAAAGGTGATAATGACGGCAAAAAGCGGAAGTTTGTTGAGACGGTTGAACTACAGATCGCACTCAAGAACTACGACCCACAGAAGGATAAGCGTTTCAGTGGAACCGTTCGTTTACGACATATTCCGCGATCGAAGTTTCGTATTTGCATTTTAGGTGATCAACAACATTGCGATGAAGCGGCCGCTAATAACTTGCCGTTTATGGACGCAGAGGCCCTCAAGAAGTTGAATAAAAACAAGAAATTGGTTAAGAAGTTAGCAAAGAGTTACGACGCTTTTCTGGCTTCGGAGTCGCTTATTAAACAGATCCCACGTTTATTAGGTCCCGGACTCAATAAGGCTGGAAAGTTCCCGTCGCTATTGACACACAATGAGAATATGATGTCCAAAGCGGATGAAGTGAAGTCTACCATCAAATTACAAATGAAGAAAGTGTTGTGTCTGGCAGTGGCCGTTGGAAATGTTGACATGAATTCAGACGAATTGGCGCAAAACATCAACTTAACTATCAATTTCTTGGTATCGCTGCTGAAGAAGAACTGGCAAAACATCCGTTCGCTTCATATCAAGTCAACTATGGGTCCGCCACAGAGATTGTACTAAATATTGATATTTTGCAATTGTTTTGCGGACTTTTGAATAAACATTGATTATTACTAAATAATGATTTTTATTAATGATTTAATAGTTTAAACTTTAATTAAATATTTATAAGATATCGTCATCTAATAGTACGCGACCTAATAATCCTTTCCTAAATGCTGTCACAAAAACATTTGCTGTGTTTGATAATTGTGGTCGCATTTCAAGTTGTCCTATGAATTATAATTTTAATCAATAGTATAATAAATAATCTGAAAGAATACCTGTTTGAGGACAACGGATCTCATATAAGTTTTTTAAATAAACTGATCCTTTAATGAGAACCTCTCGGATATCATCAGAAGGAGTGTCTAATCCCAAGTGATTAACATAATTATAATTTTTGTGTCGATTCATCCAATAAAGCAAATAATCGGCAATATTTTCAATACCAATCACATTATCATTAAGTGTGGCTAATATAAGTAAATAATGATTAAAATGTAAGCAATCGATGTTCAAATCAATAATGTTTGAAATTAAATTATATTCAAAATTAATTATGAAAGACATACCACAGAGAGCACATCTCATTATTGTTTCAATATCTTTGTCCACTTTGGGATCAAGAACTCCGGGCGTATCAAACAAATAAACCGGAGGAATGGCATTTATTTTAATCCTTTCTAATACACTTCTGGTTACACCAGCAGTGGCACCGGTCACAGTTGCCCGACCACCCACTCCAAGATATGTGTGTCTCATTCGGTTAATTAATGTTGATTTGCCAACATTTGGGATACCGATTATCATTAAATTGATATCAGTTGCGTCCTCTCTATTGAAACGATTTGAATTTGAAATTATTTCAACAACTGTCGGAAGTATCTGTAAATGACAATCAAAATTGCAATAAAATTTAATAATTGTTTGCTAACAAAGATATCACTTGACTGAATCCCGAAAGTTCTTTGCTTGCGTTCATAGAGTCAATGAAAAGACATTTACTGTTGCCTTCATATTCCAGTTTGTCTTTGACTCGTCTCTTGTAAATCATGTCCATGAGGTCTACTTTAGTCAAAATAAGGACATGAGGTTTGATTGAAGTCAAACTTCGGATGAACTCAAGATTACGACCACTGAATGGTATTCTTGCGTCGTGTACTTCAACAATACAATCGACTTTACGTATAGTCTTCATCACATCACGAAATCCTGTCATTCAATTAAGACATTAAGACATACAATCAATAGTTGTCTTAAACCAAACCTTTGTTCATATGTCTTGGAAACCATTTTTGTATTTTATATTTCAAGTGATAATTGGAACGAATGGCCAATTCTTTTACAGCTGACATGTCCTCTGACAGACCCGATGTCACAATAATTGTCTGTTTAGTAATTTGATTCAGATATCCCTCAATACAAACAAATGCTGTAAACAAATGCAATACATGTGTCGTTCATATGATTACATACAACGCAATGCATTCAATCGATTGATTAGAAAGTTATTATATAATAACAAAGTTTAGTAACCAAAGTGGTCTTCACCTGTAGTTTAGTTTATTAGAAAATTAGAAAATTTTTTATCAACTTATTGTTAATTTTTTCAAATTATACAAATCTTTTACCTTAACGTAATATTTTTTATACTAGACTTATCAGAGTTATCAATATATAATTATTATGTTTATTAAAAATGACAATTTTTATCGATAAGTAAATTACTAAAATTCAATCATTTGTTTCAATAAATCAAATTAATTATAAAAAATACTCCATTATTTTAGAGCATTAATTCGTACAATAATAAAAATATATTAACAATTTGTTAGTATTTAAAAAGGGTTTTAAAAGAATCTAAATTTATGTAATTATATGGTGACCGGCACTCGTAATTCAAAATAACTTATTATATTGTATTTTATAAGGAATATATGTTTAATAGAAATTTAATAATCCATAAAATCAATATAATATATAATTTAAAAACTTTATATGTTTTGTACTATTTTGACTAAAGACTATAAGTTCGTACAAATTTATATAAAGTATGCAAAAAGATTAAAATTAAAATTTTTTAAAGCCAAAACTTAAAACACTATAATAAAGCCAAAACTTAAAACACTATAATATATAGTTAATCGTAAATTCATAATAATTGGTGGTATATATTAAATAAATACCGGTAAAGATAAAAGTTTGATTAAGTGAGTAAAGCATAAAAAATTAATGTAGAAATAAGTAGATAATGATATCAAATTAATGAAACACATTATATGGTTGAGGGGAACGAAATACGCCAATGGTTTGTGGAGAGCGTACGACACCAATTGGAGGCAGCCATGGATATTGTCTCTCAATTGGATACCAAATGGGAGTGTGATTACTGTTTGGGTTAGTGTTGGCCATATTGATACTGTTCCTACCATTCATTCTTAAACCAGTCATTGCAATGGAAGGACTACTGTTACGAATCGTCCAATTGTTTGAATCACCGCTCATTAGACTGGAGTCTGAAAGCAAAGCAAATCAATTTAAAATATCATTTAAATTTAATCATTAAATAATTAAATATACAAATATTTGGTGTAAATTGTTTGTTAGTGTTGTAATCAAATTGTGAAGCCATTGTATTCATTAGAGCACCGGTATTGGGTGAATAAGTCTTTGTATTAATGCCATCGCCGCCACTATTTCCTAACCCATAGTAACGTTTTTTTCGTCTTTGAAAAGTATTGGCCGCATTTGGAGGCTTAGCCCAAGTGATCTCAAGTTGTTGGCCCTCATCTGTTAGACCAGTGGCTCGTAAATCACTTTCTAAATATATATATATATATATTTTAAAAATAATATAGTTTTACAATTATTAGGATATATTTATTATCAACAAACGAGTTAAGCTTTTCAAAGACATTTCTGCATCTTCTCGAGTAAAGTAATGGACAAACGCATAGTTCTTGATTTTCTTCACTTTCTGGACATTAACTTTTTGACTGCCTTTCAATGAAAACACATTTTTGATCATATCTTCACTGCATTCGATGCTTAAATGGCGTACAAATAACACCATAACCTATATTATCAATTATTATAATTATAACGTTAGCCAATAATTTAAAAAATACTATAATTTAATGGTAACTAACTTTTGACATAATTTCTTCGTCAACATTGGTCTCAGGGACCGCCCAATCAACGCTTATTTCACAATCAAAAAGTTTAATTTTTCCTTTAAATATAATTAATTGCATTAAATTCAATAATTATCTACAAAAATAAGTTAATGAAATACCAGGTAATAGTTTGCGTCTGGCCATCGCAGCGTCACTTAAGATTAAAAAATAATAAATTATTATATAATTTACAATTATTATGGATTTATATTTAATTTATATTATTGGAGATAAAGTAATAATTAATTTTTAAGACTTACCGATGAGTTTTGTACTCAACAAAAGCAAAGCCTCTATTCTTGTATTGTTTCTCTACTTTGTTGTAATTATTATACACAATAGCATTGACCACTCCATCGGTCTCTTTGGATAACTCTTGCATCACATCCTGACGTGTTTTATTGAGCGGAATGTTACCAATAAAGAGACGGCAGTTATCGAGACTTTGGACAACACCAATGCGTTTGTTTTCCCGGATCTCAATATTGTTTAATTGTTTGATTGCTTTGTTGGCATCGCTTTGATTGATATAAGTGGCAAAAGCATAGCCTCTATTAGTGCCACTGAAGTCCATCATTAGTCTCAACTGATAGATTGGTCCGATTCGGGTCAGAAGAGGAACCAATTCATCCTCATAGCAGTCGCGCGGGATTTTCCCGACAAACACTTCGCATCCCTTTTGTGGCGGCGGTTGATTAGATGGCCAATCGGGAGGCGGACCAAACACTCGCTGACCATTTTCCTGGACTATATTGAATCCACTTCTCTCTATTAGATCCAATAGTTTCTGTTCTTTACTGATATTTCCAGACATTGTCTTCACTTTGTCGTCACTTTTGGTCAAAAACTTTCAATATTTTAGTTAATTAAAGCTTTAAGTGTTTATCAAACCTTTTATATTAATTTAAATCAAATAAAATTTATTAAAATATTATAAAATAATTTATAAATTAGTTTTTTGATTGAATTAATTGAATTAAATTAATGTTTCAATTGATTACAAAAACATTGATTCATGTCTTCAAAGCAGACGTTCTCTGAAAGCATTTATTTAAAGTTTTTTAAACAGTTTTCAAACATTTATTCAAACAATAAGTCAATTGATTTCTATTATTATAAACCTATCAAACAATCACTCATTTATTCAATCATTTTATTAAACATACGATTCTTGTGTTACAGTTTGTCGTTAATTGTATTTACATTCAAATCAATGTATTATTGTTTTTATTACTTTTTTCTAATAAGTATTCAATATATTAATTAACAAACTATTATCAAACTATCAATCATTTATATAAATAAAATGTTTTAAAATTTTAGTTAAAAATTCATAATTATATATTTAGTTTTATATTAAAATTTTTAGTCATTATATAAATTAAATAATTATATAACATTTCTTATCATTATTTTTATAATCTATGTCTAATAATTTTATTAATAAAAAAAATTTTAACAATTAAAAAATAATTAATTATTATTTTCTTAAAATTTTTATAAATTAAATAACTTTTGAATCAAATAATCTAAATTATCTATTATTGAAATTGTTTTACTTTATTAAATTAATATATATATATATATATACATACTTACAATGAATACTGTAATTATTGCTTTTATTAAAATGATTTTAATAAATATATTATATATTATATATGTTAAAACATATATTTATTTAAAAATCTAATTTAAATTAAAATTATTAATAATAATGATTTTCAACTGTTAATTAACAAATGAATTCTTTTTTATATTTAATTTTTAGTTATAACTAGAGTTCGAACAACTTTACAAAAGAGAGAAGTTCCCTAATAAAATCCCTCCAATTTTCTCGGAAAATATGGAAAATATTTTATATTCACTCCTTCATCGTTTGAAAGAGAAGATATATTTTATATTTTTACAATAAATAGTACCAAAACTTAAATATTTTGAGTAAAATTTCATTGAAATATTTAAAAATAAATTTCAAATCCATGAATTTAGTCATACTATTTATTAATATCACTCAAAATACAGTTTAATATAACATTTGTTTTTCAAACATCCTAATAAAATATGTTGTTTAGGGTTCAATAGATGGTAGCACAAGAAAATAAATTCCCTAAAAATTCCCAGAGAGCAGGGAACATAAACTTTCGGAATTTGATCGAACCCTAATTATAACTGAAATTATGCATTTTCGGCAATTCCCGAAACTTTATTATATATAAAATCTTCTGGAATTTAATATTTATATAATTATGTTAACATTTAGAATAAAATAAAGACATTGTTTTTCCCGATTTCGAGTATTTTTGTAAAAATTTCGAAAAACTGTATAAAAGTCTAAAAGAAATAACAATTAAATACATTTCATTAAAACATAAGTAAATCCGATATAATATTAACTAAAGAATAATAAATTTATGAATAGAAAATACACTGAAGAAAATTTTGCAAACATTTTATTAAAACTGTAGTTTTGAAATAAATATCATAAACATCTATTAAAATACTTAATTAATGTATTTCTACACAACAATTGGTAAATTGTAGGTTAAAATTTAAGTTGAATTTATTTTTAATCAAATATAACTAATTTTGTGATAAATAAAATATTACTGTCAGTAATAAAGTCAATAATAAACAAAATTAAATTTCCCGATTTATCTCCAGATAGAGTTCGGACAAATTCCATCCCTGGTTTTATTAACTTAAATTCCATATTTTAACTGGAAATTCCCAGAACTTTTTTATTTATTTTTTATGTCGCACTATCTGTTAAACCCTAAAACATAAATTTTATCATAAAGTCTGAGAAACATATTTACTGTATTATATGTTAATTGTTTATTTAGTGATATTATTAAATATTATCACTTACCGGTAATTTATTAAATATATATTCATTAAAAAATAATTTTAATTAATTTTGATGCTTAGTATTTTTGTTTTAATGATTTTTATTTTAATATTAAAAAATATATTTCTTCACTAATGGGATCGATAAAAATAAAATATTTTTCTATTTTTCAGAAAATTTGCCGAAATTTTATTTAGAAATTTTCCTCCTTTAGATATTTACCGGTACCTCTTAATACAAACTTCTTATACGTATCTAATAATATAGCAAATTATAGCAATTTTCTAGATTGACTTAACTATGATATAATGTATATCTATACTTATATGAAGTCTGAATAGTTAAACAAAAAATTTTCTATTAATATAAACAATATATAAAAAAAACAAATTAAAAAATTAAAATCGTGGCTTTAAGGCCTTTATTTAATTGACCAAAAATGAAACAATATATTGTAAATATAATGAAATTTAATTAATAGGCAATTAATTAAATAAAATTGTAAAAATTATTTCATTTAATTCTGTCCCGAATGCTTGAGAAACTCATCGAAAGCGTCACAAATTTCGGTGTTGTCTTCATCGCCGCACTGACCGAAGTCATACCTAAAACAATAGTATCACTCAATTAGTATTATAATAGATTATAATAAATATCTTTACTAATACCTTGTTTGATAATTTTCTTCAAAGTCTGAATAATTGTCTTCTTCGTGATAATTGTTTTGCGGTGCGTTCTGTTCGACAAAATTCATGTTTAGGTATGGGTTATGAATTGGTGCTGCAGAAGGCATGTTTGCAGTCCACCCTCTTTTCTGCATTTCTATGATATTAGTGACCAATTCTTTGATGTAAACACTGATGTCATCGTTGCCAAGAGTACCTTTCATCTCTTCGATCACTTTATTCAATTCTTGACCATTTGTTTGTTTGTAGTGTTCCTCTAGAAGTGCTCCACACAACTAGTTCATCATTAAAAACAAATTTAGACAAATGTTTGATATCAATAACAAATAAATTCAAACCTTAAGCACTTGACAAACACATTTGAGGTTTTCTTTATGAGGTTTCGACAAAAGCAATAGTAAGAGTTGTGGCACATAATCGGCCAGTTCGGGTGCCATCGATCGTGAGTATAAGTCTCCGATAAACAGTGTTAACCCTCTGACATACTTCTGACATTGTTCTGAAGAGTTCAGTAATGTGTTCAGTCTTGTAGATGAAGTCTCGCGTTGACATCTGTTTTCAAAAAAATTAGTAATTTTTAAAAATAAATTTATTTAATAAATATCAAACCGTTGGAAGAGTTGTTTCTTAAAATTCATGTCATCGTTAATTGTCAACAGATTCTCCATAAAATGTATACAAAGACGAACTCCATTATAGCGAAATTGAGGCTCAGTTATGGACTAAAAATGATATTTGGTTTAATTAAAGATCTTTTAAGATAACAATAGTTTGAATCACCTGATCAACGATAGTGTTGACCAACATTAACATAACGTCAGTGTCTTCATCAATATAAGCATTGATAGTATCGGTTAAGAATGTGATTTGGTTGTCGTATTTGTTTGGTTTAATTGTGATTAAATCAATGAATTCTTTCAAATAAGTGACTGCAATGAAGTCCTCCGGATCTTCACGAGGCACAGGTGTCGGCATTGGATTGGTTATCATTCGGGGCACAAACTCAACAGCAAATGGCGAGAGTTGACTCTTAAAAGATGTTGAGGATTGAGGCATACGATCTCCTGCACCACCAATACTGTTATGATTAGTACTATTTGATCCCATATTTACTGAATTCGCAAACTGTTTGGTCAACTCATCGGTTGATATATTCGGACGCCTCAGTTGTTGTCCTTCAGTCGGTGTAATGAAATGGTTGTCTGCTTTTGGTCTGTTTTGACCATTATTTTCCCGATACCCGTGCATTCTTCACAAAAGTCAACTATAATCATAAAATATTGTTAAACTCAATCAACAAATCATTTAATAACTTACCACAAGATGTACTGATTATGTGATCAATGATATGATGCTCTCAAAGATAATAATTTATTTATGATTTTCACTAATGATTTCAATTAGTGTTTACTGTATATAACATACAATGCATTCATCGGTTACTTCAAACACATCAATAAGTATTCAATTGATTGTATTTATTGTAGTATTAAGTAATCAATTGATTGGTTTGTATTAATAGTAAACACTGACTGACTATCACTTCAAGGCTTACACAATGGCTTTCATAGTCAGTCATCACTCTATCATATATTACGTTACATTAATAAACATTAATAGGTTTTTGTTATTCAAATTTTTTTTTCTGATAAAACTTTTTTTTAATTTTTACTTAATTCTAATTAAAATATAAATTTATATTATATTAGTACTAAATTTAAACATATATTATATTACATGTGAAAAATTAAGGCCTCAATTCGTTAATTAAAAATACAATAAAATATATTTATAATATAATTTGATTGTTATACTAAATGTAGTTATAAATTACATTTAAAATATTACCGTAATATTTGTTTAATCGATGCTAAATTGTTATTTGTATAATAATGTTCTCAATTATGTATATAAATCTTTGAAAATAAATCAAATAATTGATTATTTAACTAAAATATGAAACAATAACTCCATAATAAGTTGATCTTCAATTCCCGAAGAAATGTTATCCATAATGATAGGAATCAACGCACCGTCTAATTCACTCGTGTATTGTGGCGGTAATGATATGCCATTACTTCCCACTTCATATCCAACCTATCAATTATTTGATAATTTAACAAAAATTTCATTATATATTTAAATATTCTATAAATATTTCTATTACTTTATCGGAATCTAAATTAATTCTTAATCCAATTTTAGTGAAGCCATTATCAAACAACTGATCCAAATATGAAATGAGTGCCACACAGAAAGCCTGAGCTATCATTTCTGCTAATCGACTCGTGTCTAATGAATCATTCCTTTTTAAGATCATATTTTTCAGTAAATATTAAATTAACATTAATTTGATTAATAATATTATGAATAATTAATTTAAAATACTTAACAATCAATACCTTCGATTCATTTCATTCAATTGAAGAAAAAACACTTCAGTCCATCTGATTATTAATTTATTGTTTGTATAATCAGTTCCATTATAAATGCGTATACTTTGAATGCCCTCCAAATTAGTTGCATCGATAGGACTGCGGACACTATAATGAAAACAAAAAATTCCGGTAATAAAAGTTATGTTATTATTATCATAAATAATGCAAACCCGAGATTAACAGACATATCCTCATCTGTCCATAACATATGTATCACTTCTTCAGGTTGTGAATCAATTTTACCACAATTTATATCGTAATCTTTCATATCTTTGAGATAATTTCTCATTTCAATCATAGTATTGGGTGGAATTTGAACAAGAAGTCCATCTTCAACAATAGACATCTTAGCTGTCAATCCAGTACTTGATTTGAGAGCTCCACTAAACACTATAAAACTAGCGCCTGTTATCCGACGAGAAGCGCCTTCAATGTTGATGGACTGTGTCTGATACTGTCCGTCCACATCATTTTGCATACAAACTAAATGTGAATCAGCTTTAAGACTAAAGTTGGCACCAAATGACAATACGTGTTCATTACTACTCGTCACAAGTCTTTGAACCTTTTCGTAACGATTTCGCGGTAAATGAATCGTTATTTTTTTGTCTTCTAAATGAATGGTCAAACCGGGAATTGTTTGAAGAGTATATTGGAAATTACGGAAATCCTAATAACAATTTTGATAATTATCATTACAATCATATATACAGTATATACTGTACTTACAGCTAATACATTCATGATTGTGTGACCAATTTCACAATAGACTGGTTTACGACATCGATAGCTTACAATAGGACTCGGATAAACTAATTATTGAATATTTTTCATTAAAAATAATTACATTTTAGATAATTCATTGCATACTTACATTTATATTCAGCGCCTAAACGTAGTAATAATCTTATAGGAAACACCTTAGCCCAGGGTATCTCCCATTTATGAATTAGTATCGCCAATAAAAAAGGTGGCGTCGGTAACACCATATTACTAAAACATTGAAGAGTTGGTCGAGTAAATAGAAAACCACTGTTATCTTTAAAACCAAAGAGTCCATCCGGAAAAAAGATATGATTCAAGTCATTATAGACAGTACCTAATGTTGACATTTGATATAATTAATAAATACAGTTTATACTGTATATATATATATATATATATATATAGCTTAATTACCTTTAGTAACATTATCAAATATAGTTGTAAAAAATCGAAATATATCACGTGGAAAGGTATCTTCATCTGCTAACTGCTCTAAATTCATCAAAATCTCGTCCTGGCCTATAGTGGCCATACCTTTAGTGGCAAAATTCCAGATTTCACTCTTTACGCAACATTTTTCTGTAAAAATTGAAATAAAATATTTTACTTTAAAATAATCAAACAAATTTCACTTAAACACTCACTGTTAACAATTTTTGCAAATATGTGTAAATTTTTAGTCATAGCAAACACTACGGGAGGCAATGACGGGTCTCTTAAAAAATCAATCAAATTTAAAATCGTTGGCTTATTTTTGATTGATTTATTGACATTCAAATCATAATAATTTATAATTGGAGGCAAATTTCCAGTTGAGTCGCTTATTATTATACGACTGGCCTTTGACTTAGAAGAAGTAGTTAGCAATTGGAAAGTGTTCTCAACTGGAGGTGACTTCAATTTATGTTGAATTCTTCCGGCTCGACGTAAAAATGCCAAACTACTTGTTCCCTCTCCGGTTTCGGTTAAGTCACCTCCGGGTCGAATACCATCAGAAAATACCACTTGTTTAGGTTCGCCTTTAGGTCGATCACCTCTTTTGAGGACACCAATGGGTACCATAACAGTGGGTGGCATACGATTCAATACATCCTGTTCCTGTTGTAATGGAGGAATTGTTGAACAATATTCTAATGGATTGCTTGGATCAGGACATCTAGTTGTGGTCATCGATGAATCCGATGATGAAGTTGGGTACACATTATCAGGTCTTAGAGTTGAAGTACTCGATTGGTTTAATTCATTTGCGTTCCTTTCAATCGCAGCAACTTTTAATATAGTTTATTAAAATCAATACAATTAATATATCATTTAAATAAAATAAAATATTATAAAACATACTTTTGGCTAAAACTGAATAACAAATTTGACAAACTCTGGACACTTCACAGTCTAAATATAATAACTTTGCTCTACTATTACAGCATTGGGCACACAATACTTTACCACATGCTCTGTAAATAAATAAATATTTTTTTTAATATCGTATAAAATTGAATTATATTTAAAACATTTAATCTAAATATAATTAATTAATTAATTAGTGATACCTGCAGTGGTGTCTCCTTTTAATTAAACTAAATTTAATGTCACAATGCATACACATTTGTGTTTCATTGTCAGGAATCCAAAAAGGTTTAACTTTTCCCAACATTTGTTCGTCTTCTGTCAAACCAAGTGTTAAATTTTGGTCATAAAAGTCATCATTTGGTAAATTATGTGTTTGTAATTCATCATCATTTGGCACATTATTATTATCAGAAGTATTGTTGTTATTATCGTTAATCTCATCATCATTTGAATTGTAGCCATTATTGTTGCCATTCATAACTTCATTAACTGTTAAGACATTTGATGTAATTGGGAGAGTGTTTGGTCGACTAATTTTTGTTGGAAATTCTTCAATTAAATTTATATTATTATTAGTCACACTTGAATTGATTGGTGACACACTACTAGCGATAGTATTACCATCGAAATCAGATATATCACTGACTTTATCATTATCCTCAATGGAAACACTAGAAGTCGATTGACTCAATGAATTACTAATATCTTTATCTAACGTTGCATTTAACAGCTCATTGTTTGATAGATCACAACTTTTATCGATATCAATGTTAGTGTTAATGTTTGTTACATTTATTGTACAATTTTCTTCTTCGTCATCAAATTCGTTAAGATATTCATTAATTTCATGTTCTGTCAATTCATCTATATTTACCTCAATTTCATTAAATTTAACCACTTCTGTGTTTTCATCAAAATTATTTTTTAATGAATTAGATTCCCATTGATCTTCATTTATTATATTATCATCTGTTTTCTCATTAATTTGTTGTTCAATTTTAATCAATTCTGAATCAACAGGATTTCTAATCAAATGGTCATTTGTTTGTAAATCAATTGCTAAATCATTAGTAGATTCAACATTATCTGCATTAATAGTAGACTCCAATTGATTTTCAATCTCAACCAATGATTTCAGATCTGATTTATTATTTTCTGTATCCTTATCTATCACTTGCGTAATATTATCTAACAATTTCACTGTAATTTCAGACATTTCTGATAACATCTCTTTTTCATCATTATTTTGTTGTTCACTATTCAAATCACCTAAATTGGTCAAATCGTTCACATAATTTACAATCATTTTACAATTAGTTGCATCATTGGTGACACTATTTTCAACATTTACACTGTCATTATCAATATTAAGCACATCTTGTGTGCCATCGTTTAGATCATTACTGCAATCGTTATCAATGTCTTCATTGTTATTGTCTGTATTCCACATCGCTTTTTCCAGCAAAGAACTCATCAGTTGATTCTTATCTATTGATTGGTTGACATCTTTGTCATAAAAACTTTCTCTCTCATTGTGATGACAGTCATAATTGTTTATCTCACTCTGTTTAACACTAATACCAAAATCTGCATCCGACAGATCCAACTGATCTAATGTTTGATTCTCTAAATACGACGACAATATAGTTCTTGTAAATGGATTGTTAGCCACAAAAGTGGAAGATGTCGAACAAGTCATGTCATCATTGATTGCCAATTGAGTGGTGTTGTCATCATTTGATGATTGATATAACAAAAAATTATTATTATTATTATTACTGGTATTACTATTATTATAACCAAATGTATTATTATTTGTAATCTTCACGAGTGATGGCGGACGTCCTCTTTCGGTGTCATCTGAATCCATGTGATAAACAATAATCAAAATTAACATCAAATATAATATTTAAATTGTTGTCAATCATACCATCATTTTCCTCGAGTTTATCCAAAATACTGTCCAAATCGACGGCAAATTTATCCATCGTTTGTAACATCAATTGAGTGACACTTTTGTTGTTAAATACAATTCAATTGTTAAACAAAAACAACAAAACAATGAAAACATTTGTTCAACACTTGAATCGTTCACTTAATTGACAATCAATTGTATACATAATTGGCATTCAATTGAAGGCTAATTCAGTATAAATTGATTACTAATTCATTGATAACGCAGTGAATCCTCGCTTTCCATACAATTCAATGCAAATCAATAACACAAACATATGATTGAACTCATAGTTAAAACTCCAATGTATTTGAGTTCAAGTCTATTACGTAATCAATGTTTAGACTCATTTGTGACCCTTTTGTGTAAATGAGTCATACATTGCAATGCATTAACTCATTGTTGACATCAAAAGTCGTAACGCTTTATATGAATTGGTATTAGTTTTGATGGATATATGATATGACTGTCAATGACTGTCAATGAATGACCACTTGATTACAAGCAATGAACAGCTCATTGATTCCCGAAGTGTTGGACAATAAACGCGTGTCATATGAGTGCACGTGTGGTTCACACGAGACTATTCATCGCATCTATTTCTGCAGACATTGTCATCAACTGCGATGTCGACAATGTGTATCACATGAGGTGACCATTGAATGACCACTTAAGTTGTCATAATTGATACTAATATTGATTATCACCATTAGGTTGATTCCCAATATTGTCAGCACTGTCTTGAATACATCCCATCTATTGACGCCAAACTCAAGAAGAATAAGTAAAATAAATATATGAAATGATTGATTAGATGATTATAATTGATAATTGTTTGCAATTGTGACTACAGATGTGCCTCTTGTTTTCAATGTCCCTCTTGTATGCATACGTTGACGACTCGTGCTATCATAACTCAGGTCCCAAACCCAACAGATCCCACACAAACTCAACATAAAAAAGTATTTTATCTCATTTGTTATTATTGTCGTTGGTCTTCAAGAGATATTGGAATTCCTGATCAATCAGTTGGTTTGTAATGAGTGATATTTATCAGTATTATGATAATAAAGATTAATGGCATTATTAATGATAGCGTCGGGTAATTGGCCTGAATTGGAGACACCGAACTGTAAACGATTGGATCAACTTTTCGATAGATACAGACTTTTGGCTCAAAAAGAAAAGTTGGACAAAGAGAAGAAGCGTATTAGTCCGCGCTCTGCCATTATATTACTCGATAAGTATGGTATCACTCCATCTCTGTCTCCTAAAGTGACGGCAACATTGAGAGCTAAAATGGCTAAAAGTAGTTCCGGTTTTTCATTATCTGAATTAAAATCGCCGACAGATATGAGTGATTTCGAAAGTTCTGTTGCCACCGATGATGTCGAACCTCTTGATATTAATGCTTATTATAATAATAGTTTGGAAATAGATTTAGGAGAAAAAGCGACTTTAAATCAACAACTAATGCAAGTGGAGTCACAACCGGACAAATGCTCGCAATTATATCCCGTCTCACAAATGCTTTTAGTAAAACACTCGTTGAGATGCAAACAATGTGATCATAATTTAAGTAAACCTGAATACAATCCGTCTTCAATTAAATTCAAAATACAATTAAGTGCTTAGTTAGTAATTATTATTATAATTATTTGTAATTACAGTATATTTATAGTATTTACCGGTATTAACAAAATATCTGTATTTCTAATAGCTATCATATCCCTGAATTGCGTATCAAATCTATACCTTTGATGAAAAAAGGCGAAGAATTTAAACTGGAAATGACATTACAAAACCCAACCCCTTATACACTTCATGTCAATATTTTTGATTTGGTCGACACTTCCATAGAGCCGAGTGCTGGCATCAAAGTTGCCGAAACAGAGATGGTTTTGGCGCCCAAAGATGATACGGCAGATCTGGATATCGATCAGAACTATCACTCGCAGTTCAATGACGATAAAAAGTCAGTTTTTATATATCATTACTTAGTTTTTAATATACTTTTTTTGTTGCAGTTTTATATCATTTCGTAAGGGAAACAAATTAGGGTTTTATATAAATGTGTGTCCACTCAAATCGGGTGAATGTAAGTTTAGGTTAGGTATGAAACATGATTTCATTAATACAGTAATTCAAACATCCAAAGAAAGTTCAGTTGAAAGACAGCCACAAATTTTATGGATAACACACCAGATTTGGATCAATTTGGGTGATGTTCAAGATTAATACAGTAATATTTAATAATAATAAAAATAATAATAACTTTTTATTATGAAAATTGTAATTTATTATTCACATATTACACAATATTTGTTAAGTGAAAATTTTAGACAAAATAAGTCAAATCAATGGCTTCTAAATAAACAATGATTTCAAATGAATAGACACTAATCGTGTTGAATGAATGGGTTAGGTATGGATTCCATGCCATCAACCGGACAGATGACCACAACAGCAGTTCCTCTACAAACCACTAAACCTAGAGGTCGAGTGTCATCAGTCAACTTAAAGGGATCGTCAGGATCTGTAGATCAGTGTATTGTTAATTATTATGTAAACTAATTTATGTAAACCTACCTCTTAATAGTTCAATTGTATTGTCTAACACAAGATTAAGCAATGGATCAAATCCTTTAAGAATACCACTGGCTATTAAATAAGTCAAAATATAGTAAATAGATTGAACTCTATATTAAAGTATAGTATAGATGGATAGGCTTTGGGATCAAAGTTTATATATGATATAATACTTTAGCAAATATACAGTAATTGATATATTAAAACCTACGTCTTTGTGGTGTTTAATATATTAATTACTGTATAGTATATGACAAGACATGTGGTCAACAATCATATGAATATTGATATATCAATTGTATGATAACTTTGCCCGAAGCAGATCCACCCAAACTGTCACAAATGGTACCCTCTCTTCCTCCTTGAAATTTCACACGAATTGCTTTATCTAAATATTTAGCCAAATCTACAATACTTTCCTTCTTTTTCTTGTCTGTCGGTCCGGAAGACGCTGTTCCTGTCGTCCGATCGCCGCCACCGCCAACTGTCGCACCCGTTGTTGTTGTTGTAGTTGTCGCCTAAAAGTGGACAATGAATTGATATAATTATTAGTCATATAATTAATAATCAAATTAAATGACAAACCGATGCCATGTTTTCAATGATTCAAATCTCAAATAATTTTATTAATCAATCAATTGTTTGATTCAATCACTAAAAGCCTTTAAAATATTTATTGAAATAATTGTTATGAAATATTCGTTCATAAATGACATACAAATACTAATACATTACAGTATATTGTATTCAATAGAAAAGAGTTTTAATTAAATGATACGATATTTATGTGAAAAATATTTGTTTTGTTTGTTATATTTCAAGTAATTTACTGCACAATAAAGTAATACAAGTTTTAATAATAATAATAATAATCAGTGATTATGTCATTCAGTTATTTAGCGATTGATTGAAGCAATTGTTATATAAAGTAGTGTTTATTGCAATACATTTGGTGTCCATTTAGATGATTGAAGACCAGTGAAGATGAGTGACTCATCTAATACTTCGTCAAACAGTCTTTCAGACGACGAACAGTTCTTTGACGCCATTGATGGCAACGAAGATGTGTTGAATAAGACAAATGACATGCATTTGATGACTAAAGATGTGACGCCTCGAGAATCTGTTGTCTCCTCGTCTACACTACAGATGGCTGACAGTGGTCTTTGTTCATCTCAATCGAGTGATGTTACAGATATAGTCTCAGATCTGGTCTCCGAAACAGTTCCCGATGTTGTCCCCAAAATTTGTAAAAATACTTTATTTAATAATAAAACTTTGGATCAAAGTATTAGTGCCACTGTTAGTAACGATAGTAAAAACAAGTCAACAATTATCCCAACGATATCTCAACCAAAACCTCCTCCAAGAGCTCGTAAGAAGAAGTTAACAAATAGTTTGAAAAATGAATTTAATAACACTGTCGATGAAACACTCGGCGATCAAAATAATAGTCAATTGAATAGTGGGAACAATCAAAATGTTGATTTGTCTTATCTTCAGACACCCAGTTCTGGGCATTCATCTAATTTGACGAGTATTTTGGATGATATCGTTAGCATTAAAGGAGATCTTAGTCTTAATGAAGCATTTCTACAATCACTTGGAGATCGAAGAAGTGTTTGTATCGATGAGATTCATAAGCAAAATAGAGAATTGGTTATCAATTCAGATGAATTCACTGCATCGATGGCACAGATGGCACAGTCATTGAAAACACCTAAAGAGCAGGAAATACTGAATCAAATAATGATTTTAAACATCGATACCGGAGAAAGAGTACCGTTGAGTAAAGCAGAAGAGATACTTCCAAAATGTTTGAATCCATTGAGTTTGCATTTAATGAAATTAACCAATGATTTTGGCGACGCAGACGTCTGTTCGTTAGCTTCGGAAATGACGGCTCAGGAAAGTATTTTGAGAGACAGTGCTTTCGATGATGAAGACGAAGAAAGAAATGGAACCGATTTCAAGAAAGATAAACTGAAAAAAGGAATTAGAACTCTAACCAAACTTAGACCCGGAGTTATTTGGAAAGGAGTTAAAGGTGTCAAAAGTGCAACTAAAGAGAGATCATCCACTTTTCACGTCGAACTCAAGACTCCTATAGAACCCGAACCTCAACCGCGATATAAGATTAAAGTTAATCATAAAAGAGGAACTCCTGATTTCGATGGCCTTAAACTGTTACAAGAATTATATGACTGTAAGGGTGCCATTTGGGTCATGAAATATAGTGTTTGCGGACAATTATTAGCCGCCGCCGGACAGGACCATCTGCTCAGAGTTTATTGTAGTCAAAAGTCATGGAAATATTTTACTCAATTACGTAACAAAGCTTCGGGTCAACAAATATCACCGAATTCAACGAAAGAACGCGACACTAATGGCTCATTTGGTCGATCCGTTTCGTTGAATAGAAGTTGTAGTCTTTCTAGTTCTGAAAATTTAAGAAATGAATCGTTGGCTTCAAATATAGCCCATCATATTCTTCATGAGGACAATACTCTTAGTGAAGAGGGACCGATGCTATTGTTTAGTGCATATCGTGGTCACACCGCAGATGTATTAGACATTGCTTGGTCTAAGAATCACTTTTTATTGTCGTCATCGATGGATAAAACAGTGCGTCTTTGGCACATCACTCGAGTCGAATGTTTGTGTACTTTCCGTCACATAGATTTCGTAACAACTATTCAGTTTCATCCAAGAGATGACAGATATTTCCTTAGCGGTTCACTCGATGGAAAGTTGCGTTTGTGGAACATTCCCGATAAAAGAGTCACTCTTTGGAATGAAATCATGGCTTTACCGACACCACAATCACGCAGTACTTCAAATCAAGAGTCAGTTCCAGCTCACGGACTAATCACTGCTTCCTCTTTCGTACAAAACGGAAAGTTCGCAGTCATTGGCACTTATGACGGAAGAATTATATTTTATTCAACAGATCAACTCAAGTACTTCACTCAGATTCATGTGAGTGGTAGCGGAAAGAACAGTTCGGCTCAGATATCCAATGCAAACAGTGGTAACGATAGGCGCCGTCGGCGTAATAATAATAAAGTTACGGGTATTGAGGGCGTAGACGATAATAAGATTCTGGTCACTACTAATGATTCACGACTTCGACTCTATGATCTACGAGACCTGTCTCTCACCTGTAAATATAGAGGTGTTGTCAACGAATCGAGTCAAATAAAAGCGTCCATTTCTCACGACAGCAAATATATAATCTGTGGCTCAGAAAATGCTTCATTTTATATCTGGAGACTTCAAGACAATACCACAATAGGTCAGCGCAGGGATCGCAACAAACAATACGAAGCAATACGTCTACTTCCTCCACAACCCACGCATTCAATACAAGATTCGATGCAAATGCCGACACCGCCACAGATGACCACTAAGATTGTTACTTCAGCTATCTTTGCTCCCGTTCCGCAACAAATTGATGAAAATGCCAAATATGTCATCGCTGTGGCCGACTTTAATGGCAATATTAGGATATTCTCTAAATAACACACTATTATTATTAATTATAATTAATTTTTGTTTAATACTAATTAAATATTTTTTTACTGCAGTATAATAATGATAAAAAATTATTTTAAAATTATCAAATACCTTTTGTATAGTTTAGTCATAAATATATATATTTATTTTCAAATTATATTTTGTTAACAAAGATAATTATCCGATTACCGGTATATAAAAATTGAATTAATTTTGTATATTTATCTTTAAATAAATTGCTGAAAATTATATATTTATTTTTTATGATTTTTATAATACATATAAATTATATAATTATTAATACAATTTTTAGGATTATTCACAAAATTTAGATCATTACAATATAGTACATAACTTAAATTATTTACAGTGAGATACTAACAAAAATTTAGTTTTATAATAAAATATTTTATGTAAAATATTTATAAACTAAACTAATATTACTCGATAAACAATTTTATCATAAAATGTGTGTTATATTTCAATTAACATTAAATAATAAAAATTAATTTTAACATTTAATTAACAGATATAATAATATAATAATATAGTATTTTATTACAATAATTGTGATATAAAGTAAATAAAATGAAATATTCCAAAATAAATGACCACAATTTCAATCAAGCCTTCACTTAAAAACATTTCTTTGTTATATATTTTGATAATATTTTTGATATCATTTTATCGATAAAATTGAGTTTGAATTGAATAATAGATTAGTGATATTTCTAATCTTTAAAATACGTTCAAATCATATAAAAAATTTGGGCGATACCGGTAAATTGATTTAAAATAAAGTTGACATTAATTAATACAGTATATACATTATATTAATAATTGTAATTAATAAATGAACATTAATATTGCACTAATTTCTTTAATTTTATTAATTATTTTTTTTTGTGTACAGAATATATACCGGTATATCTGAAAGTTAGTTAAAAGAACTGAACATAATTTACTAAAACAATTGCCGATTTTGACAAAACTATTTTTATTAGATTGAAATGTTTATTAAAAATATCAACATTTTATTTATATAATGACAAATATAGCAAAAATTAGAGCTCTAAACCTCTTAAAACTGTTTTATAAATACAGTATTTACAATACTAATACTATACTTATTTTAGACCTTAAAATATGTAAAAATGCTTTATTTTGTTAAAATTAACAATAATATCCTATAAATTAGACATATAGTTGTTATATAAGTCATTTATTCAATATATTCTATATTTATATTTTGAAACAGCATATATTTAACATTAATTTAAGTAAAAAAATATAAGATTTATGTAATTTATATTTTGTGAATAGTTTTTTCAAATGTCAGTATAATTATTTAACCTGGATTAAATATATTATCAATTTTACAGATTATTAAGTTTGTTGTCATGTAATTTATTAATAATATAGAGTATAATATAACACAATATGTAAAAATTTGTTTAGAAATTTGTTAACCACGTGCTAAACACAACTTTCTAAAACAAAATTTTAAAATATAATCTCGCAATTCATCGACATTTTTCAATACATTTTATTAGGCAATTATGAAAACTATTTTAAAGGTTTATACAGTACTAGAATTAGTGAAATATTGTATAATCAAAAAATTAAACATAATTAAGGAATGTGAGAAAAACAATCATAAAATAAATAACAACAAAGTTTAGTCATAATCGACAATAGTTTTTAAAATTTCTACAATCATTTAAATTTAATATTATCATTAAAATATTAAAAATTATGTCATTAACTGATTAACATACAATTTACATAACTAAAAGTTATACGTTTATATGTGAAACATGTTATAACATGTAAAACATTTCGAATAATGATATCAAAAATTTAACCAAAACAATGAAATATATGATATATATAAATACACTAAAAATACTGCAATCAATATTATGTAACAATTTTGACCAAATATTTCATATCTATATATATATATATATATTAATCGTTTTATAATACTGTACAGTAGTACAGTAAATGTTTATACTTTATTTATAAAGTTTTATATTAATATTATTTTATAAAATTACTCATTTTATCATTTGTTAAATCAAGTAAATTGTTATAAAAATAGTAATATCTAATACTGTGTATAAATTTACACTTTAATTCTATGACTTTAAAGTTTTCTTAAATTATATTATATATTAAATGTTGTTTTTCTTTTCAATTTAATTGATATTTTTATTTTGTTACCGCTTTACTGTTAGACACTGTACTACTATACTGGTATAACGATTTACTGTAATATTTTTTATAATAATAAACTAATGTAATTATTTCAGTTAAAAAAATAATTTAGAAATAAATATATTATTTTAAAAGAGTCTTACATAAGTTAAATTATAATTAAATAAAAAATAATGTTATGGTAAATATGTTTAATTTAGAATTCAAGTGAAATAAATATAAAATATTGAAAATGATTAATGAATTTTATTGAAAATGAAATAAAGTAAAAATAAAGTAATTTAACAAAATTTAAAACTAACGTTAAGTTTGGCTCAGAATTAGATGAAATGTTAAAAAGTATTGAAATGAATGAATGAGACTCTAATGAGTCAATGAATGAGAAACTGTTTGAAACCTGAACTTTGGTGTCGTCTCATATCGATATCATTTTTAGCCGAAGCCATGAGTGCGTCCTCATCGAGACTGTGTTGGCCACGGGTTCGCAATAAACTGTGGTTTTTATTAGAATTATTATAAATACCATTATTTTTGCCTCTTTTTATACATTGTTCTGTCTGTGATTTATTAATATTACAACAATTTAATTCTTGCGATGATTCTAACAGTTGGTTCGTTTGATTGATTGAATTACTATAAAATTTATAATCAATTGCATTATAAATAAATTAAAATCAAATTATATTGACTCACAATTTGTTGGAATTCTTATTTGGAGATCTATTAGACAATTGTTGATCTAATCGACGTCTAAACCTTTCTATAGATTCGTCGATCGCTTAGTTTATATATAAATTACATTATTATTAAACAATCATTTTGCGAAATAATTGACTAATCGATAAAATGATTGAATACCGAATTTAAATTGATTGGTGAGACTATCTGAGTCCTGCTTTTTCTTTGGTATCTTATATCCGCTTAATGTAGTTCTGGTCAGCACTGGAACTAATGATGGAAAATGTTTGTCCTCTTTGCTTGAATTAATCAAATTCGAAGAGATCATGTGTTTAGGTTTAAGCAGAGAACGAGATGATTGCCTGTAATTCATTGATGGTTTGCATTCAGGTGATGACATATCCGAAGATGAACTGTTCCTGTTATGTATACCATTCATTGTCGACAAATTATTACACTTCATATGATTTTTTGGTGTTGAAAATCCATTAACTTGTTTATCACTATTTTTATTTCTATTAATCAAACCATTTACTGGTTTTGGTAACACATTTATCTGTTGTACTGATTGTATCGGTTTTTGAGCTAAACTACCGGTACGTTTAGCTTCAATTGTCGACCTCGAGGTTTGGTCAGAATTATTATCTAATTTATTATCATGTTTTCGTTTAAGATGTGATATATAAAACTTTGCGTATGGATTGGGTTTAAGTCTATGCAATTGATCCACTTTTGATAGCCTTCTAAGTTGTCTGACTATACTATTGGTTTGATTTTTATTGTCATTTTCATTATATTTATAGATAACACTATTATTAACAATATCGGTAACGAGTTTAACATTTTCACAACTCATTTCAACAATTTTAGGAACAACTTCATCGTCCTTTCCCGACACACCTATTGTATGATTAATAATTTTAATCGGTATATATTTATTTGTATTAATAATACAATATCACTATCAATATAACATATTAAATAATCTAAAATAGTATAAAATTACCGGTAGATAGAAATCAATACTATAATAAAATCTCATTTAATTAAAAAAATAAATGGAAATTATAAAACAATGTAAATAAAATAAATATTTATAAAAAAATACAAAACAACATATCAATCGACTAAATGTCTGAAAGTCTTACCAGTGAACGAAGTAATAGTCTTTTCAACGGTGTTTTGGTGAGTCTTAATCCAATTGCGTTTGACTTTTTCTCGACGACATATCATATAACTCAAGTTACGGATTCTCTCCAAATCAACTCTAAGTCTTAAGATCTCATTTCGGTGATGTTGTAACTGTTCCTGAAATTGTGCCGACGATGTAAGCTTAATAAGAGATGCGCCATAATTCGAAGTTCGCTTCAATTTCCAATATTGAACTATAAAATCCAAGAAAACAACATTTTTGGACCAATTGTTGTCCGGATTGGTTCGGATCAACTGACACAATAAAAATATTAAATTATTATAATTAATAAATGATAAAAGTCTTACTTCTTGTTGTACTTTATTTATATCAATATATTTCCAAAAATCATTTTCATGTTTATCTTCATCTTCAGCAATATTGGTTGCAATTTCAATCTCGTGCTGAGCTTTTTGAGGTGTACTAAGTGAGTCACCTTTGGTGCTATAAAATGATATAACATTATGAATATATGATAATTTATAAATCTAATGATCACTTACTCGATATTAATAACATTTCCCTCGTCATCGATGTCACCATTTTCTGTGTGTTTCTTGCAATAAGATTTCAATTTGACTCCTTTTGTTTTGTCGTTCTCCACAATAGCTTTCATCTTAAGCTTATGATTGAACGCACAAATCACATGATATGCTGTTTTACATGTCTTTACCTGTTATTTCAAACATAATTTCATTATAAATTACATATAAGTAAATCATCGAACAAACAGACAAATAGTGACAAACCGAGCACTGAATGGGAGCTCCGTGTTTGACATTACATAGAGAACAGATGAGATTCCAACGTGTTTGAGGTATTTGTTTAATTTTGGTGATCGGTTCCATTGTACTGACACATCCGATGCTAACTTCGGGTACCCATAAAGCACATGACACGTGACACCATTGGTTTGCAGAACTGGTAGATTTTAAGGCACCACCAAAATTGGGACATAAAACACATGAGACTTTCTTTTGCGAACCTAACAGTCATTCAAAACAAATGTTATACTTTTTTCAACATAAAAATAAACAATTCATTTACCAAACTCTTTACACGGTCTGCAAAGCCAATCGCCTTCGGGTATATCAGTGATGCCATAACACGCCTGATGGACACATATATTGCAGAAATCGCAGAAAACCATTTCATTGCCCTCTTCGGCATCGGGACTGCGACACACATCACAAACAATGTGGTCGTCGTATTCAATGCCCACCTGTTGGGCCTTTATATTAATAGCACACATCTGTTCCAATTGGTTTATCACATCTTCCAATTGGTTATCACTTATTTGAATCATATTATCATTTTCGGCCATTGCTTCCAACCAACATAAATCTTGTAAATCTAATTCATATTTGGAAGCAATTGGTTCCGTTTCGGGACGACTCTAATCAATACATATTTCAATTGACAAATATAGTCAAATAATATTACGGTAAATAAAATTTAGAGTATTAACAAATACCTTAATTAATTTCTTCGGCAATTTGAAAGGTGTTTCACTGGTTTCACATTCACGAAGTGTTCTAACCATAGGTTCGGGCAAAAGATCAGGATTTACGGCAACCTATCATTAAAATTCAATTTAGACGACAACTCTTTAGTGAATGAATCAATTCATGTCACCTGAACTCCTTTCTCCCATTCCTCTCTCCACGAATCAGTTATTGGCAAATATTCTTCGCGATTTAATTGTTCCGTATCCGCCATTTTCATTGCTATTATCATTGTTTTATAAAACAAAATCAAATAAATTAATTTATGAAAATCAATATTTAATTCAATATTTGGCGCCAAACTGTATGGTTAGTGACTAACCCGATATAAGATCTTTTCGGAACAGTTCGGCCGGCTTTTTGCGATAACCAAAGTTATAAATACGAGACTTATTCAAACCAATGATGTCATTCACACGACAACAATCTGATGGATGACAAAGACAGACAATTAACTAATTCATTCAACCATTTGTAACAATTTGTCATAAATACCGGGTTTGAGTCGTTTGGATGAATTGCTTTCATCTTCACTACTAAGGCTTACTTTACTTCTATTTCTTTTGGCTATAAAAACAATTGATATCATCAGTCAAATCAAATTATCACCCATTTGTATGTCAAGAAGTGAGTTAATCATTAGATCAGACAATCATATAATTGACGAAACATAGCAACTGACCGGACATTGTTGTGGCTGTAGATGAAGACAAGGCCATAGTTGACCACCGATTCAAAGCACCAAATGGTCAGATGTGTTGTCTTCAGCAGTAAAATGACTCTCAAATCATGTCTTAAACATTCATTGAAAACATATTCAAAACGACAGCCATTTTGAAGTCATTTGTTTTCGAATTGTTTTCAATGCTTTCAATACAACACTCATGACGTCGACTATCACTCACTTTCACTATAAATATATTCACAAACTTATGTCATATTCCCTAACAATACACCATATATTCAATCATTTACTGTATATTAATGTAAATAAAATATAATTCATTGATTTTAAATGCAAATTATATTTTTAAAAATCATTTTTCATTAATTATAAGAATAAATTACAAACATTTAGTATTATTATTGTAATAAAAACTAAGTTTCAGCAATATTTTCAATGTATTCCCAATGAATCGTTATTTATGAATAATAATAAATTAACCTTGCTTCTTTAATTTATAGAAACTGTTTATAAATTTAAGTTATATTATATAATATGTTAAGTCATTTTTAATACAATTTTTAAAAATGTGGATTCAATTAAATGTAGTTTTTTTTGTAAATTAATAATTATTTCAAAACAAGTTAATTGAATAAAATTTATTAAATTCAATCAAAAATTACAAAAATGAAGTAAAGAGTTGAGCGCTATATTTAAAATATAAATTATATATCAAATAGTTATTAAATGCAGTTTTAGTTGGTTTATCGTATTAGAAGTGAATTATTAAAAGTATAATTATAAACCAAATAAAATTATTATTATTTTGTTCATTATTTAACATTATTAAAAACAAATCAATGAGACAATTACGGTAAGTGTTTAATATAAAGTCTAGAAATCCTGAGCGACCACAAAGTCGGGATGTACTACAAGAATAGGATCAGCAGTTTCTGACTCTTTTCCCTCTCCGGTAGTAATCTGTTCACTGGTTTGTAAAGCAATAAGAATGTGATCCGTATTAATAAGTTTATCAATAACTCGATCGCAAATAAGTTTTTTATGAACCAAATCAGTCTCTGTTTCGATGTCTGAACACTGATTTAGATACCATTCAATAAGTTCAGAGCGTTTGATGCCTTCACTCTCTCCTTCTTCGATATGAATTTCTTCTCTTTGAAGTCGTATGACAAACATATCAGTCATTGATTTATAGACTTCATATGGAATCTTAAGACTCGTTGGTATTGTCGAATCAGTCACTTCTTTCTGTGAGTCATGATCTTCGGTAATATCATCCATTTCTTCGTCTTCATTGGTGTCTTCATCAACTAAATTGATATCTGGTTCGTCTATTTTAAGTATTGATTTATTTAACAAACGAGAGGCTTCTTTAATGTGATTTGTTTCGACATAATCACTGCAATACATTCGGGCCATTGCTTCAGACAAGCGAATCAATGACTCGAGTTGTCGAACAGTTATACGCCAAGACTGCTTGTTATTCTTGAATCCGCCGCCATTATCACATCCAGATAGACGTAACTGTTTATATGTTTCGACCAAATATTTTTCTGATTCCATTGTCATCTTTGGTTTGAATTGACGGGCAAATCGTATATAATTTTTGAGATCGTCTAAAGAATATGTAACGTCTTCATTGTTGTCAACGGTTCCGTTATGCATATCAATGATTCTTTCGGCGATTGCATAATCTGTTGTTTCATTACATTCATCTAATAGTATAAAAAATAAGTCAAATCTTGACATAATTGGTAACGAAAACGACAAATTATTTCGCAATGATTTAGTTCTGTCATAAGTGCCGCCAATAGGATTAGCCGCCGCTAAGATCGATGTTCGGGCATTTAGAGTGGCCTTAACTCCAGCTTTGGTTATACTAATGGTTTGCTGTTCCATAGCTTCATGAATAGCAATTTGGTCCCTAATATCCATTTTATCGAACTCATCGATACAACAAATACCTTGATCTGCAAGCATTAGAGCACCGGCTTCTATAACAAACCCTCCGTCTTCATCTCTGACCACTGCTGCTGTCAAACCAGCAGCAGTCGATGCTTTACCACTCGTATATATAGCCCTAACGGGTGCAAAGTCGGCGATAATTTTCAAAAACTGACTTTTAGCTGTGGATGGATCGCCAACAACACAAACATTGATATCGCCTCTTAAATGAGTTCCTTCGGTTGTTATCTTAGGTATTCCACCGAAAAGTTGTAAAATAATACCTCGTTTTATATCTTCATTACCAAAGATTGAAGGAAACAGACTTTTACTTATATTTTCAAATAGATTCCTGTCTTTAGTCATCACTTCAATTCTTCTGATTTCCTCTTCTTTAAACATCGAAAAATCTTTTGCACCGCTATTTGAATCGATATTCCTTTCTTCTAACTGAACGGGCAATTCATGGCCTTCAAGTATTGTAGAACTCGACAAAAAAGCCATTTTATGTGTCATTTCCCGAACCCCTAAAGCCTTGAGTCCTGTAAGACCTCCATCTCCGGCACCGGTTTCAGTCCTTACAAGTCCACCACTGCCTGCAATCAGTTGTGCCACATCGGGAACAACTATAAGACATCCAATAAAGTCGGCTCTATCTCCCGGTTGAACACATTCTACACGATCTCCGCCTCGAATCACAATATCAAGACTTCGGGGAATACAACCTCTGGGAAGGTCTGCTTGTAATTCTTGAATTCTTACTTTTTGAAAGTCAACGAATCGGGATTTATGAAGAAGTAGTCGAAACTTTGATCGATTCGAGCAAACAGTGTTACGACAAATAGTAGGTAAAGTGTATTTAAACTGTTGTTCAACGTTTGCCACTTCTGTACCGCAATCCATGCACTCAAACGTACCTGAGATGAGCTCTGGGTGTACGGTATGAGTGCGCACTACTTGTCCCACAATTTTCACTAATGACGATATCTTTGAAGCCCTTAGTTCTCGTAGTTTTGTGCGATCGGCAAAGTCATAGAAACCAACGTAAAAGTCTTTGTTTTTGATGACATTAAGTGTCAAATCATCCAATTCTTCGTTAGACTTATGCTTTTCGTCGTTAATCAATGCGGACACCGATCGACATAAATATGAATAAAATCGATAATAATTGTTAGTTATATCAATAGCTAACTCTTGATCCCAATTTGTCAACTCTTTGAATGACACAAACAATGTATTCCTCTCTGGTTTGATCAGTTCAAGTGATTCCGTCAAATATTTGTGGTCATCGGTCTCAACATTCGGCTCTTTATATTCGGATAGAAAATCGCGAAAAAGTTTTTGACACTTTTCCGACAAATCGTCTTTAATCCGTTGAGTTTGATTCAGACGATTATCTGTGACATCCATTTCTTGTATAAATCAAAAGTTTGGATCAAATGATAGACAAAAAGCACTGTTTTTTAATAATGAAATCCTTTTAAAAATTAAATCTCAATTCAAAGTCAATCTCTCTTTTGTTAAGACATTCACTGAAAATGCGCCAAAAGTTTACCGCTTTTTACACATTTCTCTCACAATATAAACGTCAAAATATTTGTAATAAAATAAGTTTTACTGTATTTTCATATAAATTACAATTTGACTGATTATATGATTAATTATAAATGTTTAATAATATTAACAATTAATTGTTAAATTAATTCAATTTTAATATTAATTAATTAATTATTTGATAATCAATTGTTTATTATTAGTTTAATAGTGTATAAAATGAATGCAAACATAATTAATGAATGTATTGTATATCATATTGTAATCAGTATTGTATTGATTGATAATTTTTATCAATTTTTAAATGAAAAAAACCATAACTTTATTATAATATCATAATTAAAGTGATTTTTAATCATTAATGAAGACTTTTGATTGAAGACAATGCCATTTGGTTTGAGACCCGTTTGCAATATATGTGGCTCTACTGAGTCTCAGATGTGGTCCAAGAGTAGTGATGGCGTTATTAAGTGTAATGATTGCAATAATAAAGACATTTCTGACACAAATGACAGTCAAAACACCGGGAATTCGAGTCAAGACATGACTGACTTTGAATTGATTACAACTAATGATAATAACAATTCACAAAACAGTAATAATAATAATAATAATAATAATAATAATAATAATAATAATAATAATAATAATAATAATAATAATAATAATAATAATAATAATAATAATAATAATAATAATAATAATAATAATAATAATAATAATAATAATACAGAAAACAAGACATCAGGTATAATGAATTTATTATGATATCAGTTGCAACTGCAGTCTATTGATACTTGTTTTTTGTTTTAGCGGTTAAACCAGTTTTGGTGGCCACGAGAAAGAGTGTCCGCAATAAAAACAAGATTAGGACCACATTTAACAACAAATTAAACACAATTAAAGGAAAGAGTCGGAGGATTATCTTCAAGAGATGTGTATGTATACTGTATTACTGTATATTACATTTAACTTTATATAATGAATAATGAATTATCATTAAATGATATGATATCTAATATAACAAATGTGTGGTCAGTCTGTTCGCGGGCCGACGTCTTTTTCGACGCCTATGACTTGTGACAGTATATTCTTGAGGGGACAATACTTCCAGAAGGGAGACATTGTATCTGTTGAGGACGTAAAGGGAGGCATATATTTTGGACAAATTCGTGGCTTTCTTCAGGACCAATACTGTGAGAAGAGTGCAGTGCTTACGTGGCTCTTACCTTCTGAGAACAGTCCTCAAGATGTGTTCGATGCGAGTACTTATTATTTGGGACCCGAAGAGGACATTCCCCGCAAACTCGAATCAATGAATTTTGTTTGTCACGCGCCGTCTGATTACTATAAGGCGCGTCACTCTCCATATCCAACACTTGCAATCAAACCAGAGTGTGGTTTCATTTGGACCCGACTCGGACCACAAATTATCAAAATTCAAAATAAAGACAAAATCATTCAAGAATTTGAAAAATTGGAACAAAATAATACAATTTCCTGAATTTTTTCGATATTTTTATATTTATTTAATATTTTCATTATAAATATTTGGCATAAAATTTCCGGTTTTGTAATATAATATATCGTAATATATTCAATACATTGTATTCATTGTGTCAATTCATTTCATATACAGTACTGTAATTTACTTATTATTCACATAATGTTCACACAATAAATAAGTTAAAATTATAAATATAAAATAATTACCTATTAATAAAAAATATAGGATTTATAACCAATATAGCAATACAGCTAATATCGGTTTTATTTATGAGACTAATGTTAAAATAGATATAAATGCATTAAAAATAATATTATGTAAATATACTTATAATACTTTATAATGTTAATATTGAAATATATAAATACGGAAAGAATTTTATGATTTCGGTAATGTATTGATTATCTAAAATATTAAATGCAATAATAATATATATATATACTGTATATCACAGATATAGATAACCGGTGTTTTAATACAAATATGACTCATAAAAGTTCAGATCTTGTGGTAAGCATTTTGGCAAAAGAATTCCAAGTAATGGTAATAGTTGTGGGAAATTGAAGCCATGGTTCGCCATCCACTTGAATGGGAAGTCTCTCCAATAAAATCAGTTTAACCTCCTTTGCCTGTCCGAAACGCAACGGTTCCGAGAGTCCAATCATGAGTTGTCCGATATGAAAGGTTGAGTAGACACCTAATACTTCAAGTTTCTTGTCGTTTATCTTTTGTTTGACAGCACCGTTACCCAGATTCCAGATATCGACTCCTCCGCCCCAACTCATTATATTTAGTATTATAATGGACTCTAATTCTGGTAAATCAATTCGTTTTCCGTCTAATTCAAGAATAATCTTTTCGTTGAGATTTTTACATTTTCTTTCCAAAAGATCTTTTGTTCCATATGTCAGATATAAAAACTTATTAACAAATCTATTCCTGAAATATATAAGTTATCGTAAAATTAAAACAATTACAGTGTATTAACCGGTTCTACAAATTTAATACATTATTATAAAAATATTGTAATATAATTACGTAAATAAGTAGTTATAGACCCTTGACTTTCGGGTCTCATGAAAGTTGAGAGCAACCAAAGCGTCGACACCGACGGAGAAATAGTTATTCATTAAATAATGTTTGGAAGGCAGAGGAATACCAAGACTTCTATTTGAAGACAACTTTACACTCCAACGGTCCAAATCAATAGGTCTGGTATTAAGAACTTTATTCATAACTTCATCTATAGATGTTTCAAATGAGAAACTCTGTCCCCAACCGAGTACTCTCGATAAATCATTTCCCGTACCAAATGGTAATATACCAATCAATGGCATTGGATTTATCTTTAATTTTTGGATAGTATTAAGAACCCATCCAATGGTTCCATCTCCAGCTGCAACTAGTATTCTGAATGTAATCTCTTTATTGGTTTTGGACAATATTTCACACAATTCAACACTTGATTCAATGGATGTTTCGTTTAAATCAATCACTTGTAATGGATTTAGAATTGTTCTAAAAATAGTGAGTATTTTGTCGCCATCATTGTTACCACTCTTACGATTAGTTATAATAATCAATGGCTTCCAATTAGATTCATCTTCAAAGTTGGTCATACTTTCGATGACAAACTTGCGGCGACCTTTAGACCACACTTTCTTATGAATGACACAAAATGGGGGTACAATACATGTCCTCCATTTACCTAAATCACAATCACTGTGTCTCAGCTCATCCGTCAAACATTTTAAATGAACACATCTCTGACACCAACAGCACTTCCAGTCGACAAGAGCTGACTCGTCATCGCAATCATCACCGCAGACATCGCAAGTCGAATGCGTCAATAAATTGCCGCAAATCCAGAGATGAGATATTTGTTTGCTTTGTATTCTGGGGTCACTCTTAGCCATTGATAATGTTTTACAGTTAAACATATTGTCGGCCTTCTTATGGCAGCCGAAGTCAGCACAAGTGCCGCAACACTCGCAGTACATGCCGTCCACTATCAGAGATTCACAGACATTACAATAGGCAGTGTGTGTGATAATAGCGATTAATTTCCATCGATGACAGGCATGACTGCCATCACTCCAGAGCGGGATATTCAATGACCGCTCGCGAAGATGTTTAAAGAGTTTATAAGTCAACCAAACGATAACACTTAGTCCACAGATTAATGTCACCTGAAGTGGTGGTTTCAGTGACACTATCGACACCGTCTCCATTGCTGTCGTGACCACCGATTGTCTCAAATAATGAATATTTCGTTTGTCTCGCAATTGAGTCCGAAATCGTCGACTGATTTCAATCGACAGAAATGACATCGACTTCAATGTCTTCACTAGTCTTGCAATACATTCAATCAATCACTCAATCGTTTAATACATTCATTACTCAATGTTTGCAAACATTTATACAAAATTATCGTTCGATTCATTCAAACGTCATAACAGTTGTGTTGTTTGTAAACAAAGTATAGAATATTACATAACATTAGAAACATTGAGTCGACTCATAACTGACCGCATGTTTGGCATTGCATTCAAATGTCGACACAGATTATCAATACTAATGGCATCAAAAGTAATGATTATCACCACAATTGATCCACAAATGATAATATGTTTACATATTTTATATTATTGTTTATAATTACAGAATAAACTTATGTCATGTGTGACCATTGCTTTAGGAGGAAGTCTGACATTTGCAGGTATGGATCAATTGATAATATCAACAATTTTTTAATATATCATATCATATGTCAACTCAAAAGGCTATAACCTATACACCGGTGATCACAAGTTTTATCAACAACTGGTTATGCCTTTCATACATCATATAACAGATGCCGAGACCGCACACACAATGGCCATCAAATTGGCTAAACATGGATTTGTTCCACATCTTAAAGAAGATGATACTTTAGTACCAATACTTGTATGAAATTAATATCTGAAGACTGAATATCATATATGAAATATAAGTAAAGAAAAAATTAACAGAAAACGAGTTTATGGAGTCTTGAGTTCAATAATCCAATTGGTTTGGCCGCAGGATTTGATAAGAATGGACAGGCAATCAATGGTTTGGCTAAATTGGGATTTGGTTTCATTGAAGTCGGATCCGTAAGAATTATATTTAATATCATTTATATACAATTAGTTGATCACAATTGCAATTATCACTGTTTAGTGAAATTTTATTACTGCTAATTGTTTTTATTAAAAATAATATATTTAGTGTACACCACAACCACAACCAGGTAATGAAAAGCCCAGAGTTTATAGACTTATTGAAGACAAGGCTATCATAAATAGGTGTAATTTATTTAATTAATAAGTAATTTGTCACAAGTTTTAACCATTTTTGATAAATATATTAATTTACCGGTACTTCTAGATATGGATTTAATAGCATTGGTCACAATGCAGTTAAAGCTAATATTGAAAATTCGATAAAAACTAAAGAATCTTTAATTTTGGGTTTAAATTTGGGTAAAAATAAGTTAACAGAAAATATGGTCAATGATTACGTCGAAGGTTTGATTAAATTTAAAGATTCAGAAGCTATCGATTATTTTGTATTAAATATCTCGAGTCCTAATACATCTAATCTAAGAGATTTACAAAATAAAACACAACTTAAACAACTGATAGAAAGAGTTTTGAAAGTTAGAATCGATTATCAAATAGAAAAACCATTGCTTATTAAGATCGCTCCGGATTTGGATGATAATCAGTTAAAAGATATCACTGATATTATCAATGAATTTGCATCAAATAAGTCAATGAAAGGAATAGATGGACTAATTATCTCAAATACAACTGTCTACAGACATGAATGTCTTAAAAGTGATAATAAATTAGTGACACAAAAGGGAGGCTTAAGTGGACTTCCATTACAGAAAACATCAACTGATTTAATTAAAAGGGTCTATCAGTTAACTGGTGGTAAAGTTCCTATCATTGGTGTCGGCGGTGTATTCACTGGTAGTGATGCTTACGACAAGATAAGAGCCGGCGCTTCACTCATTCAGATTTATACTGCACTTACTTATGAGGTTTGAAACTAACGCTTGAAATAAGGTTTGAAAAATGTATTGATATTGATATTAATTTATACAAACATAGGGACCACAAGTGGTTAATGAAATCAAGCAAGAGTTGGCTAACATTTTAAGGTATTTGAAATTAAAAAATTTATTTATATTAATGCAAATTTCAATTTAGATCAAACGGTTTCAAAAATGTTACCGAAGCCGTCGGTATTGATCATCTTAAGTAAAATAAATACCAATAAATTGACAAAAAAAACATTAATTACTTGATTATTATTTAATAAGAATTTATGAAAAGATTGAAACCAAAATTACAGTATAATTACTGTATAATAAAATTTCTTTAAAATCAACAAATAATAAAATCTCAAGTCTTGACATAAATAGATCACAAAAGTGTTATATTAAATAAATAAAAGTATGACTAATAATTAGTGCACAATATCTGTATATTATGAATATCACTATTGATATAATAAATCAAACATTGAATCGAAATTCTTTTCCGTTGGCAAACATAATAATTACAGTTTTATTGCCAATCCATACAAATTTGGCCATCTTTTGAGGTCCGGCCGTCTTTACTTCCTCTGGCATTGGAGGAGCACTATAGGTCTTCACACATCGAGTTTGGGCATTACCTAACCCGAACAGACCGACTGCTGTCAACCAAAATGATACCTTATTTTCACCTGAAGAATAAGAGGCTAAATGTTTGCCGTCGGGAGAAAAGGAACAGCAGGTAATGGCAGCTGTATGTGCCGGTATGACCTGTGATTTGGGTGTCCGTAACTCATAAATGGCTAAATTGCCGTTTTTAGCGCCCACAGCAATTCGTCGACTTGATGTACAATAAGTGACATTTTGAAAGCGACATATCGTTGGATATACTTCTCCTAAGCCCTTAGTCTTAAGCATATTATGATCTAATGAATGTATTATTATATCCATAGCTTCAATGATCAGATCCGATACTTCAGTTTGCATTTTCTCGATTAATATTTCCATATTTCTTAGAATCTCAGGTCGTCCGCGACATAACACAGTTTGATGAAGTGCTACATTCAATGACTGAGCATTTTGTTGTATTGTATTATAACGCGCCACCTCTTTGGCCAAACAAGTGATAAAAGCTATATTTAAAAAGTAATTACAATTATCGGTAAACTGATATTAATGTATAGTTGAAACATACCGGCTGGTCTAGCCGTGGCTATCAAAGAGATTGCGTGTCGAGCCGTACGACATGAGTCGGCCGCCGGTGTCAATGGCAGACCAAATGACATACTCGGCACAAGATTTTCAGATTCACAGCACAACTCTAATAAACCCAATAGTATTTTTGAAACATCTAAATAAGGCTCCCATACAGTAAAGCCACGACCTATTAGATCAATAGCAGCCCTTCTTAATGATGTATGTAATGGTAATGAAGGCGAGGGTGGACTCAATAAAAGATACGCTAATGCTTTGCTTGTATTTCTGGCCAAAGTATAATTTCCGGGACCAAAGCCCTCAATAAGACTTTTACGACGATTTTCATCACTTGTTCTACGTTTGCTTTGTTCGACTTCGTGTCCATATTCTGAACCAATAACACCCAACAATACGATAGCTGTCGCCTGTTTTCGTCGTCCTTCAGTTGTATTAAATGACGACATTCGAGAAGAACTGATATCATTAGTGTCAGCATTAGTATCGACACCAATGGAATGTTCGTCTGGATCTTCGTCTTCATCTGACAAGTTGTCGTCATGTGCTCTGAGGTCAGAATGTTTATAGATATTTTGGCCGCCGTCTGAAGGTACGGGACTTGGAGACGGACTCGAAGATATCGAATGAGATTGACTTTGAGCTTTGGAATGATGTTCAGTTGGATGTGTTGTATGGATTTGATCCGAATAATTAGGCAAATATGTGGCCCATTCATCAACAATTTGTTTACGACCTTTACTACCAACTCGTCTGAGTTCAGCCAAAAGCAATGCTTGTGCCGCTTCTCTTACTTCAAGACACCTGTCCTGCCAACGACGCGCTAATATCTCAACTAATGGTCTTTGAAATTGATTTGATTTAATCAGATCAGGTAAAAGAACACAATGAAGAGCAGCCAATAGACTCCATCCCTGTTTGATCTGTTGCTGTTGATTAGCCAAATGTTCGGCTTCACTGACATCTGTCTGTTCGACTTTACTATCTGTTCGACTGGCCTTTCGATGCAATTTTCTTTTGCGTTCACTTTCGGGTATAAAAGACGCAGAACTCATTGACATTAGAGTCTTAGCCAAAGATATGGTTGATAAAAGATGATTAGTAGTGATGGCAGTCGATAGTTCCCAATGAAGTCGTGAAGAAAAACGTCTCGCTTTCTCTTCTTCAGCGATAAGATCTGAAGGCAAATAAGGACTTATTCTTACGTGTTTTGACTCACTTTTAGTCAAAGGAGTTTGTTTGACACTAATATTTTGACTATAATAAGTGGTATCCAATTGATGGACATAAGTCGGTAAAATTAGAGACATATGACCACCTCTTGAGATCATTCCAAAACAAATTGGTCGCAAAGGTCTTAGTAAACCTAATTTCGATTCACACACTTTGTCGAGATCTGAGTCGAGACCCCAGGCGTGCAGTAATGATAGCAATAGTCTTGCGATATCCATCGTTAGATTAGTTTCACCGATAGTCAGTTTAGCAGGTTTTTTAGTCCCAGCGGATGGAGTCATCAAATCAGTTCTACTGCCATCTGAAGATGTGGTCGAACTTTTCCGATAGAAGCCAACAGTGATATCTCCCGAAACGTTTTTAAATCCAATACTATCAGCCTTTGCCTGAATCTTTTGGGCCGCATTTTCAGCCGTGTCTTTAACTTTATTAAGAAATCCCGTCAGTTTGTGTTGTGTTTCGGGAGAACACGAAAGGTTATAAAACTTTTGGTATTCGCTAGTATTGGTCAGTCCGTGGTTTTCTAAAGTGTTTGGTGTCATCGCTGAATACTCGTCGTGCATTAATTGCACAATCAATGCTTCGACATCAAAGAACAAGACATGACTGTCTTGATCTTTAGGATTAGTTCTCAAACCTTGAATCATAAGAGGTTGTGAACGGGAACGAAGAGACATATCGACGACATCGAGTTTATGTTTTTCCAAATGTGAGCTAATGTTATGTAATCCTCTGACCGCTGCGTGTCTTATGGCCGCTAGATTTCTATGTCTCAAACCTCTAAACAGATGAATGGCTGGATTTGTAAGTCTATCTCCAGCAGAGGTAACATTTTCATCGCATGCACTAAGAATTTCTTCAGCAATTATTCCATGAACTACTCTATCCAAATGTCCCGTTTCCATCTGCCAGACATACACTGATCCATCAACACATCCAACAATCATAAAGTCATCGAGTGGTCGCCATTTAATTGTATGAATTGGAAAGAGATGACGACTAGCAAGCATTATGCACTTCCTCTCCTTAAGACTAAGAAGGGCTACCGAGTGATCGCTAGCCACCGAACAAATGCATTGTAATATTCGAGGCTATTATAAAATAGTTATTTATTTTAATATTAAATAATTTTAAAAATAAATTAATTTATTCATACATTGCATTCCTTCGGCGGTGCAAACAATTGATTGATTTCTCCCGCGTGTACTGAGAAACGATGTAATAGAGTTCCCGCATAGATATCCCAAACACAAACAGAAAAGTCAACGCCACCCGACACGAGATGAGATATTTCATAACGACTGTCCATATGATGCGGATATAATAAACAATTTACTCGACCAGAATGTCCAATAAGTATCTGATGGTGTGGCCAATCTTCAAATGTCAAATGTTTACCCACTAAAAACTGTAACATAATTGTCTGACTCGCAGACACTATGATAATACTTCCATCTTCTCGACCGCAAACTAGTCTTCCCTGTTGTGGTAAATATACGGATGCCGTCAGCTTATAGTATGGAGTGTCGTCTGTTGTATGAATCTAAATAATTATAAAAATAATACAACAAATATAGATTAGATGTATATTTGTTAATATATAATCTATACTATCTTATGATCTTATGGATAACTCACGAGTTGATCTAATATACCACATGGTAAAGGATCCATCAATTTCCAGGCTCTGTCTAATGACTGTATAACTGTCGGTGACATTTGTGAAGCATTTGTTTCTGATTCTTGTCGTATAAGCGAAACATCTCTATGAGAAACATCAGGAATCGACCAAATAATGACTTTCCCGTATGAATCGCCTCTTATTAAAAGTTTTTGAATATTTTGATTCATTTCATTCATATTTCGAGTTAACAAATAAAAATTCATTGCCGGCGGACATAAAAGTCGCTAAACAAGAAAATATGAAAATTTTTATACATTTTAATAAACGTTAATATTTTTAAATATTTAAAATTACCTCATCTTCAGGATTAGAGAGAATGGAATAAAGAAATGGTTGATCCGCTTCTGGTGAATGAAATTCTTTGTTTTCTGGAATACAACTTTCATAACACAAATATATATATTAATATATATATTATAAATACCGGTAATTAGTTTGATATTTTATCTAACATAATTCAACATGTACAATTTAGTCAATTAAGCATAATATTCATGTATATAATTAGTCAAATAATTATAAATCTATAGATTCATATATTATCATAAAAGTTGGATACATTATATCAAAAATATAATAAAATTTATTAACAAAATTTTGACTCTATATTATATTGATGTACAGTACAGTACAGTACATGTCCAATTAAATTATTTAACACTAAGATTATTATATATTATACAGTATTCTAATATATATTATAAATATATATATATAGTATAAAACATGCATTTGTAAAAAAATTAGACATTTTTAATGATTCAATAATTATGATCAAATAGCAAACAATGATCATCACAAACATATTCACAATTAAATATAAAACATTTAGATTTGTCTTAAAGGCTACAAACCTAATAGCCTTTCCTTTTAGTTTGCTATTAGAAAAAATCAAAAGTATGTTATTTTAATAATTTATTTACAGCTAATTATCAACAGCTAAAATATACTGAATTTTTGTTAATTAAAATAAATTTGTTAATAAAACATAAAATATTAATAACAATATTATAATATTATCTTACTTTACGGGTAACTTATAAAGATATCCTTTGCCCGCATCACTCCAAACAATGATCCGATCGGCAGATAGGAAGTCGCCTCCTGACCAACGTTCACCTCTACGACTGTCCACTGAACACAACAATGAGAAGTCTCCCGCGTCGTATATCTTATAAATATATAATTTATACTTAATATACACTGTATTATACTTAAGAGACAATGTGTTAATACCTGCCAATACTTAGTGCACACCACAAGAACTGTTCGCTGATTATATATACAACATGTCATACGAATTGCATTCAGACATCTGATTGGTTTCGACTCGTTTTCATAGATTGGTTCAGTCGATCGCATCTCTTGTCCAGTCATTGTCCACACTTTCACGACACCAGCAATTGATATCCCAATGACAACATCTTCTGCTATAAATTATTACTTTAATTATTAACTCTTAATTGTTATGATTTTGATGTTAAACCTTGACGTTTGACTGGTTTGAGGACATGAATAGCACTAATCCAATCGGGATTGACTTTTGATGTCAAAGTATAGAGTACTTCAAGTGTTGTCACATCCATTATGAGTATCTCTGCATAATAGCCGTTGCAAAATAACCGAAGATCTTCATGAGCTGACAACTCATACGTCTAATATTATATAAACAAATTGCAAATCATTGGAAATAATTAATGTTACCGGCGCTGACCTGAATGTTTGTGTGGACGCATTGCATTTTGATACTCTCAAGACATCGACCATCACTCAAGTCCCACAACGACATCTCACTATTAATCCATTAAAATTACTATTAAATATCAATCAATGTATATCTGAAATTAAGACAAACCCCGATTCAGAAGAGCTGACGAGTAATGAATTGTCATTTGTTTGTTTGCCATTAGCCAAACACAAGACTGGCGATGAGTGACCAAATAGTAGACTTCTTGGTGTCAACTGATATCATAAAACATATCTTTAATATTAATTAATTAAATATATGACAATAATTACCGAAAATGTAATTGAATTACAATCCCAAAGACAGATCTGGCCGTCATTACAACCGGTGACCACTGTTTTGTAATCATTGGTCAAAAGTACACACGAAATACAATGAGTCGGCGATTGAGAGCCCCATAGAGTGATCGGGACTATCAACTGATTGGACAGACCTATGACTGTCATTACCGATACTAATGTTTACTCAATTATTAATACAAATTATAACAAACATTAAATCATATCAAACATCAATCCATTCAATAGTGTTATCATAAATGTATACAAAATCACACAAACTTTACATTAATTTCCTTTTAATATTAACACATATTTTACTATTATATGAATTAAATATAATAAAACACAATTATATTTACAGTTGTGTTTAATTATGTTTAAAAATGTCAACAAATTGTTTATTTAATACCTGTATATCAATATATTGTACATAAACTACAATACATTGTATTACATATTATGAGAATCATTAGTTGTCTGCGAAGCTATCAATGTATTCAAAACACAATTCACGACTAAATTATTAAAATTTTTAAATTTATAATTAAATTAAAATGAGTTGAAAACAATGTGAATAACATATAAAATATAACTTTATTTACATCAATTAAAAGTAGATTAAATTGAATTACAATCAAAATTTAATTATTAGTCGAAATAAATTATAAAATAAATTGAATTAAACTAAAACAAGACATATATGAAAAACGGCTCATTTGGTCATTGAATTGATTGGCCCTAAAAAGGGCCGTTTGTTTGATGAGTGGACCGCGTGTTTAACCTCCGAAACCATAGAGAGTACGTCCCTGTCGTTTCAAAGCATAGACCACATCCATAGCGGTTACAGTCTTTCTCTTTGCGTGCTCTGTATAAGTGACGGCGTCTCGGATGACATTCTCGAGGAATACTTTGAGTACACCTCTGGTCTCTTCGTAGATCAATCCAGAGATACGCTTAACACCACCTCTTCGGGCTAAACGACGGATGGCTGGCTTTGTGATACCCTGGATGTTGTCTCTCAACACTTTTCGATGTCGTTTTGCGCCTCCTTTTCCCAAACCTTTGCCTCCTTTTCCTCGTCCGGACATTTTGACTGATTATACGATTTGTTTACAACAAAAATAAACAATAATTCAAATCAAGAGATAAAACTCAAGTGAAGTGATTGTCGTTTTAGTCCAACTTATATACTCAATAACACAGACTATACGTGGACTCACTCACTCTCATTGGATATTCATTTAACACTAGAAAGTGTGTTGAATCAGTTGACTCACACATTCAATCCCATAGCCAATCAAATGTATGGAAATATTTCAATTGTTTGACAACCAATCAAATGTATGAATGCATTGTTTGGCGCAAACAGTGTGTCTGTGAGGGTATAAAAGTGGACACAAATAGCGCTCAAAATCACAGTCTATTTGAAACTTTCATTTGATTCACAACTTTATTGTTAGACTTAAAACAAATCTAAAGCAATGGCCCGAACCAAACAAACTGCTCGTAAATCAACCGGTGGTAAAGCTCCCCGAAAACAATTGGCCACCAAAGCTGCCCGCAAGTCGGCGCCGGCCACCGGAGGTGTGAAGAAACCCCATCGTTATAGGCCCGGAACTGTCGCTCTCCGAGAGATCCGTCGGTACCAAAAGTCAACTGAATTGTTGATCCGAAAGCTGCCGTTCCAGCGATTAGTCCGTGAGATCGCTCAGGACTTCAAGACTGACCTCCGTTTCCAGTCATCGGCTGTTATGGCACTTCAAGAGGCATCTGAGGCTTATTTGGTCGGTCTCTTTGAAGACACCAATCTGTGCGCTATTCACGCCAAGAGAGTGACAATTATGCCGAAAGACATCCAATTGGCGCGTCGTATCCGAGGAGAGAGAGCTTAAGTTTGCCGACAACTATCTCATTGACAACAAACGGCCCTTTTTAGGGCCAATACATATATATGTCTTAAAGGACAGACATTTTGTCTCATTTATTCATATTTTAGTTTTATTTTTATCAATAAAAGTATTTTATAATTCAATATCACACCAATCGGTATCAATTGTTATAATATTTATAATCTATTTTTTTTTAATTTAAATTATATATTTTAATATACACTATAATAACTCATTTCTATAATTATGATTAGTATTAACTAAAATACTAAATGTCAATCAAACAATTAACATTTTATATTTTAAACATTTTTACCTAATTTTTATCTAATATTAAATTTAATTTATATGCATATAAATCCAATACAATAATCATAATAAAATCATAAACACATACAATCACTATATCATACGTTAGAAAAGGTAGTTATTATGAATTGATGAGTCGATTATAGCTTAATATGATTAAGATATGCCTTAAATGACAATTAAAACACAAATAAATTCATATAAATATTAATGATTTTATTACCACAAAAATTAAATTAAAAATATAGCATAAATTAAACAAATGATATTATGAGTCAGTCCTTAAAGTCATAGATGTATTGGCCCTAAAAAGGGCCGTTTGTTTCAAATGGGCGACTATTACACCATTTAAGCCTTCTTCTCGGTCTTCTTTGGCAAGAGAACAGCTTGAATGTTGGGTAAGACACCTCCCTGAGCGATGGTTACACCAGATAACAATTTATTCAACTCCTCGTCGTTACGAATGGCCAGTTGAAGATGTCTGGGAATGATACGAGTCTTCTTGTTATCTCTGGCGGCATTACCGGCCAACTCAAGAACCTCAGCGGCCAAGTACTCGAGGACTGCGGCCAAATACACGGGAGCGCCGGCACCAACTCGTTCAGCAAAGTTACCTATTATTAGTAGTAAACAGTAAACAATTAGTTTCAATAGTCAGTCAATCAATTTAAACACAAATTCATTACCTTTACGGAGAAGACGATGGATACGTCCGACGGGGAACTGGAGACCAGCTCTGGACGATCGGCTCTTTGCTTTACTTTTCACTTTACCTCCCTTTCCTCTGCCAGACATTGTTTATCAATAAATTTGTTGAGACTTAACGTAAAAGTAATACAATTGAGTGAATTCACTGAATGTTAGTCTAATGTTGTGTTTGTGTGCTATTTATACCCTCAAACTGGTATCCAAATCACACACCAATCACAACACAGTATATGATTGACTGTCCAATCATAAGACAAACCAATCAAAACACTCGTTTGTTTCACTTGTATTACAGCGCCATCTCTTTGACCGAACATATAATGAAAATTGTTTTTTATATAAATTTCAAATAAAATTATATTAAACTATAAATTAAAGACATCGTCGGGTGTGCCGTCACTATAGGCATCTGATTGTTGGCCACAATAGGTGTGTCTGATTGTCTGTCATCTCTGTGTTCAACAAAATGACACTTTTATATTGACTACACTCTTGATTGTCTAATATTTTTGCCATACTTTATACCATCTGTTAGGCTATCAGTTAATATAATTTATAATAATTATTAATAGACTTACTATATGTCTAACTGTTATAACATTAACGCCTATACTATCATTTGAGGCAATTATTTAGTATTAGATTATAGATTGTAATAATTGATAGTACAGTATATGTGTTAATAAATAATACATTATATGATAGTATTATAAAGTTTTTATCACAATATGTATTGTTTAACAATATTACAAAAGGAGGGAAAGTCACACATCATATAAATAATATTCAATTTTACCGCAAAAATTGAAATAAATATTTATTGTAAAGAATTATCACTAGAAATATATTAATAAATTTAAATCATTAACTCTGTCTGTCTGTCTGTCTGTCTGTCTGTCTGTCTGTCTGTCTGTCTGTCTGTCTGTCTCTCTGTCTGTCTGTCTGTCTGTCTGTCTCTAATAAATTATGAAACGTTTTAAATAATAAGTAATTACTTGATTACAATCATTGATAATATATTTTGACAACAAAACAATCAAATTATGAATATTAAATAGCATTATCAGAACAGACTTGTAAAAAATGTATATAATTGTTGTTGAGGTATAAGAGTAACAGTTTATCAGTAAATCATTATTTACATCATTCACTTACCCATCACTAGGGTATGTAATGATTACTTACCAAGGGTTGGGAAAGTTCCCTAATAAAATCCCTCCTATTTTCACTCCCTATCGTTTTTTATAATAAATAGTATCAAAACTTAAATATTTTGAATAAAATTTAATTGAAATATTCAAAAATAAATTTCAAATCAAAGTTTAATACAGTATAACATTTATTTTTCAAAAATTATACTAAAATGTGTTGTTTATGGTTCAATAGGTGGCAGAAATAGATTTATGAGTTCCCACTGAGCAGGGAACATAGGGAACATTGGGAACATTGGGAACATTGGGAACATTGGGAACATTGGGAACATTGGGAACATTGGGAACATTGGGAACATTGGGAACATTGGGAACATTGGGAACATTGGGAACATAGGGAACATTGGGAACATAGGGAACATTGGGAACATAGGGAACATTGGGAACATAGGGAACATAGGGAACATAGGGAACATAGGGAACATAGGGAACATAGGGAACATAGGGAACATTGGGAACATAGGGAACTTTTGGAAAATAGACGAAGGAGGTTATCATTACAAACATTACCCATCACTTACACCTATATTCCCATAAAAACTGAAAAAATATTTGTCACCCATTTTGACTATTTTCCATAACTTATTCATTCAGATAATCCAATTTTACTTTTGAACTCTTTATCCAAATATTTGAGGAAAACTTTTTTTAATTTGCAAATAAAATTCAACGGACAGTGACATAGATTTTATATAACAAACTTTTATTGAAAATATAACTAAAGTAAATGTTTATCAAAAGGACTCATAAAAAACTAATAAATTATTTCATTAAAAATGTTTATTGTATTTTAATGTAAACTTTTTATTTATATTTAATTTGATTTTCATTTAAATGAAATTATGATGTAATATAAAATATAATTTATATATAATTTAATTAAATTTATTTAAAATTATAGTTTCGTCTATCGAGTTCTACTCAAAAACAATTTGAATCTAAAAAAGTTAAAAAATAGTTTATAATTAAATGTTAAAAATAAAGTTTTATATTAAATGTAATAATTTGTTTTAAGAAATTGTCTTAAAGTTTTTTGGATAAATACTAGTAAATATATAGTAAATGTAAATTTTAATAATAATGTGCTAATAAAAAGTTGAATTAATAATTTAATAAAATAGTTAGAAAAATATCAAAAATTACAACAATAAAACATTGTATTACTGAAACAACTTTTGATTAACTCAAATGCATATTATGATGATTTCATATAATTACAAAAGTGATGTTCATATTATAATAATATTTATATTACAATATATTTGATTAACATCCGAGTGCTATACTTTCTGGTGTCACCCAATTGATCCATCAGATGATTTGATTATTACAATTACATACAGTTCTTAACTATAAATTATTTATAATTTTCTAGATTAACATTTAGTAAAATTAAATATAGTATATGTCCTTGATTATTACTGTATAATTTTATATAACTAATATTGATAGCATAATATCCCTTTTAAAAATGTTTAATAATTAATTAGTTTTAATAATTGGAATAATAAATATCACTTAAATATTGAAATTTAATAGTATATAATATGACATACAGTGTGTGTTTTAATAATAAAAAGATTACACTTAACTACAAAAATAATATTATTTATAAAATAATAAATCTATTATAACATTTGTGAACATCATTTCAATAAAGTTTATATTACAACAAACATAAACAAACATTTAATTAATAATATATTTGAATGTAATTCCTACTACTGTACTATAATTACGGTAGAATTAAAGCAAATATAAATAAATATGGAAATTTTGGTAATAAATAGAGGGGGAAACTAACTGTGTATTAATACAGTATATAAATTATATAATCATAAAATACATTTAAAATTCATTACATTTACAATTTCTATTTGAAATTATGTCTAAATCATTGTCTTAACTACAATATTATAACAGACTTTTTTACAATAACTCTTAATATACAATATATTTATTAATAAGTTTCTATGTTTTATAAAAATTGAATAATAATTAGTACAGTACTGTATATTTAATTGCAATTTAACACAATCTTTATTAGTTTCAAATTATTTTTAAAGTATCTTATAATCAGAGTTAAGCAATGTTTTGGATTTTAGGTGGGGGTAGACAGGGGTAAAATTTTAGGTGGGTCATTTCTCCTCGTTTTTAAGCGACAATTTTTCCAATTTAGTCAAAAAGTGTGGGGGTAAAATCCCAAAATCTCGATCTTAGGGGATATTTTGGCCTTACCCCTACCCCTTACTTAACCATGCTTATAATATAATATATAATATAATTGAATTATAATTATAAGCATAGAACTAAATTAAATTATTAATAATAATAGTATAACATCTACAGTATTATCAGTACTAATTTAATATTCTATCTAGAGTTCGATCAAAATTCCCTGGGAGTGAAGTTCCCTAAAAAATCCCTCCAATTTTACCGGAAAATATTTTATTTTCCCTCCTTTTTATATTATTACGATATATTATTATTATAGTACCAAATCTTAAATATTTTCCAAAAAATATTGTAATATTTAAAAATAAATTTCAATTCAATAAATTTAGTCATACTATTTATATACTATTTATCAATACAACTTAAAATATAATTTTTGGTTTTCAAATAGTATAATAAAATGTGTTGTTTAGAGTTTAATAGATTATAGCACAAAGAAATAACTTCCAAATGAATTCCCAATGAATTCCCAATGAATTCCCAATGAATTCCCAATGAATTCCCAATGAATTCCCAATGAATTCCCAATGAATTCCCAATGAATTCCCAATGAATTCCCAATGAATTCCCAATGAATTCCCAATGAATTCCCAATGAATTCCCAATGTATTCCCAGGGAGCAGGGAACATAAAAAACTTTTGACAATAAAACAATGGAGGGAATCTGATCTAACCCTAATTCTATTTAATAATTATATCTGTTGTTATTTTTGTATTAAAATAAATATTTAATTATTATTAGAAAATAGTTATATATTATTTTTATTATATCATCTACAATATTAATAGATAGTATCTGTTAATAAAACTGCTAAAAATGCTTTTTATATAATTGAAAATAATACAGATTTACATATTTAATGCAATAATTAGGGAAAACTTATATTAAACACTATTAAAGTATAGTACAAAACATAACTCGTGAACTACTGTACATACAATACAATACAATACAATACAATAGAGTGATTACGTGTTTATTAATAGTATTGTACTTTAAGTGCAAATACAGTACTATTGAATGTACTCTTTACATACTTTTATCTTTTTTTTAGTACATTAATAATAAATGAATTTAATCTTATACTGTAATTATTATCGATTAAGACCTTAAATAATTTATTATTATTAATTAAAAATTAACTAAATATACAATGTTTTAACATTAAAAAGATTTTATTATTCTTGATAATAGATATTTTAAATGAATAATAAATTTAAATAAATAGAAATCGCTTAATTAAAAAATTATATAATTATTATAAAACTATTCAAGCTATAAAATGTTTATACAATTTATTATAAGTTATTACAGATAAAAGTGAAATTTAGGAATTTTTTGAGTATTATATGATATCATAAGTTTATAAAAAATCAAATATTATTTCAATACCGGAACTTAAAAATAAAAAATAAAGTTTCCTTAAAATATCTTACATTGTATTAAACCTCTTAATTATAATAAATCCAATATAATTAATAATAAAATTAATAACTGGTCTGCCCTTCAATTGTTAATATTTTAAACAATAATTACAATACTTAATAACCAGACTTTTAAAATGTGATCAAATAATTGAATAGTTATAGAAAGTTATGATTTAGTGACAAATGGTTTATAAGTTTTTCCTTGAGATCTGAGAAAGTCTATTGTCTGCTATTGAATAACAATTATATGTACCTTAAAGTTGACATTAAATTAATAAATAATTTTCATCACAAACAATGAAACATTTCATTGCCAACAAAAAATCAATAATTGATAGTAATTTAAAGTGTTTTACACACAAATTACACACAAAATCAGTGAATGTCTCGGTTCGGTGCCATTTGTTGTATGGTTTTCATTATCACAAATCCAGTTGTTGTGTCCATTATATTTCACATCACGTCTAATGCTATTTTCACACATTATTTGCTATTCATTTCATAACTTATATCAAATGATTCATTCAATTTTCTTAAATTACAACAAATAGGTTACTCTACTTTTAAACATTATATAAAAACTTCAAATAACTGTACAAATGATGAGACGGTGACATTTGTTCAATTATTGACTATTTTATCACATTTGAAGTATAAATTGCTATATGTTTTTATACTTAATATGAAACTATATTAAAACATTAAAACAACCATTTATTTAAACATAAAAATCATTATTTGCTATTATTTTAATGTAATAATTATAGTACAGTATATAAAATGTATGTATTAAATGTGCTAATAATAAATACAATGTTCCAGTTATCCTAATTTAATATCAATACTATTTTTAAAATATTTATGTTATCAATAGACAAATCAAACATATTATTAAATATATCGATAATTATTGACACAAATGAACAAACAATTTTAGCAAATAAAATAAAATAATTATCGTAATAATATTCATATAATATTTAACATACAATATTTGATTATTATTATGTTAGTACTGAATGGGCAAAAAATATCGATGAAACCCATTATTAAATAAAGTCGTTGTAAAAAGTACTGCAAATTGAGTTCAGACAAACTTTTTTTGTGAAAAAAAGTTAAGGAAAGCCCATTGATTACAAGTTTTAGCAGAGTTTTCAATTTGTGAACTAAACTTTTGAATCAAAACAATGTATTAGTTTTTTGTTTGTTTGTTTGAATCTGAGCTGTCATTATAAAGTTATGATAAATCGGGAACTCATGTGATTTATAAATGAAAAAAAATATTGTTTTTATAGATATAAAAGATATGAATTGTTGTAATCAAATAGTAATTTTCATCCCTCAGTCATTGTATCCAATAGTTATGTATATATTGGTTATAATACAGTGAGTTGTGTGCAATCGCTAATGTTGTATCTGTGCGCCGGTTCTATAGCTACCAGTGCTGTAAATATTTATATTCTGAGCACAGGGTATGACTGTATGACTGTTTGAGAATAGCTTTAGTCTGCCTTATCGTCAAACCATTGAACAGTCGGTGCTTTAGGACTGGCTTTCAGTGGATAAGTATGTCATTAGTGTATGAATTTGATGTTTGATAACAACATATTATCAATGAATGCAATGATGCAAGTCTTCAAACTCGTCTTCAAACTGGTCTCTCAACTCGGGTTTCCCACTCTTGTGCTCTCAATCTTGTGCCTCACCATCGCTGTCAACAGTACTCTCGATGACCAAACCAGTGTAACCACTATTGTAGAGCTCGTGACGGCTGATGTCACTCCACCCGACATATCGGACATATCGGGCAATAGTGAGGAACGGATGACTACCGCTCAGAAGCGTATCGGACCATCACATCAACATATCCATCACATCCGTAGCCATAACAAGACAGTCAAACGATATCAAGTGGCAAAGTTTGACTTTGAACATGTGTCCACACCTTATATCATATCATTGTGGATCATAATTGTAGGTCTGGCCAAAATAGGTATGTCTTCAATACACTAACATATCATACAGTATTATATACCGGTTTAGATGACATATCTTACAGTCAAATGCTTTCACATTTTCAAAGCAAACATTATTATCATCTCATATAACAATCGCATCACTCTTTTATTAATTATTATATCATAAAAAATTGTTTGCTTTTATAGTTGTTTATAAAAACAAATTTTTAACTAAAATAATATAATATTATAAAATAAATTTATAAATAAAAAGCTTATATCAAATGATTTATAAGTTTCTATAAAAAATATATATTTGTTCTCATCTTTCAAATAAAACTCAATTTAATCTCTCTCTCTCTCTCTCTCTCTCTCTCTCTCTCTCTCTCTCTCTCTCTCTCTCTCTCTCTCTCTCTCTCTCTCTCTCTCTCTCTCTCTCTCATCAACTGTTAAGTTAGGTATAAATAATGAGATTTTCTGATTTACTTTATAAACAGTATATACTATACATATTAAAGGTCAGACAATCGCATCCCTGTGCTCTTATTGTTGCATAATATAGTAGATATTACAGTGCTTTGTAGGGGAGGAAAGTTAAAGTGAATATTTGTAGACTTAATTGTAAAACATTGTAAACTTTGAAAGCATTAGTTCAGTGCCTCTACTGGTCTATAAAAAGATCACTTTCTCTATAATACATAACAAAACCTTCAAATATTTTTCTCAACAAATGACGGCTTTTCTCTACAAAAAAAATTAAATCAAAACTTTGTATTATTTAATAACAAATTATATTTTAATTAAATAAATTTAATTGAGAACTAAGATAATTAATTTATTAAATACTGTAAGATTTTATTAGATAAGATTACATTATTTTATTATTTATTTTTATTATTTATATATTTTACAGATTATATCAAAAATAAAAATAATATCTTAAAGCAATAATTAAATTCTAGGTCTTAATTTCTAATAATATTTATGATATAATTAATTGAAATATTAATGAAAATAACGAATTTATAATATAATTTATTGAACATCACTTTAGGTCTGAATATTAATACAATTAATTTTTATATTGTATCATATATTGTATTTATTATTAAATATTAAACAATTTATATAAATAATTGATTAAAATCCTTGTGAAGTGTGTATAAAAAATAATGTATAAATTATTGATATTACATGAAGGAAATATTATATTGATATCTATTATATAGTTTACAATTAATTAGTACCTTAAGGTAAACCCTATAATTATTTTTGTTTATAAATACACAAAACTTTATTCAATTAAAATAAATGTTTGCAGAGGTAATTGTTTAGTAAATAAAAAATGTATATCAAAATATTTTTGTTATTGAATTATAAGCATTTGATATTATAGTACCTTAATAAACATATATCAATTTTAGATACAGTATTTTTAAAAATACATATTTATATTTATAATTATTTACATTTTCTCACAAATTAATTTTTTATCTGTACTATAACTTAGAATACACTTTAGATATTAAATAATCGATTAAAATAATTAGTTAATTTTCGAAACATCCAGGCAATTTTCTACAATTTACAATATATTATAATTATTAATACAAACAATGATAAACTATAACGCTAAATTTATTTTATACATGTATAGTTTAGTATATTGTTAGGTAAATATTAAATTTAATATTATTTTTGATTCACTAGAATATAAATTTGGTATAACATTATAATGAGAAAAATGATATACAGGTTTAAAATATGTTATACTGTATATAATAGATAGTATTGTATAATATTACACAATACAGTAATATTACTAATATTAATGTTATAGTTATTGTTTGTCTTATGATATTTTGAATGTAACCATAACTCCGACATTTGAAGGTTTGCTTTTTCTTTATATAGTTTTGTAAACGTCACACAAATACACAATACTATCGAAATTTTATTTAAATTTTTGATATCTGATATTATAATTAATCGAAAGCGTATTACAATATGTTTATTTACTTTATATTATTATGAATAATAAATAATTATTTAAATAAACATTTTTTAATTTAATCTATTCTATACTTAATAGTAAAGTATTATAAATAAATTCTTGAAACAAATAAAGTAATTTCAAAATTATTTAGATATAAAATATTAGTATAGTATAAACACTTTAATTATAAAACTAGTTATGAATAACATCAACCAGTTATCACTATTGGTTATATGATAATTATAAATAAATCTTAATTTATAAAAATTAAAACAAAATGTAGTTTTGAAAATAGTTTCAAAAGCTTTTTAAAAAATACTAAAAATAATTTCAAACTAAAATCTTTGTAATAAAATCTATAATCAAATAATGACAAAAATATAACAAATTGTAAATATAGCGGACGTTAAACAATCGGAACTGAGTTTTAGTCAAAACTAAACTGTCGTTCAGTTAATAAATGTTTGATATATTTATATTTCACTGTTTAACGCCTTATTAAGTGAAATATTATATTGTTTTGTATAATACAGTATAATAAATAAATTTATATATATCTCAAAATTGAGTTATTGCTATTGCAGGCAACAAGTAATACGGTATGGCTATAGTAGACAAAATTAGATTAAATATCTTTAAGATAATATAGTATTAATCCAATATTGTGTGAATACTTTTTATATATTATATTATTTAATTAAGAGTTTATATTAAGATAAACAACATAATAAAAAACACAATTTTAATGTACATATTTGTTATTTAATAAAATTTGTTATTTGTAATAAAAATAATTTGACAAAGTGTTCAAATTTATTTATAAATTTGTAGTTAACATAAAATATGTTTACTCAATGGTTTGGGTCAATCTATGGTATTTATGCTCCGATACCCTCTAAAACTATAATAACATTAACATAGCTTATTAATTATTATTATTACTAATTTGAATAAATTTTGTTTTTTAAATTAATAATTTTTTTAACGTTGAAAATAAATAATTTTACAAAAATTAAAATAATAACAGTAATTTTATCTTTAATAAGGAAATACCATATAAAAAACTATATAATTGTTGTAATGATTCAGCACTCAATTATATAATAGATTTTTAATATAATTTTAAAGGAAACATATATTTCATTTGAAATAAAGATTATTATAAATAATATAATGGATACATACTGTATATATATTACATATTATATATATATACTAATACTGTATATATAATAAGTTGTCAAACATATTGTATAATAGCCTTAATTTTTTCAAATCATTAAACATTTTTTTGTGTTATATTTTTGTCATTAAAGAAGAAAATTTGTTGAATTTATCAGAAAAATTAATTTCAATATAAATAAAATATATGTTTTTATAATAAACATAAAAACCCCAAAATAGTTCTGCGATATAAAATAAACAGTATTTTGAAATTAAAATAATATTTAATTAACAACTGTTAGATTTGTTTACATTTTCAAAAATAATATTTTTTAAATATAATTTTTCAATTAAACCCAAATAACATTATAAACATTAAGATAAAATCAATATTAAATAAATAATTGTATGCTTCATCTCATACATTGACTTTTTTTATAAAACATATTAATTATAAAATAAATTTATATTTTAAATATACTCTACGTGATTAAATAAATAAATATAAAATGTGAAAATTAGTTTTTGGAAATTATAATTTATAGAAAATAATTTTTTTCCTTATTTTCTAATATTTACCCCATTTTGATAAAACCTAATTCTAAAAATTAGTTTTTTTGTCATGAATTTGGATCAAAATAGATAATAAATTTCAGTCAATACGTGATTTTTAATTAAATTAAATGACAAATATTTGAAGCAAAGCGATGACACATTCATATAATCAAATGATTTGTAAATATATTCATCACTAGTTAATCAGTATTTATTTTTATCAATTGTTGTCAATTGAAAAATTTAAGAGTCAAAACATTTATTACTTAATGATATTTATCTGTAGTTTATTTTTAATAAATTTTTATAACAAATATACAATATATGGTAATGAAATTGTAACATTTAATGAAAAATAATTATTAATTTATTATTGAAAATAGTTAGAATGGTATAAAAATTGTTTTTTTAATAATACATATCTTTATAAATAAAATGTTTACTATAAATACATTAAATTATTAAATAGTTTTAATATTTAATTTATAACAACATTATAGGTTTTTAATATAATTTTGATAAAAACTATTTTCAGCAAATATTAATAAAATTCGTATCACATATTTACTAATTTATTTCAAATTTATAATATAAATAAAAAACCTCATCAATAGATTAAAACTAAATGTTAAATTATTAACTATTACATCAAATTTACAGTATTATTAAATTATTGATAAGTTCTATAAAATGTCAATTTTTATTTTATTTTGAATTCGTGTAAAATGTTAAAACTAATGGTAAAACTTAGTTATTTAGTTTTTATATTAATATTTTATCAATGATTTAATGTATTCAAAATTATAGTTATTTTGATTATTGAACTCAAAGCTAATTACTGGACACGAGTTATATCAGTACACTTAACAATAAATAAATATATGATAATTTTATTGATTTTATTTAATATCAATAATTATCATCAATAGTACAATCTCTGGTATTATCATTGATATGTCACTCACTGTCTGTCTAATGACCAACTGTTATACAATTTAATACAATTTAATACAATGGACTCAATTTAATAATATATAATATTAATGTTTGACTAATATTAATTTAAAGCAAAAATAAAATCAGTTACATTAATTAATATTGCAATTTTACAATAATACATTATGTTTGTAAAATATCAACTATAGTTTTTTTCACTTTTTCATAATTTGTATTTGTTTTTTTTAATTAAATATATATATTATTTTAAAAGTAAATACTGATATACAATTCGACAGCACTGTAAATATAATGTAATTTTACTTTTATATTTTATTATGTTAAATACAAAAAAAAATTAAATACTGCTTTTTAAAAATAATGTACAAATATCATATTAAACATTATCATTAGTATGGTATAAACTATACATTACTGTATATTGTATTTAATTTCTGATAACGTTTTTTAAAATTTTCATTGATTTAAATTGAAAATATATGTTAAATAAATATTTTATTTTCTAATTATCATAAATACATATAATTTTATAAATTTTTGAAGTTCATAATATACGTAAAATAGCAGATTTGATTATACTAAAGATTAAAAGTAGTGAAATTATAAAATATTAATAGAAATCTAATTGTAATTTAACAATAAAATGAGCATGTACAATTTAATGAGTTTCTTTTATATTTTCAACAATAATCATACTATAGATGTTTTCTTAGACATAATTTAAATACTTATTCACATTATATGTTCATATATTACTTCAATGTTACTAAAAATTTATTTTTTGGTATTATTGTAATACTTGTTCATTAGATTATATTTATTTTTATTATCACTTAAAAATCAATAATATTGCATTGAAAGTAAAAGTAATGTTTATTTATTATTTAAAATAAAAGTATACACAGAATAGCATATAATGAAAAAATATAGATGAAAATTGTTGTTATCCTTGAATGTGATTCAATATACTATTAGAAAATCTTTATAATACTTTAACATTTTCAATGTTTTATTTTTTGTTATTAATTTAAAATCTTTAATTTAAAGGCAACTAATCAACTCATGATAATCATATATTTATATATCATTAAAAGCAATTGAAGCATATTTAGCACAATTGTCTTATTTAATGCTAAATAAATCATAATTAACTACCCATGATAATTTATTCAAATATTTATCAAAATACTTGTCAAAGTATTGCATTTTAGTTGTTATACTTATTTTTTAGTGAGCAAACAAATAACGATATATTTGAAAAACATTATTTTTAGTAAAGTGAGTGACCATTGATGGCTTATAATAAAAATGGTCAAAATGTTGCCGCAAAATGTTAACTTAAGTAAAATTATATCACTGATAACAATGATAAAAATATTATTAATTAAATCTCATACAATACATAATATTTTGATAAATATTTGAATAAATTATCATGGGTAGTTTCTAAGAAATTTAATTTTTAGAATGTAACAAGGCAAAACATTTTATGTATAATATATTAGGAATTTAGTATAGATATGATATATAAATATTTCTGTTTAGATATAATATTAAAATAATTTATAGATTATAATTAATGAATTGTCAATACATTGTAATTTAATTAATTAAATACAAAGTTAATAATATACAAAGTATTAATTTATAAAATACTAAACAATACTAATTATAAACTAATTATTTTTGAAAAATAGGTTTTCATGTGACACCAAAATTATCGTCATTATGTCCAGAATCTGTGGTTTTGATGATATTAGGCGTAATAATTGGTTTAATAATGTTTTTTGCCGGCATTCCCGACGATAAGTTGCAGCCATTGACACCCAACCTATTCTTCCTCTATATGTTACCCCCAATAGTGATGGACGCCGGCTATCATATGCCTAACCGATTATTTTTTGATAATTTAATATCAATATTGCTTTACGCCGTTATCGGCACCGTTTGGAATGCCTTAGCCATCGGTAGAAACAAATTATTATTAATAAATTTATTTATTTTTAATTTATATTTATAGGGCTTTCACTTTATGGTTGTGCACAATTTGGTATTTTTGGTGAACCCATACCTTTATTAGATATTTTGTTATTTAGGTAAATTTTAATTTATATTTATATATTTTCTAACAGTATATTTTTATTAATAAACATAATTTTATTTACTATAATTATTTTTATAGTAATTTATATTTTTTATAACTTTTTATTATACGATAAATACTTTATTAAATATGTATTATAAATTGATCTAAATTTTTGGATCAATACATTGAGCTTATAGAGTATTTATGATAAAAATTTATTATACACTCTATGATCTATAACTAAAATATTGTTATTTATGGTTAATTTATATTTGAGTAGGAATTTTTAAATTATAATTAAAAAACATTTAAGATTTTAAAAATAAACAATTAGTTTAATACCATATTATAATAATTACCGTAATTGTAATAATCAGTTTTTAAAATACAATATATTCTAAGATTATCTATAACTAAATAATCAACATTACGGGATTTCTCTAATTTTATTTGATTATCGAAAAACTAGAAATTAAATACTAATAAAAATATGATAAACTTTTTATATTATTTTGTAATACTATTATATAAATATATATTAAATAATAAAACTAAATATAATTAAAAATACAGGTATAATAATATACTTATTATTTTTGTAATTTTAAAAGTATACGTTAAATAATTTGTGAACAAGTTATTATATTAAACATTTTATTTATTTCTCAATTTCATTATTAAATTTAATATTTAATATTTTTGAATTATTTCAATAAAAAAAAATAAAATTACATAATAGTGGAAATAATAGATATAAAAAAATTCAGATATTTTTTTCAAATTGAGTTCCAGTTTTGAAGCATTGTTTTGTTGAATTTATCAAAACATTTACATAATTATAGTTAAATAAAACACATTTGATGGCACATATGCTCATCAAAATTATTGTCCAAGGATTGTGTCAATGACTATTGACTAATAAAATATTTATATAAAAATAATAATTTAGAAGCAAATGTATTATATAAATATAAATATATTTAAATTTAGTTCAACGGTGTCAGCCGTGGATCCGGTGGCTGTGTTAGCCGTATTTGAAGAAATTCACGTCAATGAAGTGCTTTATATTCTCGGTATATATAAAAAAATATTTGCAAACTATCAGACAATCAAAAAAATTATTTAATTATTAAATTATCAAAATTTAGTTTTTGGCGAATCATTGCTTAATGATGCGGTCACTGTTGTAAGTGATTGAAGCAATTATTTATAAATGGATACACAATATAAACATATATTACTATTATTTAGGTATTATATCACATGTTTGAAGGCTACGCTGAGATGGCCTATGAGGACGGTATTGAAAGTGTTTTGGCGATTGACTACTTTGCGGGCGTCGCCTCTTTTTTTGTCATATCTTTGGGTGGAACAGCTATGGGTGTCATTTGGGGATTTTTGGCCGCCTTTGTCTCCCGATTCACACATCACGTCAAGATTATTGAACCAATCTTTGTCTTTGTTATGGCTTACTTAGCATATCTTTCTGCAGAAATGTTTCATTTATCAGGAATTTTGAGGTAAGAATTGAAAGAATATTTTTATAAATTAATAAAAACATTATTCTCAAGATATTATAACATATAATAATTATATATCATTAATGATTATGAATGACATTTAGTAAAAAATATTTATATTTATTTTATTTGAAGAATATATTGTATTTTAATAACTAATAATAAATTCAAACAAAGAATCGATTGATTACATAAAATTTTGTTTATAACTCAAAATATAATGATATCTATTACAAAATTTTACATTTATGAAATATTATATATTGATTTATATCGAATAATAGATATGAAACTATAAAAAAGTTTGTTTTGATATAATTATTTTGTGTACTGTATATCAAAAATTGCTAAAATACTGTACATTTTATAATACTATATTATCAATGATAGTTTATAAGATAGTTATACAGTATTATTTAATGTTTTGATAATAAACCTTTTATTTATTTATATTTTATATATTAATATATGTTATCATAAGTTTTTTTTACAAGATATCATTCTTTTAAATATTTTTATGATAATTATTATAGTATAGCTGTTATTGAACTCATTTCCAATATAACAATAATAAACATTATCAAAATGTCAAATACATATATAGTTATATAATACTGTATGTTATGATTACTAATGGATTTGCATTTTTAAATACCCTTTTAAAAACTTTTAGCTAAAACATATAATACGGTACTTGTATTTGAAATAAAATAACATTGAATGCCATGTATTAATTAATATGAGTACTCTTAATTAAAATCAATAAACACTGTTTGTCCTCAATTTTATCAAATATCTAACAAATAATTAATATTTTAGGTGAAACTAAAATACATATAAAATTAGTGGTTTTATTTAGATTTTAGTGATTTTATCATAGCTGTATGTTTTTGATAGTATATAAATTTATATATATTATAATAAATATATTATTGAGATTTTCATGAAAATACATTTACATGTATTATATGATAATAAGTAAATCAAAAGCTAAACGATGCAAATATTAACAAAATATTATAATTTGGGTTTTGTAAAAAACTAAAGTAAACATTTATTTTATACACGGATTAATTTACTAACATTTAAAAGTAATGCATTATTAAAACTGTTTGTCATTTTATATTTGAACGCTTCAATGCTAAACAAGTTTAATCGATTGCTTATATATTTATATAATATTTATATAAATTCTTTATTAAATCAATAATTTAATGCTATTTTAGTAAAACCGTTAATCATAATAAAAGTTATATAAATTATATATATATGTATTAACAATGAATATTTATTACCGTATATATTTTTCATTATAAAATAATATATAGTTTAACATAATTTATAAAATACAAATTAATAGCTTAGAAAATTTTGATGGTTATTAATTAACAATATATATATAATTTAATAATTGTTGTTAAAATTTATACAATTTCAAGCTTAACCTTCTGTGGTATAACAATGAAGAATTATGTGGAGGAGAATATCACACAGAAATCGCACACAACATTGAAGTATGCGATGAAAATGCTGGCGAATTCATCGGAAGCCATAATCTTTGTATTTCTTGGTGTTTGTACTGTTAATGACAATCACAAGTGGAACACACCGTTTGTTGTCTTAACCATAGTTTTTTGTCTCGTCTACAGAACCATAGGTTTGTATATCAATTATCTCAACAAATAGCATACATTTCAGACAATTTTCATTATAAATTGTCATTTATTTCATTATAATTTACTTTTAGGAACAATTGTATTGACATCGATGGCCAATAAATTTCGTTTGCATCGACTTAATAGAGTCGAACAGTTTATTATGGCTTATGGAGGTCTGAGAGGTGCCGTTGCCTTTGCACTGATACTAGTAATCAATAATGAAATAATTCACGCGAGAGAAATGTTTGTCACTACCATTATAGCGGTCGTCTATTTCACTGTTTTTCTACAGGGTTTGCATCGATTTAATCAAATATTTTCTAATCAATTATAACTTTTACTAATATATAGACTAAAATTTATAGGTATGACTGTCGGAAGTCTAGTAAAACTGTTGAATGTTCCCCGCGCTAACAAACGGGAACTCACAATGAATGAGCGCATACATACTCGGGTAGGACTTTACAAATCATTAATCATTAATCAACAATCATTTAGTTATTTTATAATTAGGTTTTTGTTATGTTATTTTAATAGTTTTTTTTATAAATAGAAACAATATTGATGATCATTATTAAATCTTAAGTGTAATTTACAGAATAGCTTCAATATATCTAAAAGTATAGTATTAAAAATATATTTATAGTATTATAGAAATTGACAATAAGTGTGAAATTTACATTTTATTCAATATATTCACTAAATTGTTTTAACTATCAATAATAATAATAATAATAATTACTTGTATAGATCTAAACTAGCAATATTGTAATTACCGGTAATTTACATAAAATTAGTCCATTAACAAGCAAATAGTTGCATCAGTTATTAATCAATGTTATAAAAACATTAAAACTAAATTAATATTTTCATTAGTAAACTCAATAGTATTTTGGTTAATAAAAATATTTAAAATTAAATTTATTGATACATTTAGCTAATGGATCACTTGATGGCTGGAGTTGAAGACATATCAGGAATGATGATCGGGAACTATAAGCTCAGAGATAAGTATGTCTATTGATTAATGTAATCCAATGAATAAATAAATCAATTAATTAATTGCTATGTTATTAGGTTTCGTCACTTTAATAACAATTATCTTCGGGTTTGGCTTTTGAAGGACAGTAAAGAAATGGGTAATTCTTCGCGAAAGATATTCGAGACCTGTTCTAAACTCAATCTTCAGGAAGCACTCAATATAGTGAATAAACAAAATTTATATTTGAATACTACGAACGCCGGTAATAATAACTTCTTGAGTCCCGATAAGTCATTGTCTGCGCTGTTCCGGACCTACACTCAGACTAATTTATCTAATTTGGCCACCGATGACGTGTCCGACACCTCTCCATCGACAGGCATTCCTATGGAGCCAAACAATGGCTTTAACTTTGATATCGCAAACTTAGCGTACAGTCCGAGTAATAAAGATTTAGCCGACGCTGAGATTCATCATATTCTTAACGATGCGATGTTTAAACCAATTAAAAAGGTTTTTAATTATTATACTGTATTTCAATCTCTTAATAATCAGTTATTTTAATTAATAGGTTCGTCGCTATAGTCGTAGTGATGTCTTAGAGCCGCCATCAACACACCCACCGTTTCAACACCAGATCCGGATGCAGATCAGACATCTGGTTAGTCAACAACAACACAAACGAAAGCGAAAGAAAGTGCAAAAGACAGACAACAACTCAATGTCACCAATGACTCCACCGAATGGACTCTTGTCTGTCAATAAAGATATGTTTCGTAAGTTATCATTAATGTCGAAATCTTTTTACAATATCTCAATAAATCAATTTTCAAACCATCAGTGAATCCAAATACACAAAATATATTACACAAGTCCTCCGACAACGACACCGAAGATCGAGGCATTGAATTTATAGCCAAAAAACGGTCTCCAGAGTCGACGCCGTCACCAAAAGATGATCGCAAACAGACATTACCTCCGCCGGCGACGGCTACTGAAGCACAACTTCCGTGGAGAAGAGATAGCGAAACAAATGAAGAGACATCGAAACAAGTGATTCGTCAGGAAGAGTTCCCGCCGTGGATTGATAACAAAGATTATATACCACAATATGCTTCACCGACTAACACATATTTGGGAAAATTATCACAAAACAACTCTCAGACCACCGACTTCAACAGTTCTCCCGCAAACACACGCACACCGACCCTATACGAGATATTTACTATCGATGAAAGCCGAGAGAATGGTCGCAGCGATTCGGGATCGAGTCAGGGATCACGAGATTGTAAAGAACCCAAAGTGACTGAAAGTCACACAAACGAAGGCATCACTAGAGGTCGGTTCCACTGTACGAGTGCTACATCTGATGGACAAAATCAAGAGGATATTAAGACTTTAAGTAGTCCAACAACTGTTGCCATTAACTTAGGCTTTGAATCGGATGACGACTCGGATAATAAACATATGATTTATAAGTTATAGTAGTTTTGAAATTAAATTTTTATTAATATTACAAATGTTATCATATTTTCATACAATGTTAAACATATCATTGAAATTAAATAAACTTAAATAAAGTTAATACTCGTATAAAATATGATTTAAATAAAAGATTAGACATATATGAAAAACGGCTCATTTGGTCATTGAATTGATTGGCCCTAAAAAGGGCCGTTTGTTTGATGAGTGGACCGCGTGTTTAACCTCCGAAACCATAGAGAGTACGTCCCTGTCGTTTCAAAGCATAGACCACATCCATAGCGGTTACAGTCTTTCTCTTTGCGTGCTCTGTATAAGTGACGGCGTCTCGGATGACATTCTCGAGGAATACTTTGAGTACACCTCTGGTCTCTTCGTAGATCAATCCAGAGATACGCTTAACACCACCTCTTCGGGCTAAACGACGGATGGCTGGCTTTGTGATACCCTGGATGTTGTCTCTCAACACTTTTCGATGTCGTTTTGCGCCTCCTTTTCCCAAACCTTTGCCTCCTTTTCCTCGTCCGGACATTTTGACTGATTATACGATTTGTTTACAACAAAAATAAACAATAATTCAAATCAAGAGATAAAACTCAAGTGAAGTGATTGTCGTTTTAGTCCAACTTATATACTCAATAACACAGACTATACGTGGACTCACTCACTCTCATTGGATATTCATTTAACACTAGAAAGTGTGTTGAATCAGTTGACTCACACATTCAATCCCATAGCCAATCAAATGTATGGAAATATTTCAATTGTTTGACAACCAATCAAATGTATGAATGCATTGTTTGGCGCAAACAGTGTGTCTGTGAGGGTATAAAAGTGGACACAAATAGCGCTCAAAATCACAGTCTATTTGAAACTTTCATTTGATTCACAACTTTATTGTTAGACTTAAAACAAATCTAAAGCAATGGCCCGAACCAAACAAACTGCTCGTAAATCAACCGGTGGTAAAGCTCCCCGAAAACAATTGGCCACCAAAGCTGCCCGCAAGTCGGCGCCGGCCACCGGAGGTGTGAAGAAACCCCATCGTTATAGGCCCGGAACTGTCGCTCTCCGAGAGATCCGTCGGTACCAAAAGTCAACTGAATTGTTGATCCGAAAGCTGCCGTTCCAGCGATTAGTCCGTGAGATCGCTCAGGACTTCAAGACTGACCTCCGTTTCCAGTCATCGGCTGTTATGGCACTTCAAGAGGCATCTGAGGCTTATTTGGTCGGTCTCTTTGAAGACACCAATCTGTGCGCTATTCACGCCAAGAGAGTGACAATTATGCCGAAAGACATCCAATTGGCGCGTCGTATCCGAGGAGAGAGAGCTTAAGTTTGCCGACAACTATCTCATTGACAACAAACGGCCCTTTTTAGGGCCAATACATATATATGTCTTAAAGGACAGACATTTTGTCTCATTTATTCATATTTTAGTTTTATTTTTATCAATAAAAGTATTTTATAATTCAATATCACACCAATCGGTATCAATTGTTATAATATTTATAATCTATTTTTTTTTAATTTAAATTATATATTTTAATATACACTATAATAACTCATTTCTATAATTATGATTAGTATTAACTAAAATACTAAATGTCAATCAAACAATTAACATTTTATATTTTAAACATTTTTACCTAATTTTTATCTAATATTAAATTTAATTTATATGCATATAAATCCAATACAATAATCATAATAAAATCATAAACACATACAATCACTATATCATACGTTAGAAAAGGTAGTTATTATGAATTGATGAGTCGATTATAGCTTAATATGATTAAGATATGCCTTAAATGACAATTAAAACACAAATAAATTCATATAAATATTAATGATTTTATTACCACAAAAATTAAATTAAAAATATAGCATAAATTAAACAAATGATATTATGAGTCAGTCCTTAAAGTCATAGATGTATTGGCCCTAAAAAGGGCCGTTTGTTTCAAATGGGCGACTATTACACCATTTAAGCCTTCTTCTCGGTCTTCTTTGGCAAGAGAACAGCTTGAATGTTGGGTAAGACACCTCCCTGAGCGATGGTTACACCAGATAACAATTTATTCAACTCCTCGTCGTTACGAATGGCCAGTTGAAGATGTCTGGGAATGATACGAGTCTTCTTGTTATCTCTGGCGGCATTACCGGCCAACTCAAGAACCTCAGCGGCCAAGTACTCGAGGACTGCGGCCAAATACACGGGAGCGCCGGCACCAACTCGTTCAGCAAAGTTACCTATTATTAGTAGTAAACAGTAAACAATTAGTTTCAATAGTCAGTCAATCAATTTAAACACAAATTCATTACCTTTACGGAGAAGACGATGGATACGTCCGACGGGGAACTGGAGACCAGCTCTGGACGATCGGCTCTTTGCTTTACTTTTCACTTTACCTCCCTTTCCTCTGCCAGACATTGTTTATCAATAAATTTGTTGAGACTTAACGTAAAAGTAATACAATTGAGTGAATTCACTGAATGTTAGTCTAATGTTGTGTTTGTGTGCTATTTATACCCTCAAACTGGTATCCAAATCACACACCAATCACAACACAGTATATAATGTTAATACTATTTGCAATGTAATGACGCTATTGGTTAGTGCTTTAAACACCAGTTTTTGATTGGTTAGTGATTTGGACACCGCTTTGAGGGTATATAAAGAGTGAGTGAATGACTGTTGTCTTTCATTGATTGCTTTCGCTCTCAAACTCTTATATTTGTCTAAATCTAAACCAACTTTCAATTGTCATAACGTAATGCCTCCCCAACCGAGTGGTAAAGCCGTCAAAAAGGCCGGAAAAGCACAGAAGGCTGTCCGCGCCGGAGACAAGAAGAAACACCGAAAGAAGAGGAAGGAATCCTTCTCGATCTACATCTATAAGGTATTGTTGATATCTATCATATCTTTGGCGGCAATTACTTATTGTATTGTTATCTTAACACTAATAGGTCCTCAAACAAGTACATCCCGACACCGGTATCTCATCTAAGGCTATGTCAATCATGAACTCGTTTGTGAACGACATCTTTGAGCGCATTGCCGCTGAGGCCTCTCGTTTGGCTCATTATAACAAGAGATCGACAATCACTTCCCGGGAGATTCAAACTGCTGTCCGACTCCTTTTGCCCGGAGAGTTGGCCAAACACGCCGTCTCTGAGGGAACCAAAGCTGTGACAAAATACACGTCAAGCAAATAAACGGTAGTCGAAACCGATGTCGACATTCAACAAACGGCCCTTTTTAGGGCCAATCAGTTCAATGATTTATTAGGAGTTGTTTTAATCGCCATTTATTCATATTTTTTAATTCATATTTATTCCTCTTTTGATTTATTTTGTATTTTTGGATAAATTTCATTAAAAAATTCATTTCATTTGACAATTATTTGAAATTTTATTCAATCTATGGTTTTATTGACTAAATAGTAAATCTAATCTTCAATTAGCTTATTGTGAACTCTCATCAATCCTTTGAAATACTTAACAGTCTTCACTCTTAGTTCAAGAGTTGCGTCTTCATCGCAGATGAATAGACTGGACGGATGTAATTGAAAGGCAGATACAGTCCACATGTGATTAACTCCTTCTTCGATGGCTTTGTAGAGAGCAAATGCTTTGTGTTGTCCGGTAATCAAAATTAGTACCTATTTGGACATAATTGTCATAATTATAGTCATATTAACACTAATATTAAACCTCCTTAGAGTCCATAACAGTGCCGACACCGACAGTCAGAGCTTCGGTCGGCACTTTGGATAAGTCGTTACCGAAGAAGCGAGCGTTTGCTAAGATTGTGTCGTCAGCTAATGTCTTGAGCCGAGTTCTTGAAGCCAAACTAGATCCGGGCTCATTGAAAGCTATGTGACCATCGGGTCCAATACCACCAACAAAAAGTTCAATACCTCCGGAATCTTTGATAAGTTTCTCATAGCGATCGCACTCTGCCTTTAGGTCGGATGCGTTACCATCGAGTATATGAGTATTGGACGGATCAATGTCTATGTGTTTGAAGAAGTTATTCCACATAAATGAATGATAACTCTCTGGATGATCGCGAGGAATGCCTACGTATTCATCCATATTGAATGTCTTGACGTACTTGAAAGATACCGTTCCCTCCCTTAAGATATAATCAAAATAATAATAATAATAATTACAATTATAGTAATAATCCAAACCATACAAAGTAATCAATTAATTGCTTTTAATTTATATTATATTATAATGTTTATTGGATTCACTGTTGAGAATCAATTTAAGATATATTATAAGTGACTTTTGGTTCAGTTGTTTAAATAATCAATAAAATGTGTCAGCAATTGATTGAATTTAATTGCAATTTGCAAATGATATATAAATGGTTTAAAATACTTGTAAAACTCGATGAGTTTATTGTAAGTACCCAAAGGTGTGCCACCCGTTGGTAACCCCAGAGTGAAGTATCTGTCGGGTCCGGCCTTAAAGTTATTGATAGCCTTACGGATGTATTTGGCCGTCCATTCCGATACTTTGTCGTATTTGTCTAATATGATTAACTTCATTGCTATTTAATTCAATTTAATATTTTTTGGATAAATTAATTAATTGAAAACTGATTTATATTTTATAACTGCAAATGAGGTTCACTTTATAAAATGATTTACTTATAATTTATATAAAACAAGTGTTTAGTGTTTGAGATAATATCGCTATCAATGATAAGTCAATGCTATGACTGATGTTCACTAATGTTATCACAATTAAGTTTAGTTGATATGTATTTGTCTACTAATCACTTGATTTAACATCAAATCCATTACGACATTCACTTACAAATCAATGTCCATTTATTATCACTAATTATAATAACTTATGACAAATAGCACAGTTAGCATATATTTGCTCCGGTAGTCTATAGATGGCATACTGTTTGTCAACAGTTAAAGTAATGGAAAATAAAAGTTTTAAATACAGTAAATAGTTTTCAAAATATTTAATTTAACTATAATTTAATTATTAATTTAATTTACATAATATTAAATATTTTGATTGTCATGAGTCTATATTTTAATAATTTCAATTAAATGTTGAAAATAATGTATATTTTATATTCATTATAAATAATATTCTATTGATATACCAATAAATTTCTATTATCTATATTATAAATAATTAATTATATAAAAGAAATAAATAAATTCATTTTGAATAATATACATGTATTTAATATATATATATATATATATATATATATATATATATATATATATATATATATATATATATATATATTATTTATATAAAAAATGTGAATCTTTTTATTAAAGTATATATTAATGTCACAAAAATCCAGTTTATAATAAAAGTTGTCTCAATTGATAAATGATAGAAATGGTATGTAATACTTGATTGGGACTCACTGTTACTAATGTATTCATAATGTGTTAAATTGTAATTATTTCAACTAAAATATTATATTTAATTTAATAAATATAATTTTATATATTATAAAAAATATTATAATTTTGAAATATATAATACTATATGTATTCTACTTTAATATATACTTTTATACTTACTATTAGGTATTATTTGTAATATTCTTTAATCATTGTTTAAATTCAGTCTATAATAATAATATTCAATAAAAATATTTACATCTTTGTCATGAATTATTAGTTGTTAGTAATATGTTATACAGTAATGTCATTATTTAGTAAAAATAATCTATTTTTACTGATAAGATTGTTTAATTAATTAAAAATTTTATTTGAATTTACTAGTGTTTAAAAATATTTAAAAAATAATAAATTTAGTAGTAATTTTTGTAGTTTATTTCAAAATTATCTTTAATTTTTGCACCATTGATTTTAATGTGTAATGTTTTTTCTCAGTTTATTATCAAATTAATATATTTCTATAATTTTATAGCATATTTATAGATAATATTACTTTTACAAAATTATAAATACAATAAAAATTGTAAATTCTATAATGTTTAATAACTGAGTGATTTTGTTATTATTAATATCATATTAATATTACATAAATGAATAAAACACAAATTAATTGACTGATTGCTTAATAGTATAAGTGATATCACTATGTAATGCTGATAACTAAAATCAATTAACAAATCAATTATTTTATATAAATAATAGTAATCGTATAAACGATAAGTAGTAACATATAAACGATATAATATTATTTTTTTGCAAAATACAAAATTATAGTTATTATATTATAGAAATGATCAATATTATAATTATAACAAAAACATTTTTTTAATAATAATTTATGAGATGAACTTATATAATATTACTACACACCTATAAAATAATACAAATTAAATAATTTTCTTAATGTTAGAATTTATAACATTAGACATTTGATCAAAAAAAGTTATACTGATAACACTTATTGGCTAAGACTGTATTAAAGAAATTAATTTTGATACAGTATATTATATATTAAATAAATATATATCATAGAAATAAATTTTTAATTTGTAAATAATCCAAAATAGGTATTAATTAAATTATTCTGTAGTTAGTATACAAAAATATTAAAAGCATTAAAAATCACTAACTTTTTGAACTTAATTATTAAAGTCAGAAAATGTGTAGTAAATTTTATTTTTATTTATTTATAGACTATAAAAAATGACAATTAAATTTATAAATTTACTTCTAATACTTTAACTTTGTAATAATAATTGTGTGTATAGTATACTTTTACTATAAAGTTTTTTTAATAAAAAAATATAAGGATTTTAAAGTATCTTGGCAATTTAATAAAATTAACTATGCATTTTCATAATCTATAAATAATCTATAAAATTAAATAATGTCTACAAAAATATTTTGAAATATTAAGAGACACATTTTTTATTAGTTTAATCACATCATAAGCTATACTACATATAAATTATTTATTTAGTAAATTGATTCGTGAGTCCATACAATAGAGATGATACTAACATTGAACACCTAATTATACAGTATATGTCTATCGGATGTAAACTGTTTAGCATTCATTGATTTTTTATTCAAACAAAACAATAATCTCTTACAAATAGAAGACAAACTTTATATCAAATTTATATAATGTTTTTCTAAATTATCTGCCGTTTCTAAATAGTTTTAAAATAATAAAAGCGTGTATTTTATTTCAATAACTTTTATATAATTTACATTAATTGTCAAATTGTTATATTTGCCTAATATTAATATTATATTTAAGAACTTTTTTCATCCAGTTTGTCATCCAAAACAATAATATAACTTTTTAATACTCTACTTAATTGTTTGTATTTGTTTATTATTTTTAAAATTTATAGTGTTATACAATTATTTATACTATTTTAAAATTAACAAAATATATTTATTTATTTTAATTATTAAATACAAAAATGACTAATACGTTAAATTATGATTCAATTTTTATTAAATTTTTAAAAATCAAAATATTTTAATTTATATTTCATGTTTATATATTAAAAAATCATATCCTGTATTTTTAGTATTTTTAGTTGTATATCCAAATAATTAAGTGTAAAATGAATTTAATAAAGTTTATATAATTTTTAAAATAACCATTACATTTGAATCTGTAGTTTATAAAAATAAAAATTAAATGCAAACTTAGTTGGCATTCAAGTTTTTATTAATATTTTATAAAATATTTTTTAAATAATACAATATAAATAAATGATTTTAATGTTAATTTCTTTATATAAATATATATTTTTTAAAACATTAACTTTAGTTATTATACAATACATATTGTTAGAGATTTATTGGCAAAGCTATTGTGTTATAGATAGCTGTTAAGTAATGGTAAAATGCCATAAGATATTGTAAAATCATTGAAAACAATTATATAATATAAGTTAATAATAATAATAAAAATGGAAATGTGATGTTTAAGCAAACATCAAACATCTCCCGCAAAGTGTTGGTCCTGTTGTGGTACCTGTCCTGTTGGCCCACTTCCGTGTTTGCACTACTTTTTCAACATTACTATAACTTAATACATAAGCATTGACTCAAATATAATTAATTACAAGCGATGTATGAAAAACCAGTTTTACTCGTTTTTATTGCAAACCATTTAATTGTTTTTTATATTTATATTCATTTAATATTTTATATGGCAATAGTGTTGTTACAGAGTATAATAATAATAATAATAATAATAATAATAATAATAATAATAATAATAATAATAATAATAATAATAATAATAATAATAATAATAATAATAATAATAACCACTTTATGGTCGCAAATACGATGAAGTCTTAAAAGTCAATTGTAAAGGAAATACAGTCTTGAATTGCATTACTGTTTGTCCTAATTTTCATTTCTCTTCTTAAAGAGTTTACAATATTGTTGTATAGAAATGTATTATTAAATAAGTCTATTGTTATATTCATAAAATTTTATAAAAATCATTGCTTAAAAATTTGTCGAAAATAATAATAATTTATTAACTTTTTAATTTTTTAATTAATTAATTATTATATCAAAAATTATTTAGACTTAATAATAACATATTTGGCTTTATTTCAATTTAAAATATATAAATCTTTGATTTACCATAAATAGAGTATTTTATTTCATATTATGAAATAGATTTTAAGAAATAGTAATAAAATAACAAAATATTTATCTAAATACTATATGTAAATCACAATATCATTAAAATATATTCAAATTTTAAGAATATTAGTGGGCGACAAACTTTTTAAAAAATAAGTGAAATCAGTTTATTTCGTTTCACCCATAATTAGCTTTTGATTTTAATAAAGTCATTTGCAATTTAATATTTAATTTAACATAAACTAAGTTAATATACTAATTATAAACAAAAACTTCATTTTTATAAGACATAAAAAATTAATTAATTAATATTCAATTATAATTTATTAATAAAAATAAAAATTTAGCATGATATTTATTAAATTTATACATAAATTTATATCATAGAATATAATTATAAATCATTAGACTTACGTTATCAACAATATTCTTGTGAAATCTTTATTATTTGCTAGAAATTGTTATAAAATTTTAATATTACTTTAAATTTAGTTTAATATCAATATTTAAATTTATATAATTATTATACTTTTCAATTATATCAAATACAACTGTAATACTTAATGATTATATAATAGTAATATTAAATAAATATTCATGTCATAAAATCTTTAAATAATCAATTAAATCAAATAATGTTAGTTTAATATTATTATATTATATAAATATTACAGTATCTATAATTAATATTAATGAAAATAAAAATTATTGTTGCTTTTAGGTTTTATATAATTTCTTGTGAATAAGTGTTTAAAATAATTTGGTAAATATTGACAGTTTAACCATTAAAAAACTTTTTTTTATAAGATAACGTATATACTTTAATAGTCTAATAAATATATATTAAAATTATTATTTTTTTTTTATATAAAAATGCTAAACACAATGTTATTATAGATCTTATTTGTATTACACAATTGTTATGTAATATCAAACTGATACACAAATATTTTTTTTGGGTATATTTATCGTGACTTTTATTATATATAAGAGAATACTGTTATGTTTATTATTATTATTATTCTCACCATTTGTTAAGTATATCAGTTTGTATGTGAATTAAATGACAGTCAGAAATACAATACAATGTATGTATTATTTGATAAAATCAAATATACGGTATATTAAACAAAAATGAATTTTCCTTTTGTTATGTTATCAGTATAGCGTAAATCATATAATAAAAACATAAATAATAATACGATCTTTGAGTCCTATATTATAAGGAAATTTGTTTTCACTTTCTCTTATACTGCAA